CAAGTGCACCACGTATCCAAGAACATTTCGAAGTCCCTTGATGTCGACTGGCATAGTCCAGTCGCTAAATGCCTTGATCTTTTTCGAATCAGGCGCACGCCGTTTTTACCCACAATGCAGCCAAGAATTGGTATTTTTTCGCTGTGAATATACACTTCTTGAGGTTCGCGAACAATATATGCTCACGCATTAGCGTAAGAACCTTCCGGACACGGATCCTGCAAACCTCCACGTCCGTATTTCCATTCATAGCCCGGGTATGGACGAAGACATCGTCAAATTAACTCGGTGCGAAGTCCCACAGCGATCGCAACCGATTCGTGACACATCTGTTGACCGTTGCAGGGGCGTTACTTAGCCCCTGTGGCATCATTAGCCACTCCCAGAGCGTACCACTAGGGAAGCTCACTGTTGTGTACAGGACGTCCCGCTTACGCATGAGGATCTGATAGAATCAACCCATCATATCCATGGACGAAAATATGGTACTTTTTGCCATACCATGAATGATGACGTCCTTCTTTGGTATCGGCGCTTAAGCCGGTACCGTTGCAGCGTTCAATTTGTCGAAAGCGAGCATTATCCGCTACCTTCCTATGGCCTTTCGCACACAGAAGATCGGATAGCTGTGTGGGGATTTTAATCCCCTTACATGACCAGCCGCTAATTGATCGGCAAAGAATTTGTCTGTCGCTGTGACCTGTTCACGAGGCAGTGGCCACTGCTTCATGACACAGTACTTCGAACCAGGTTTCAGTTCGATCTCATGCTGAGTACCTTTGTCTTTGGGCAGCTCGCATGGCTCGGATTCTGGGAAACATCCCTATTTCTGACCAAATTCTTAAACAAAGGATTTGTCTTCAAAGACTCCCAAGATAAAGACGTGTATCGCTCAATCCGAGTCTTCCCATCGAGGACACTCTCGTCCGTAGATGAACTACGGAAAACTCGTTCGTTCTCAGTAAACACTTGTGCGGGCCAAATATCGGCGACGTTCTCGTCCTCTGTGACGAGTACGCAGATCTGCTTGATCTCGTCACTACGCGTGATGCTACTTGCAAGGTAGCGTAGGCGTGTGCAGAGGCATGAACACACCTTGCTTGAGCCTCAGGAAATCAGAGCGTGCTTGGAGCTCGGCTCTTGGCGGCTAAAACGTTTCTTTAAGCTAAGGTCTTAAGGTCTCTAACGAATCAAACACGTTTGGGTAGTTAGGCTTGAGCTCTAAGGCCCCAGTCTTTGCTCGTCCTGTCAAATTGGACAGGTCGAAGGTGACTTGCATCTCGTCATCCTCGATGTGACGGGCCCTGATCGTGTCGTCCAACTCGACGAACCATCTCAAAAGGGAATCTTCATCGGTTCCCGTGTACCTTGAGGTATCTATCTTCAAGGTTTCGGGTCAATGCGTGCGCTTCGGCCCGCCCATCTACTCATGATATTCTTGCTGTTGTAGCAAGGCTATCTTCTGTATTTCGACAGCAAGTTCCGCTTGTCGAAACTTGTTGATAGCAGCATGTTATTGGTCTCTGTTTAGAGACTCCAACATGCCACAGATGGCGGGTTCGCCCATGAGCACACTCGTGCGGCCGACTATCTCCCATTCTGAGTCACTCAGATGGGAGTAGCCTTCACGTGTGACGTGAAAGCTGTCGTCTTCTACGTCCAACATTTTCGTGTTGAAAGGACACTAAGTAGTCGTTGGACGGACTACAAAATGCTACCAGGTGTAACGGGGCACCCTTTGTTTGGGATGCCACGAAACCTCACGTACACTAGTACGTGCAGCGGAAGCTTATCTACACAGACACTAATTTTGAGTAAAGGGTGAAAAGATAACTGTATTTAATATACTTACGCTATCAGTATAACTACATTCTTTATCGAACGACATTGATCTACATTGTCTTAAGACGACAACCTGCTCACCACTCATTACGCGCGTCCAGCAGCGAGTGGTGGTAACCTTGGTTGATTGTCTTCGTAAACCAATCTTTGATCAGCGCATATATATTATCCTTCTACGGGGATAATACTCCTTCAATATTACCTATCTCGGGTAATATTGACAGGGAATTGTCACGCTAGATATTCATGCCGCGCGGTCCTTCAGATCACCCTGGGGTGAACTGCGAGTACTGTGACTTAGTTTGAACTCCTTACGGGACCCGCACCCATCATTATATAATGGGGATTTTCCGCCAGTAGGGCCTCCAGCCTACATAACTATCCACGCCTTGCGCGGGTTGGCAGGGCGGCCACTTCTGCGTGGTTGCTCGTCTACTATTTCGGCCTATCTCCGGCGCCCTGTAATCGAAGCCTTACCGGGTATCGATCCATAACCCCCCGGTCCCAGTTCCAGGGTCTACCACTCGGCCACTGTGGTCGGTGGAATGTTTAACGCTAGACAATCTCCCTATTGATAACGTTTGATGTCAATATCAAGTAACGAGTTACCCAATTACATGCCCCCACGACTCTAGCAATGAAGCAGCAGCTGAAACAAAATTAGCGTAATAACAATTACTACATAATCAAATAACACCAATAAAAAAACGATTAACGACAACATTGGTACCAATTGTCTACATGCACGGCCGCCGGAGACGTACAAAGACTATTCGGAACTATCATGTTTGACAGGTTTCAAGGCTCAAGGGATATTTCACGTTACGGTCTCACCTGACTGGCCAGTGGTCAGACCAGGTGACGTATTGGACCAAGATGAGGCGATCGGGAAGATGGTACAAGGAAAGACAGGTCAACGACTAAGCCAATGGGGCAGCGAGGTGACGACCTATTAGTTGGGTAAGACGAAACGTTTGCAACGGGGAACCACCGTATGAGATGGGCAGGAGGAACGAATGCCATCATACAAATGCATGGTCAAGTTGTAGTGCAGTTCAGGTGCATGTCGTAGCATTGACGTAGGAGAATAGTTAATAGTTCATTTTTTTACTTTTACTCTATTGATTTCTGCATAAATGCAGATCGAGACGCATCGTGATTCAACAAGACGTGTTCAAATCTTCCCCGTGCTGCTTTTCCCCACAAATGATAGTTGCGAGCACAGCACGCCCGCGCCAGAACCCACCGCACGGGTTGAGCACGGCCACTCAACAAAATTGAGAAATGGTTAACGATGCGTTAACCATATTAACTAGAGTAAACTAGAACGTGGTGCATTTTATGGGAATCGTTAAAAGTTCCCTTTTTAGTTGGATTCACTCCCTTTTGCTTTAGTTAAGTAAATACATGTTTGCTAAGGTTTTTTTATCAAGCCAAGTAAACTTAATTTTTCCTTCATGCCCTCGCAAGCCAAATTATTGTTATAACTATATGGCGTCGCCCGGTGGCCTAGCAGATCCGCCAATTGTCATTTCCTCAAGACAGGGCGATGTCATGGGGGATAAGATTGCGGCAACGATCCCGCGTGCAATGTTAGCCTGTAAGATTAAGTAAATGGATAAGGATGCGTGTACGTCTAGTAATAGCATACTCTTTTTTACTATCTTCTCCATCGAAAGTACTTCGAGGCCACAATACTGCAACTATGAAATAAAAAAACACTCCTATTGGCGTTGAATATCGACAAGAAGGTCACGCGCAGCTGTGAATGCTATTCAACAGACAACGACAGTATAATACATCGCATAAACAAAAAGATAATTAAAAAAAGGAAAATAGATGACAAAAAGACAGGAACGGTGGCGATGAAGAGCATTTATGTAGATTAACAGGTCAACATAAAAAGCAATATAGGCGTCATACGACGAAGAAAGGAGGCCGTATGGAAGCATCACAAAGTGTTGTATCGCGTAGTCTTTATGTCAATGGAAAATAATAAAAATAATAGAGAATTGTAATAGTAGCCATGCATTATGCATTTAGCTAATCTTTCATGACTTCAACTCGTAATTTAGTCGCATATTACAGTTTTGTTATATATATGCTATCGTTAAACATCCGCCAAAATTGAGAGCCAAGTGACACCTACCTCACTCTGAACTAGTTTAGGATACATCATCTAATCACTGGCCAAAATTTGTATCACGGATACTGTGGGTGCAGAGTAATTGAATCGTACTGACCGAATGTGTCATAGTAGAATAGTCAGGGATGAGAAATTCGCGGACGGCTGTCGAACCAGTATTGAGGTGCATGTATTATTAAGACTTCTTGTTCAAGCAGGATGGTACCGAATTACATCGTATGCTAAACGTTTAGTTTTACGCGTTAGTCGTTTGATCAGAATTGGCTATTTTTAATGTTTACTAATGAAAGAAAAGGGAATGAATTTAACCAAAAAGGGAGTGAATCTAACAACTCTCTTTCTTATAATCATTATCTGGGGCATTCTTTATTTTCAATCTTGGGCCAATTTTATTTTTTATTTTCGTGGTTAAATGGGGCATTTATTTTTATTTTCCTCTAAACAAACCAGTGTTGAGTTTCTGATACATTAATGAGATGCGCGTATTTTGCAGTCTCTTATGAGCATCAGATAGTATAAAGTGAACACAAAACATTGTGATGCACATATTTATTTTGAATTGAAACCATCTTTGACTGTTGAGCGATTGGACAGCGGACACCTTTTTCTGAGCGAATGCTACACTGGCTTCGGTTTAATCTCCAGAGGAGTGTTTAATATCAATTTACATTCCTAAATTCAATTGTGTCATTATAACCTTCATAACTAGCAAATGATGATACGTGTATCTGGAAAGCTACAGCCCTGTACTCAAGCTAGAGGATCCGTCGTAAGCCTTCACTCTCGAAGTACTCATCGACGATCAGTCGCTGTCGATGCGTGTCCTCGAAGTAACACAAGCTAGCTATATCGAATGCGCGTTTAGATACACGATTACAAGTGATGTCCAGCAGGTTCGTGTCTCACCTTTTGTAACTCAGTCACATACTGTACAGTGGCCTTGCGCACACCAATTACACTGATACACAATTCCAAAAATTATTCAACGCTCGGTCAGGACACACTAATTTGTTCAAGCCGAGTTTATCGTGCGGGACATACTGAACGCAAGTGCGCGCCGAACAAGCTGCTGCTGGCGAGACTCGTCAACTTCTGGCATAAAGCTGCGTGGAAATTGAAGGATGCGCAAAATACCCTCCATATCGTGTTGCAACAGCTGCTGCTGTAGCTCATCCAAAATGACAAGCGAGACGCTGAACATGATTCGCCAGCCGTCGATAATAAAGATGTCCAGCAATCGTATCACTAGCGTCGGTGCTAACGTCTCAAATGACGAGAAGAATGTCAAGAACCACCGGGTGCAGAAAGTAGCCACATGGACACCCTCAGCCATAAAGTGTGAGTATAACTTTGGCATGTGAGTCGAAAAAAGCAGCTCGAACTTGGATAGGTATGGTTGCAGCACAATCATCCCGGGCTCATAGAGATTCTGGCTGTTCTCCGGCTCCGAGAATCCAACAAATAGCCAGAAAATGTCGGCTTCGTCGTCAGCTACTTCAGCCAGCAAACGTACCAAGAAGCCCATCCCTTGGCAGTAGCCTACCCTCGGATTGTACACGGCATACGCACGAAGCACACGTCGCATCTTTGTTTCGAGATCTGACTTTCTTGCGTCGGCACTCTTGCCGCATTCCCTGGAACCCGCATGCGGATCAACAATCGGAGATGTACCCCGTTCCTCGATTCTGACTATGCTGTTCACCATATCGTTCAATACGGATTCAATCATATCTTCCTCATCTTTGTCAACGGCTGCAATGGCCATTACTGGAACTGGACGCAACGTGACATTGGCGTCGTTGCTTCGATGACACGTACGCACGACATCTACGTCAATTTCCCGGAACCAGACTGCAAGCTGAGTGTCATCTTGACTCTTTGGTAACCCAACACCCAGTTTCGCATCCACCTTTCTCAGGAGCTGCTCATATGTACTGCAACGTCTGCCAGCGGATAGATAATACGTGGCTAGCCTGCGACATCGCCACGGTGTAGGTCCGTAGAATACTGAAAGCCAGAGCGAACTGCGGGTATCTGGGGATATACCACCTGACCGTATGCACCTTTTCCAGATTGGAGCACAGTCTACCAAGCGAGAATGAAGCCGAAAGTTAACCTGTACGCATAAATTTTCAGTTAGTCACACTCTTATAACACCGGTACCACCGCAAATATCGACCTTGGAAAGCTGCGCAAGATCTTCAACGCGTAAATACGACAGGCACTCAAAGCACAGGCTTTCACCCTGCAATCGACAAGTGACGTGTCAGATACGCTTCAAATAATAGATCGATGGCAAAAACATGAGCCAAACCTTTCGAAGAAGTCTAGATAGAACGTCACTCGCGCCATCGCTGATTGCATCGGCCTGCAAGATTGATTTCCCCACACATTTACTCCCTCTCACATCGATCTCCCACAAACAGTACTCGACAGCTAGCCAGTCCGGAGGCGACTGAGGAATGACAAGAAGCTGCTCGCCACTCTGGAATAAAGCCAACGCTAGGTGAGAACACGCTCGTGAACTCATAGATACTTACAAACCGGAAGCAGTTCTTACCTTTCGCGATGAAGTGACAACACTTCGGCCGGTGCGTGCGGATGTTTCGACCGTTGGCGCGGAACTTTGCCGGATCACTCTCGTTTCCCCACTGGCGTAACTCAGCTTGTCTTGAATTGTTTTGCGGATAGTCGAGAGCATACTGCTGGCTCTTCGGGGCGTTCTCGGCTTCAAACTCACTGCTCTCGGCGAAGGAGACGTTAAGCGCCGGATCCTACCAGACCTCCCATCATCAATATTCGGTCCTCGAACTCCTTTGTCAAAGTCAATAACTCCTGCACACGAAGCCAGCGTGAGAAGCTTCGACGGGTCCACAAATCTGTCTACAGGCACACCAGCTGCAGCTGTCCGGGACACATTTCCAATCTCATAGTCCTCAGCAGAGAGCGATAAAGCATCACTCTCATCGTCCTCATCACTTCCTGAAATCGCTTCGACTCCGTCCAATGCGTTGGATGAGCTAGACCCGTCCACTTCAGTCCACCCGTCAGATGCTGAACATGACATCTTGCTGAACTTCGATGACAGTGATGCAGTAGACGCATTGTATCGCATAGTGGCAGACAATGGGAATGTACGATTACCATCTGAGACAACTTCCTGTTCGGATGGCGACAGGCTTGATTGGACCAGTTGATCGGCAGTCCGGAAGAAAATCGCACATTGAAGACGCTGTAAGGATAAAAGCAGTCAGAGACACTACAAAGGGGAAGTCCACAGCCATCGTGGTAGACTGACCATCGTGCTGAACAAGTCTGCTGCATGTACAGTAGCTGATTGATTCGCGTCCTCTACAGGTACACCCATCAGCAAATGCAACTCAGCAAAATCGATTAAAACTCAAACCATCGCATTGCGAGTAACTACTTACCCAAGTGCGGCAATAACGTTCTCTCCGCTTCCTGTAGTAGCGCAGCTACTTTGTGTATGTCTCCTTCTGCAAGCACTTGCTTCTCATGATCCTCAAGTCGTTGCGAGTGCATTTTTAACGTCAGCGCACGGAGCGTTTTCGATTCCGCTGCAAGTTTTTCCCAGACATCAATGTCCTTCTTTATGCGATCATATTGTTCCAATCTCGCTCGCAGTGGATTCATGACGGTGTACCGAAACGTCTGCTCCATGTTCGTGACATCTTCCTGATCAATCTCTTTCAGAGCACTTTTAAAATCGCCACCACACCATGTTTCTTCGTTTGCACTACCATAAACCCCAAAAAAACAAAGAGCATGAAAACAAGTTAGAATACACACATACACCACACTCAAAGTAAGCCCTTTCGCCCCCTCGCTCTCTCGCTCTCTCTCTCTCTCTCTCTCTCTCGTATACCTGCAGGTTTCAAAGAACGTTTCCGCCACGGTCGTCAGCGACGCAAACGCAACCTGCCAGCAACCTGTTCAGTATTCCAATGTACACAAAAAAGGACACAAGTCATCATTTCCGACGACGCTAACCTGGAACCGGTCCAGCATCTCGTCCATCTTCCGCTCAAGTCGCCTCAGCGCCTTCTCGTGATTACGAAAATGCCACACTGCCGTCTTCAGACGGAACGCAAACTCGTCCGACGGCTTCTGCCGTCTCCCCTCCTCTGCCGTCTCCCTCACGCCACCGATGGGCGTCAGGCGACCGAATGTCGTTCTCAACTCGTGCAGCATTCCACCACGCACGGCCTTCACCCGAGTTCCGAATCAGCAGTCGCGTCGTCGTCTTCGTCTTGGTAAGCGCGTGAAGTTCGCGGCTTGTGGTTGCAGGAAAGTCGAGCAGTTGCGCCGTCGCGGTCTGTTTCGTGCCCCGTCTGTCGTTTTTTCGTCGTCGGCGTCCGTTTTTTCTTCTCTCTCTTCCCCCCAAGTGTCGCAGTCAAAGCACATTCTTTCGAAACAGCTGGCTGGACGTGGTCTGGGCGTGGCCCATTTCTACATGAGACGGTTCCAGCGCAAGACGCAGCCGCAGCACGCGCAAAACGAGACTGACGAGGATTCGCCACCGAGAGGGCAGCGAAATGCATTCGACTTGCCCCCGCCTCTGCTTCTGCTGCTGAATTCCATCCAGACCATGGACCGAAAACCGCCTGTCACACTCGCGCTTGGCGGTGGGTAGAGAGAGACATGTGCAGCTGACCTTTTTCTGTCTGTGTGGAGGTATGGAAATGACTGATCATGGGGACTCGCGGGTAGGGGTCATGTACATGTTGCATGTAGTTGGGACTCGAACACCGTCGCTGATTCTACCTTTTGCACTGTACGTAAACGCGAATGAAGGTTTTGATCGACGGACCGTCTGTTGTTAATGCAGTTGCTCTTGTGACTTTTGTACGACTTTAGGTGTCCTGGACAAGTCGTGGCGAACAAAAGTATTGGAGCGGTTTTCATTGCACCTTTTATCCATATGGAGGATCTGCATCTCTACCAGAGCTTGTAAGTGGCTCGACATAGAGCGCAATGCTCGATTCTATGTCGTGCATTGATTCGTGTCTAATGTTGTATGGTGTTGTTGTATGGTGTTGATAGAGTGTCGTTCCTTTGGAAGGGGTACCAGCTTGAGGGAAGGCTTGGAAGCATTGGCTTCTGTGTGCTGTTGATCTACCTCATCGTTCTATCGCAAGCATTCATTTTGGTTGGAGCGCACGTGATATCATGGGTTGGTGTCGTTTGAAACCTATCATGACCTTATCGGCCGCGGCACAGTATTCATATGGATCTGGTTGTAAATGCAGGGGGCAATGTACGAGTGCTTTACGGGGCTCTCCGGTGTGCTGATAGCGATGAAGGTGGGTAGATGAACGTGTGTAGATGGACGTAGGTCTATGTTTCCAAGATCTGGTGTATTAACTACACGTTGCAGGCGATTTTGACCGTTGACTCGCCAACGTTTACTGAATTGCACAGCTTTATGGTGCCCACAAAATATGCCGCATGGCTGGAGCTGCTTGTTACTTACCTCTTTGTCCCAAAGCTGCCATTATTGGCCCAAGCTGCTGGACTTACTTCAGGTAGGTGATAGTAAATACTAAATTGCTCTACCACGTTTCTCACTTGCTTGCTGGAGTTGCGCTCCCAGGATACATCTACATTATGGCCCCAAATGCAGACGCGCTGGTCGGTAGTGCATCACGCATGATTCGAAATTTGCTGATTCGAGCAGGGTTTGTTAAACGACCACTTCGGTGGTGGCAAGTATGGCCAAGATTTATGAACACGCTCCGACGACGGAAGCAGCAGCGAGCAGCACGAAAGGCATAGCATGGCTACAAAAGTGGCAGCACAAGCACTTGTAATGATACTCTGGATCAACGCTCGATTCGACGACTGGGGCACTGTGCTTGTACTTTTGACTCAAACAAGGTGTTGGAAGCTCTCGGGTTGGATACTGTACTGAGGGGTCTCGCCTCCACCTCTGCTGTGCTCTTGCAATACAAAGGTTACCACGCCACAATTGCACATCTTGGCCGACTTGGCTTTATGGTACACGTGATGAGGGAAGAACTCCCGACAGAAAGCACGAAACCACAGTGAGTGTCCATACACGATAGCCACGTCTTTTTGCTGCTTGAAGAGCCACTGCGCAAACATCAGTAGACGGTCACGTCCACTGCCCAGCACCGCCTTGTTCCCGTGACTCTCAGCCACATTGAACAACTCGTCGTGACGCTTCTCCCCACGTGGTGCCTTCACAAGTACCTCACACGGTTGGACCGCATGCGGCTGACTGATAGCTAGCGTATCCAAGTTGCGGCCAATCTCCTGCAGGCACGACAGCACGTGAATCCTCTCGCCAGGCACCTCCAGTCTCGCTGCTGATGCAATGCGCGCCGTGTCAATGGTGCGCCTTAGATTCGACGTGACCACAACGCTACCAGGCAAGGGACAGCACAAGTAGCGCAGCCACGCGCTCTCTTCAGTCTGAAGCGGCGAGTCACAAAGTCCGTCTATTGTCCCTCCTGCTACTGTTATTGCTACCGTTTGATCGCCATGCCGGCTTCCTTCCAGTGATATCCCTCCCGCGTACTCCTGCAACTGCTGTGCCTGAAAGCGACCACGTCGACTCAGCGGTGAGTCCAGGAACACCGAGTCGCCGGTGGGTAGCAGCAGCCACTCGCGCAGTACTGCGCGAAAGAGACGGATGAGCGCCCGCAGATTGAAGCCAGAGTTAAAGACAACGTTCCACTCGGACTCTGCGTGACGGACAAATACGATTCGCCTGTACTTTGTCACAACAGCGACTTGATGATCGACTGCTGCATCAACCGGTACAATAGTTAGTGGTGGTACTGCTGCTGGGATGGCGGATGGGGTCTGCAACAGCCACTGTTTGTCACTGGAGAAGAGCAGGTGCAGTAGAGCGATGCTGAAGAGCTGCAGTTTCCACGCAATGTGGACTGCAGCATTGAGCAAAGAGGGCCAGATACCTCGTGACAAGAGGCGACGTCGCACGGTGCGATGCATCATTTGTGTTGAGTGGAACTGTAGTTTTTTACCTGAAAGGATGCTGGACTTTTCGAAGAATAGCTAGAAAACAACTTGTGCTGGTCTATAAATGACACAGTCACAGCGGGCGTGGTTGTATCAGTTCAAGAAGGTAAATGTAAATAGTGTCATCAACAGAAAACCGACTGTTTTCACTAAATTTTATCGAAGTGTTCACGATGTACGCTAAATATTGAAGCTTAAGTAAAGAGAGCCGTAGTGAGTTCACTTTTGTCTGTATACACTTGGCAATGCTCGAGTGACGTTCGGTGCCCAGCAACTACCAAGATTGTGCTTAACTTTCGGTAGATATAAGAACTAGCGCATACCATCTCGTCGCTCTTGCACGTAAGAGAGGAAACAGCATCAATACGTGTACGCATTACAATGACACGGCCATCTTCCGTGCTCCGAGTCTTTCCATGACCTAGACATGGAAAGACTTGGAGCCCGGAAGATAGCCGTGTCGTACGGTACCATGTTTTTTCGCAGGACCATCCCAGAATTGCTTCAACCCTTTTATGCTGTCGAGACGACGGCAATATGAAGACTTGGTGCTCTGTCCGTCGAGATCATGGAAAGACATGGAGCAATCGCGTGATTGTGCTGCATCGATCGATTGCGACATCTCATAAGACACGCAAGTGACCAGGAGCCACCGTCGCTTGGACCGAGCATTCGACTACTTCTCTGGAAAGTCAGGGCACTATTTCACCAATTCATTAATGCAATTCGCATGTGACTAATACATGACGATACGTTACGCCAATTGGCAATCACAACGTGGGCCTTGCTAGATAGACTAGAGGGAAACAAGTGCTTGTTGATCACCATTTCGACAAACTGTCGTCTCAGAGTATAGATGCTCGAAGCTGTCCAGCCACACGTGCCTTTCAATCACGCACGTGAAACATCACGCAGTAACAGCCATAGAAGCGATGCATTAGAGCTGCTGTGATTTGTGATGCTGGATGTCACGACTGATCTCGCTGCGTTGCAAGTGCGTAAAGTCATCAAGAACGGCCTGGACGACAACCATTGCGCATGTGCTTTAGACCATCAGGAAATATTTGCTGCGCAGAGTGTGGCACTTCTGGTATCGTGGCGCTACGCACGACTAGTTTACTAGCATTCGAGAGTGAAGACTTGAGCTAGTTACAAGAAGCGTATGTGGCAAAAAGACAAAAACGTGTAAACGCTGAATCCGTACCGTGTTGCAGCGTGCCTCTCGAGAGAAATAAGGTACGAGGTTTGTAAGCGGCTGACTTTAATGAGTGGAAGCATTCGAATAAGGCATACGGGCATGCGCACGAAGGGGATGAGGAGCGCCACCACACGAGACTCTACCCGATGCCTGAGCATCCTATGCGTTGCATTCTGCTATGCTTGGAAATCATCGGTAGTCGCTATCATTTGCAGTGGCAGCGGGCAGTTGTCAATGGCTTGCGTACGACATTGACACTGCGTGAGAGTAATCACGAGAGCTCTTTCGACCCGACCAGGTGACGTCGCTCTCCACCCACGACTGCCGGCGAACAACAGCTCAACAGCTTAGCAGACACTAAGCGTCAATCTTGTGATTCGACACACTCACGCATTTAACATGCAAGAATCTGCAATAAGATTCCAACAGCTTGCCACTTGTTAGACTTTGAGGGTAATATCCGTGTAAATGCGTAGGAGATCGTCCACTGGCCCAGCTGGCAAGCTCGAAGCCATGCCGTAGATAGCACTGCCGCCCTCTGGAGATGGATTGGGGTCCTTCTTCACTTCAATCACGGCTTCTTCAAGCGCGTCCAAGAACTTCTTCGCCTTACCAATTTGGCGAACGGTAACGCACAAGTGCACTGATGTCGGATGCTGCAGCGGATTGAGACTCCACCCGTGCTTGGCCATAGCGTCACTGACCTTGAGCGCACTGACACCAGTGTCACCAGCAAAACACACCACCATCGCCTTCGGGTCGCCAAGAAGGTGAATGCCATCAATACGCTGAATGCCCGCCTTAATCTCGTCAACCGTGTCCAAAATGCCCTTCGTCTTTTCCATATAACCTTCATGTCCAAGACGCAGCATCGCAGCCCAAGCTGTAGCACTCAGTGCTCCAGAACGGCTGCCTGCAAGAGTCGGCGTTGCGTAAAGTCCACCCGTCCAGTCTGGGTAGGCAAAGTATTGGAATCGACGAATGTCTGCGTTCTTGTAAAGCACAACTGACGTTCCTTTCGAGCCGTAGCCATACTTGTGGGTGTCGCACGACATGCTAGTAACGCCCGGCAGCGAAAAGTCGAACTCAGGAATATCCTGCCGCAGTTGACGAGCAAAGGGTAGCACGAACCCACCAAGACAACAGTCCACGTGAAGCCCAACGTCGTGCTGAACAGCAAGTTTCGACAGTGCTTCAATATCATCGATGATTCCATGCGGGAAATTGGGTGCACTGCTATACAGCAAAATTGTGTTGGCCGACATGCTCCAGCGCACTGCATTGACGTCCATCTTGAGCGTCTGGGGGTCCATCGGCACGTTGATCAGCTTGATGCCCAAGATCTCACACGCCTTGTCAATTGCCGCATGAGCAGTCACGCAAGCAATGATCTCCGGCTTCGTAATCCCGTGTTTATGGCGGTACCATTCGCGATGAGTCTTGGTCGCAAGAAAGATGCTCTCCGTGCCACCCGAGCTCAACGAGCCACACACGTCCCCGTGGCCGCCGTTCATCAGTCCTGCAGTCATGGCAATCACCTCCGCCTCAAACTTGGTCACAGCTGGCCACAAATCGCCATGCAATGGGTTGGACACGGCAAAAAGCGCGTAGGCTTGATTCAGCACGTCCAAGTGCTCCTTCTCGCCGTGATAAACAGCACCCGACACAAGTCCGTCTCGCCACTTGTCGTCATCATTGCCAGCCAGCTCCGTCATGAGCGTCAGCAATTTGGCGTCGTCCATCCCCTTTTGTGGCAAAGCATAGAGCTTCGCCATCTTATTGGCCAGTCGATCGTTCTTTTTGACCAATCGCTCGACGTCGTCTTCAAACTTTTTCATCTCGCGCGCCACTTTCGTCGACACGAACGGGAGCTGTTTCATCGCACTAAGTACGAATCCACCCACGACATTGAGCAAGTGTTTGCGAGACACGTAGCGGACGCGGCGTGCCGTGTCCATGACCTCAGAAAGGACAGACACCAGCAAGATGAAGAGGAGCGAGTCGCTGCACACGGCTTCAGCGACAGGCGCGTGGCGCTGGGCCGCGGTCCAGGACTGAAGCAACCACGAAGACGCGGGCGCGGTTAGGGCGAGACTGTAGCGGTAGTAGGCAAAGAGGACGACGAGCGAAGGCCAAAGCTTGGCGAGTGTGCGGTCTACCTGGGGCAGGAACAGACGGAGCGATAGGTACAGCACGAGAGCGGCCACTGCGTAGAGCGGCAGGTGCTCTTCTGGGCTCGACATGACGTGGAGAGTAGAAGGATGTGAAATTTCCAGAGCAAATGCCAAAGTGACGGTGATTATGAAGGTCGAAAGAGAAGGGGTGGGGGAGTTGGGGAATGGAAGAGTGATGGTCATTGGCTCTTCAAGAGCTGCGGAATGGAAGAGTGATGGTCATTGGCTCTTCAGGAGCTGGGGAATGGAAGAGTGATGGTCATTGGCTCTCCAGGAGCTGAGGAATGGAAGAGTGATGGTCATTGGTTCTTCACAGTGTCGATCTTGTTTAGACCAGCAACAGTAAAAGTTGTGGAAAGAAGTATCGCATACTTGATAGCCTTTCTAAACTACTAGCCAGATTTGATGAAGTCTGCACTCATCTAAATATTAGAATGGAGAGTTCGATTACCTCTGTGAGCTGACGAAAGCCTCTGACTCCAAAATATCGGCTTAAACAGGGTTTACGCCAGCTGCTTCATTTTCACTTGAAGATTCAGCAACGAAACGTCACAAAAAGCGCTTGGCGAAGTGGAAAGGATCGAACATTCGATGCCGTTTCTACATAAATGACGAACGAACATATTCGTTTGTGCCATTTTTCCGTTGTGACTTGTCCATGGTGGGGCGAAACTTTGGCCGTCCAGCACGCGGACACTTCGACTTGGGTCGCAACAACCATGTTATTGCACTGATGCTGATGCTTTTGCGTCAAGTGCAGCAGCTGGAGCGAAAACCGCCCGTCACACTTGGGCTGATGGGTACGTCCAATCACAGTATCGATCTTTGTAACTATTGCACTGCTGACGGAAATTTCTGCTGATGCGTAGCTCTGATGTGCGGCCTTTACTATCAACAGAACATCACACCCGAGCTCTTTCATCCCTACGCGCTGCGAGTGAACTGTTGTCGTATCAGAGAGAAGGTGGTGGGTAGATGGATAAGATTGACGAGGTTGGTTGTTGATGTCTTCTGTAGCTGTCCCGATCGAGTTCTCGATCGATTTGAGCTCATGCGGATCGTTGCCTCGGGTCTCATCCACGCGGATGAGTGGCACCTGTACCACAACATGTAAACTTGTGTGATAGAAACAAGTAAACTAAACGGCTACATGGGTCAGCTCTCAACTGACGTTCTCCCTCCGTATGCTGAAGGATATCGTTTCTTTGGAAAGGATACAATCTTGAGTACAAGCTGGGGAGTGTGCAGTTCCTGCTTATCGTTGGATTCTTGCTTGCTCTGAGTCACACTCTTGTGATCGCAGTTGCACTTATTCTAGCTACGTGCTTCCAGATGCCGGTACGTATTACGTGTATATGCGATGCAATCGGCTACGTAAAGACTTGGAGGCTCAGCGCTTTTCGACTTGCTGTTGCTTTGCTTTGTAGGGCCCTTTGCACCAGTGCAGTGTTGGCTTTTCGAGTGTTCTTTTTGCGTTGAAGGTAAGTGAGCACAACTGTCGATCAGTTGCAGATGGCATATTGTATCCCAACGGAGAATGTATTGCTATGGGTCGCTTGTGCAGGTCATCTTGAACCACGATTCTCCAGCATTCTCGACCATTTACGGGTTTTGTGTGCCCACGAAATACGCGGCGTGGCTGGAACTGGTGGCAATTTACCTTCTCGTACCGCAAAGTTCGTTCATGGGCCACATGTGTGGCATTCTAGCTGGTAAGATGCGAACAAAAATGGTGATGCATCGAGGTACTGAGACTTTGTGTAACTACATTCCTACATGTCTGCATGTCAACAGGATATATCTGCGTACGCTTCCTATCGATGCGATCGACTATGATTGTCGGAGTCCGCTGGATCAGCCGATGTCTACAGGAGCTAAAGAAGCTGGTTACCAACCGACGAAACACAGGCACACGAAGAAGTACACCGCAACATGCTCCACGCAGACCGTCTGCCCCCTCGTATGAGACAGACGAAGAACTGGCACGGCGTCTTCAAGAAGAAGAATACCGGTCACATGACGGTCCACGACCGCAACCAGAACAACGTGAGCCCTACCACATCACTCCGAGCGAGCTTCGACGACGGCGTTTGGCTCGGTTCACGAACGGTCGAAGGTGACGCAGCAATGTTTGCAGCAGCACCAGTAAGCTGTCAGTGCCGATGTTTGCATGCAAGCAGCGAGAATTGAATGAACTGCAAGTGTCCTAGTCTAGACACACGACGGATACTGAATCCACGTGTACATCTCGTGTGCTTCGACCCCACGGCTAGCACTCCATCCCATGCGCGTCGTCCATAACTATTCAAAGACCCCCCCCCCGTAAATGATGCAGCAGACAGACGTGACGATGCTGTCCGAGATAACAAGCAGCAAGCACAGCGTACGTATTGTACTCTATGGCAAGAGAGACCGCGCTTGTTTCATTGCTCAGAAGGCGCACTCAACTTCCTCCCTGTTGTCCCAATTTGCCACTTTATGAAGAGGCAATGACGGGGCTTTTGCGCAACCACTTGGCGCGTGCTTTACAACTCCATCTTCCCGTGCGTAATCGAAGATCCACCCAGACTGTTCGCAGTGACCTGGAGAGGGGGGCAAGCATCGTCTACCGGTCGCTGAAATGTGCAGAAATGTCTTGACCTGGGCGAAACACGGTTTACTCGATGACACTTCCCAATTTGCGCCTTCGAGCAACAACGGCCAAGCGACGAAGACGTCCAAAGAACCGGGCGACCGGCGCCCTTACTCTGGGTGGGAAGTCTTCTATCATGGGGCCCGGATTAAAGGGGGAGGCCTTCATGCCGCTGCGTGCGCTACGGGAGGCAGCGCAGCGTGCAAACCAAAAGGGCAGCAACAACCCAAATACCCGGAGGTGAGGGGTTCGGCAACAGCGGTTGCCAACCCCTTACCTAGTACCTACTTTACTACTTCAGCCTTCGAGTTGTCGGCCCAGTCGCCGAGCTTGACTCCCGAGCCTCACGAAGCAAATTCGCCTAGAACATGATCAAGATCGGCCCAGTCCATGTGCGTCAGCGGTCCATCGGGGGTGATCGGTCTGCTCCCCGGCATTTTCCTGCGACTTCAGCGCCCTGACTGCATCCCGGACTGGATATCCGATTCCACGTGCCCTCCGCGAAGTGCCTTCCCCCGTGATAACCGAGGAGCCGAGCCAAGCAGCCAAGAAGACAAAGGTGTAGTTTAGGCAGCAGCATACCGATTTCGAATAGGGCATCAGCACTTGATCGACGTTCAGGATTTACTACTGCTTTACCTGATGAGACACTCATCTCTGCGGATCAGGTGAAGGGACGAAACAGCAGCTATGAGGTCACACACACACACGCGATAGCCCGCATCTTCCCGCAAGGCGCTTTCGCCTGTCCAAGCGACCAGCTACGAAAGACGTCATCCACGAGACATGCCATCCAACTTAAATGGTTGTTCTTCCCGCGTCGCCTGATACGGTCGGAGCACTGTTGTTGCGACACGCTTTTTCAACGCTGTTCGCTCACTTCTTGTCTGGGTGCCAAAAAAGGTGTTTGCCAGAGTCTCGCTGCGCGGAGGTTCACGCGAGCTTTAGAGGAGATTCACGCGAGCACGACACAAGCAACACAGTGCTATCGGACTATCGTTTGATGCACAGTCGTCATCAGGAGGCACTCGCAGGTAGCTTGAACATTTATGGTTCTGGAGGTACCTCTATAATAGGCTTGAAGCGCCGATATCGGCTCGTTAGCCCGAAGTCTCCTGGCATGCAATGCTGATGAATTTCGGGCTGGATACAGGAAGTGATAGGTCACTTGAGACTTTACATACTCGCCATGCACGACTCTCGTCGCTCGCCGCAACATATTTGGAAGCAGGTATGTTGTCATTGCGCATTGTTTCAGCGTGAGGAGCTGAGTCCCCGCAAAAACACTACACTCAAAACATAGAACGATCGCGCCCAAGCCTCGATCGTGCACAAACACGCACCATTGGCGTGCTTGCATCGTAAGTGGCTCTGATACACAAAAACAGATTGTGGCGTCGTGGCACACTCATTGAGTGTTTGATCTGACTAAGGACGACGGAAACGTCCAAAAAGCTCGTCAACTACAACAGCGGCATTTCGTTCATTGCTTTCGTAGTGTGGAGGCATTGTCGACAGCATATTCAACGCGCTTCTCGCTAGGTTACCACAAGAGACCGAAGCGCTGCTGCTGAAGCTAGAGAGCAAATGAGATCGAATCTGTGAAGTACAAGCCTGGTGCCGCTGACCTTGTGTTAGCGATAGCAAGTGCAGGTGAGACTGCATGCTGTCACATTGTTGTCAATGTGAGTGTATGGACCCGCATTTTAATCGTAAAAGCAGCTGCTGCTGCATGCAACAACGCGGGGCAGCTCATTGCTCGGCAGTATTGAGTCGCAACGCTCGTAGAATATTACATGGTCTGCAAACAGCACTACCATGTTCTATCGGACACTTAAGATGCAAGGTTACGCTAACCGTCCAAAGTAAGTGTGTGCAAGCTTTAATTCTAGTGAAGCAGGTGGGTGCACTACCATTGACAGCATTATGATGAATTGCTCAGTCAAATGAAACGGCGAAGTCGTTTGTACATTGAGGGCGATGTCGTGATTCCAATGTCCCGCACATGAGCGTAATTGAAGCGCACAACCGATTCAGTCAAAAATGACCGTGGCTTTTTGCTGTTGTTGGTATTCGATACACCAGAAATTAAAGTGGAGGAGTGCCAATCGACTTGTAAAAATCGACTTGTAAAAATCGACTTGTGCCAACCTATAGAACATGACTGCGTGAAGCCGCACACAGTTGTGCGTACCAACGAGATACTTACATTGTACACCGAGTAAGAATGCACGCGTTCTTTTCCGAGTTTCTGCGATCAAGATGTAAGACTCAGATCAGCAAGTGGCGCATCATTGCCATTTGCCACGCCTTCATAGCCGGAACAGAATGCATGTTGAGCTGATTGTACGACACGTAAGTTGTAGCAAGCAACCGACGGTGTATGAAGAGGACGTGAGGGTTCTCGGCAAAAATAAGCAAATGAGTCAGCGCGGGTGTCATAAGTTGCAAGTTGACTCTAGAGCTCGTTGATGTGCTGAAATTACGTGCCAGATGACCTCCGACTGAAAACCGTCCGGTCGGATCAGAGACCGCATCTCGGAGGTACTTCAACAATAGAAATTTCTTCCCGATTGGTCATCACCTGATGTGAGATCAGCGTACGGTCCACTGATCTGGATACACTCCGTCCTAGAAGAAGATATGAACGTTATTATTTTCGTTGATGATGGACAGTTCGTGTGCGCTCGAACGTCGCGATGACACTTGATTGCGATCGTTTTGAATCGAAACAGAAAGGAAAACTGTAGGACTTGGTTAGCTGATGAAAGAAACGACTCACGTGAGACCTTCGTAGTGCTTTTACGACGGAGTAGCTGAATGCATGTGCGAGTTTGCTAAAGACTACTATACTTTCCAATTTACTTCCTGACTACTAGTTGCCCCCTCTGCTATAATACCTCATGAATTTTGCTGAGATGAGCTCGGTGTAGATGTGCTGGAGTGAAAACAGGTCAAGAAGCTCCTTCTTACTTTCTCTCATGGTAACCTGCTTAACAAGCGTGCCACACCACGGACACTGTTGGCGAGGATGTCGCCGGCTTGTACGTTTACACAGTCATCAGTCAAAGTGTGACTAGCCTCCTCATGACAGCATTAGTCACGCGTGCTCGATATACTACACTAAAGCATAATTCACTATTTGCGCACCGGTAGCTGACCGGAGCTTTCCATTTAATGAAACGAGCCATCGATCGACTGGATGGATAACGAACGAGTCACGACTCACTGCATCGCCACTGAACAAACTTCGAGCAAACGTTCTTATCGCGTTTGGCCATTCAGCCCAAGACCTGCATCTGACAAGTCAGTCCGCACAGTTCGACAGAACGACACCAGCAACACCCCACACCTGATGGGGTCAAAAATAGCGTTCCGCGCACCTGTCCACTGCTCACAACTACGCGCGTCAATTAACAGCTATTGCATCATCTCCATGCCGGAATGTATTGGTGCCCAACGGAAACGGCCATAGCTACATTTAGCAGCATTAAATGGTAGTGTCATATTCACTACACTTCGCTCGAGAAACACTGGTGTCACAAAGGTGTATTCCTCACATTATTTAGTACTTTGTTGGACAACTCGCTCCGAGAATCAATCACACATAGCGACCAATTGATGTGCAAACCTCAAAGTCCGACTGATAGCGATGCCGGCGTCATAAGACGGAGGTGTAGGGGGAAGGAGTATCCGCACTGCTTTGTGATCTCCCGTCGAGACACGGATACATTGATGTCTACTTATGTGCGAAAATTTGAAAGCATCTGAGCCGAAAGAAGCGACGGATTCGAAAGCTTGTCGTGGCAAGTCTCTGTAGAAGCAAGGATTGTACCAAAGGTGAATAAGTCGATATAGGCGCGCAAGAAAGGGCTTTAAGAGAGAGTAACAGACTGTCTTATTACCTTTACGGTTTACGAGATTGCTGGAAAATCTCTAGCCGCTCGAGCACCCAAACCGGTGGTGTGAGCTGCCGTCCAGGGTCATGTTATGTAAACGGTCGCGGAGAAACCAGGGTGGAAAAGAGCTCTGTCGCTAGCTGGAAAAACATACAGCCGTCCCCGTCACGGTTGAACCGGTGTTCCCTGACCGCTACAGCTTGTAGCTGTTGAAGCGTTGTTTGTCGTAGTTCGGATTTCGCTTGGTCAGCGGTTGTTTCCTCGTGATTGTGCACCCAGCGCTTCCGCTGTGTCCATGGGGTGGCGAAGCAGATGGAACACGCTATCCACCAATTTCATGCCCAAGCCCTGTCAATCTCCCCCGCCGTGTCCGGAAACAGGCGGCCGATCCCCGCTCTGACGCGTGGAGGTAGGTCTGGTGCGGTTCGAGATAGCACTGCTGCTTAGTGCGCGAGTAATTGCGCAGGCTGGACACCCATCCGGGTCCAATGAGCCACAATATACGCCCCACACTTTGCCGCTTCCTCGCAGTTCTGGATAATGTAAATAACCCCCTCACGCTGTCCCCGACAGGCCACATAACGTGTGCATCATGAGTCTTGTGCTCGGCCGGGTAGTATAGATTTAACTGATGGGTAGCGACCCGGTAGCAGACCCGGACCTGGTAGTCTGTCAAAGCGGGTCTGGCAGCCCATAGCTGTGTCGGGAGCTGTTGGAGTGGGTATCCCGCCCCGTCAGCCGCGTTAACTCGCTTTCGAAGACGTTGTACCAACCCGTCAGCACTGGGTATAAATACCATTTAGCTCAGAGAAAAGGTTGTCGTTGCAACGCCTTGAAGGCGTGCTTGTTATTCATGGTTGGGTTGAGATACCATGGAAACAGGTGGAGTCGCGGATGTGCTGCGAAAACAAAACTCCGTTTGCGATTCCGCTGTTGAAAGCGGACCAACTCCAGTTCGATGTCCGATGGCACCTTTGAAACTCGGTGTATGACCCAGTGGATGCCGGTATCTGTCTAATGATGGATCACGCAAGACATTCCGCTATCCATCGAGGGATGCTTGGCTTAGCCCACGAGCAACGCGCGGTCAACTAAGTGTCCAAATAAATCCTTGATGCACCTCCGGTCCATGCCGCAGCTGTAGCTGTGGCGGGAATAAATGCCTTTTTAAGACTGAGTCGAGACCTCGATATTCACGTTTTACCAACGCTGTGAGTTGACATATTCCATATAACGTACGACGCTTTACAGACTCGTGGTCTGCACTCCTTAAAACCAAGTGTATTCTCTCACTCCTACAGTGACATCGACAATGCTGCAAACTAGTACCAAATCCGTTTCCAGACCTTTATCGCTGCCTTACGTCACCTCATAAACGTAGATGCAGCCCATGCATGTCTCAGCCGTGACAGTACCTCACGAGCGTATTGAATCAATTCGATGGTCGCTGGGCGGGAGTAAGAAAAGCGTATCTAGCATCCGCTCAACACGCATAATGGTGCTTCTGCCCAGCAACCAAGGATAAACCACAACACACGCACGCTTTCAGAAATACCGGGGGACGCGATTCGGGAGCTGCATACGCTTACACGCCAGCCATGGTCTCAGAAGGACCCGCTATGCAGAGATGAGGTTGTTTTGTTGCAAGTCTGTTGCACGTCTGCACTTGATACTTTATAAAGCCATTCGTATGATCCCAAAGTTGAGGCGGGCGCTGCTGCGCGCTACCCGCTGCCACGAATTCGAGCGGATGATAGCGTCAAGTCGCTACAGCAGGGGATACAACGCCTCAGCGAGCTGACGTTTGTAAACCTCGAACACGAGACAGCTTCATTTAGTCCTTATGGTAGTCAGTCGTCGGAAAACGGCGACATGGGCTCTGGTGCTGGCTATGATCATTCGTATCAGAAAAACTCGCCCTTCGAATTGAGACATTCGCGACAAGCCCGCGGAAGCATTCTCCACTTGAGCATGCCTCGCTCAGTTCAGTCCAATCCTCTCGTCCGCATATCATTACAGAGATATTACACACTCGCACACTGACACTTGCTGCTTCTCTCGCTCAGAAAACGTGGTATAACCCCATCGATCGTAGTTTCTTCATATTGTGGCTCGTGTTACAGCAAATGCAGTTAAACGGGGACTTCGAGATTCAAGATGCCGTAGAGCTGTAAGGACAATTTAGGTTTCATGCATGTTTACGAGTTCTTCTCGCTACAAAGTAGAAACTAGCAATGTTCTAGAAGCATGACTAGTATGGAAGCTAAAGCACAAGGAACGCGTACTTCGCACCCAGGTCGCTAACTGACCTACGTCTACAAACTTCCTGACCATCGAAACGTGGATGCCGTAAGCATTACACACTTGGGCTCCTCTCGAATCGTTGAGGTCACTTCGAGTTGCGTGACGTAAATCCGCGAGCGCTTGATGTGAGGCCCAGCTCCGGGATCCGGGATCAGACCAGGAGCCCTTGGGTTTAGGTGTCGTCAAATGGTCGACGTGTGTTCGCCCAGACGAGCACGACAGCCCCGCCCACAGAGATGGACCTACCTCCTAGACTGGGCGGACGATGTGACGAGCCGCATAGGGGGGAGGGGAGAATGGACAACAACTTGGACCAGCATTTGGTCCTGCCAGTCACGCGAGACAAATGTTGCGTCTGCAACACTTGTGCTGCTCTATTCAAATGGCTTTCTGGCTGAAGAAACAGTGATAATTCAAAGGCATCACCGCTATTCTACCCTTCGTACACTTCCTTGTCGATCCGAAAGCGCAAGCTACTTGTTCTGTTCGACGTGTCGTCATGAACAGCGCTCGTCGAAAATCTCTCGTTGACAACAGATGTGTGGTTTAGGTGCCGTAAACAACAAACGGCACGAGGGCAGATGCGACGACGTGAAAATTGTGGCGCTCAACTCGAACAACAATGAACTGACTCCATCAAGAGTTAACGCCCGTTTGCGCCTCGATTGGTCTCTTTAAAGCACCTTCAATGGCGACTTACACGACTTGCTGTCGTCGCAGAACCACCACTTGACCGACAACAGACGGACGCGATACAACAAGTCCGTGAGGTATCAACAGGTAAGTCTTCTGTCTGATCATGCTCTCGATCTCGAGAGAATCGAACAAATGCAACTCCATGGTCCACTTTCTATGGTCACTCTGGTCGCACCAGCTTCCGCGAAGCGATTGTCTCCACGCTCATCGATTGTCGCGACGTCACCCACAAGCATGTCAGCAGCTTTTACGCCGTCTATCCAGCTGGGGACTCGTGGCACCTGATAAGACGAGTGTGACATCCGACAGGGGAACTTCGTGCTTGACGGGTGGCCTATTTATAGCATTCGAGCCCAGCTTTTTTCGTCTTGAATCTAGGGCCGGCCGCCACATCTCTCGCCACGGCTTCCCGGCCAGCCAGTGTCCTATCCCGAACGTCACGTCGCACACGACGGGCTCTTTACCGTTACTGTGCGTGTGGTTTTGTGTGGTTCTGTGTGGTTGTTTGTAAGCCCCCCAAGTACCTGCCAACCTGGCGCACGACTGACTGACTGACTGACTTGTGGTGAAAACCTAATTCAGTCGCTTTTCTGTCCCGAACCGCTGCCGCCGCCCAGAAGCATGCGATTTGATGCCGCATTCTTCATTCTTTCTCGTCTCGCGCAAGTCGAGAGTCACCGCTTGTCCTCTCACTCCCGTCTCGCTCACTCTCTCACTTCATTGGAGCTGAGCGTAGAGAGCAAGCATCAAGGCACGACACATGGCGCTCCGAGCTGTGAAGCGGGTGATCCAGACAGCTCTGCTCGTGCAGGTGCTGCTGCTTGACCAGACCGTTTCAGTCCGTGGAGATGTACCAGCCACCCAGCAGAACTTTGCCCAGCTCAAGTCGGGGGACCACATCTCGGCCAAAGTCCTACCTGCCGACCTCCAGGAAGAGCGCGGCCTCATGGATGGCCTCGGTGGCCGTGACTTTTCGGACGAAGACTTTGAGACCGTGACGCCTCAAGCGGCGGGCATGATCGATCGACCATCTACTGCCGAGTTGATGGCGGGTCTTGGCAGTGGACTGAGCGCTCTCGTTCCAGATGACATCAAGAAATCGGTCTTGGGGGACTCCACCTCGGACTCGGGGAGTGACGAGAGCGCATCGGGAGGCGACGAGAGTGGATCGAGTTTGGGGAAGATGACCGAGGAGGCTGTCTCACAGGCGGGCTCTGGGAGCTCGGAGAGCTCGCTTGAAGAGACTGGGTATGCAAGTGAAGCAATTGAGGCAAGTGCGAGTGCAAGTGACGAGGGTGAATCGGGAAGCGACGAGGACGAGGCTGACTTGGGAAGCGACGAGGACGAGGCTGACTTGGGGAGCGACGAGGACGAGGCTGACTTGGGGAGCGACGAGGACGAGGCTGACTTGGGGAGCGATGGGGACATGGGTAGCTTGTTTGGATCGAGTTCTGAAGACAAAGAGCTGTCTGCTTTACTGAAGAGCTTATCCGAGGATGACATGTCAGGGTCTGACGAGCCTTCGGGCAGCTTGCTTACCGGTTCTGGAGGATCGGGAAGCACCGACGACTTGCTAGGTAAGTTTGGTGGTGGCAAAGGTGTGGCTGCTGACCTCGAAATGGACGAGTTCATGAAAGCCATTGGAAGCAGTCTCGGTCTGGGACTGTTTGGTGGGGGAGACCCGTCTAAACCACAGCTCAAAGAGATCGACGACGAGAACATCAAACTTAGTGAACTTTACGGCGGCAGGGAACACGGTGACGCGTTCTCGGATATCAACAATATCAAGTACGGACAGTTCGTTTTGAACATAACTCTTCGTGGAAACAAGCGCTTGGATAAGATCGAAATCGTAGCGGGGACACAGGAGACCGCAGTTAACTTGGCTCACGGCGGCAAAGGCGGCGGTAGTGCTCACGTTGAGCCAGAACTGGGCGACACAATTTCTTCAGTGGAAGTTCACTGGGGCAAGTACGACAAAAAAACGAGAATTTTTTATTTGCAGATCATTACAAGTGGGGGCAAGACAGTTTCTGCTGGAACGAAGACGGCAAACACGGCCACGATGAAGGCGCCACCGGGCTTTCAAATTGCCGGGTTCTACGGACGTGCGTCTAGTGACGGAATTTTTTGTCTTGGTGCGATATACACAAAGGTTGGGGCGAGCGATCTGTCTGTCACGGACGTAATGGAAGTTCCTGATAGTGGCACTTCCGATATCTACAGCTACGACACAACCATTCGCAATTGGCTCGGCAATGTCCAAATTGCTGTCCCCGACAGTGCTTGCTACCAAGTTCGACATGGTGTCAGCAGCAAGAACACATGTCCAACGGGTTATCGGAAGGATGATATGGATTGCGTTGGACACTGTCCGCTCGAGTATCCGGTGGAGTGCTGGAGGGAATGCATTCCTCAAAACAATGATTGCACGCAGGAGATCCTTTCCAAGGCTATCTCAGTGGCTGCTGCGGCTCTAAGCGTCGCTTCAATGGGCACGTTTGGTGCTCTTTTGACCTCCGTCAGGACCGTTAAATTCGCGCTCGCCTGCGCTGTCGCTGTCATGAACTCTCTCCGAGGACTGATGTTTTATCTGCGGTACCGGGTAACGACAATTCCTCGAAACGACATCGAAAAAATTATGGATAAGGCATTCATGCTGCAAATGGTCGTCATGGACCTGCCGATGGCACTGGCCACTTGCATGGGTCTCCCCATGCCGAAATCTCTGACGTATGGGGTGTTGATTATGACTGGTGTGTCCCTGATTGTGATGGTGGTAGTCAGCGTCGGCGAAGCCCTATTTGGTTCGAAGGACAACATGTTGCTGTTACTGCGTGAATCGGGTGCGATGAACAAGACAATGAAAAGTGAAACTCTGGAGCTGGGTGATTTCATCAACTCAGACAACGCTACCTGTGGCCAGGAAATGAGGATTCTCACGAATCGTGTGATTAGCAAGGTTCATGAGGTCCGCAACAAAACCAAGGGTGCTGCCCCAGATGATGTTCGTGTCGTGATGAGCAAGTCTCCAATTGTTCTGCGGGATATCCCCGTTGTTACGAACCATTGCATGGGTGAAATTTGGGCGAACAAGACTGCTCTTTCTTCTTACAAAACGCGACACTTGCTTCGTAAGACGATGGGTGTCATTATCAATCAGTTGATAACTGACGGCACGACGGACCTGGGCGAGAATGTGGTCAAGCAGGAGAAGGCGATTGAGTACGCCAATCTTGGTTTGTTCGTATTGTCTATGCTCGACCCTACTGGTATTGCGTGGCTGCTCCAAGATTTTGTCCAGCCTGTCTGTGCACCCTCTGAGTACATTGGTGAGATCGATGACGGTCCTCTGAACGAAGCACTGGGTTTGACTACCATTGACCAGGCCTTTGTTGGAAGCTATGGCGTTTGGAAGAAAACGGGCGATGGCACTGTCAAGATTTTATTTGAGAGTATCGACAAGTACGACGTCGATGTTGTCATCCGCGTTGGTGGTGTCAGGGTGGATCAGGTGAAGGTGCCAGCAAATGGCAAGGCCAGTTGGTCAGCTCATGTCAAACAGATGCAAGACAAGACTCTCTACCTGGATCGCTGGCGTCCCGGTCTCTTCGGACTTCCAGGCACCGGTGGTGGTTCACTGCTAATGTGGGTTTCTCGGTCGTCACTGGGGGGTAACCTGATAATGCATGCTCGTCTCAACGTTAGCTAGGAGGGCCATAACTACCATTTAGCGACCGAACATTGTCAGAAGTCATGACATGGTCGTTCATATGTTTTAACGAATGCATTAGAAACTACTTGAACACTATTGTGATGTCGCATTATACCTGCTGCGCTTTTCCACTCATACCCTCAACTTCTCGTTCACGAGCGACGCCAGGAATTGCTTGATCCGAAGGTTTGCTACCTAAACAGTCTACTCCCTCTGAGCGCAACCAAATTTATTTGAAAAGCTCCAAGGTCGAGCTTAGAGATGCTTCCACGATCATGAGACGTGGAAAGTTCTCGGCCGAGCATGGTTCAGCGTCAGCAATATGGTACGGCAACGCTTCGTCGATCTTCCTTTGAAGCCTTTTGCCGATACGCATCAGGACTTCCTGTATACCGCAATCGAAAGCTTTGGAACGGATACCTGTCTTGTTCCCCTGTTTCAACGAAAGCAAAGGCATCAGTCGATCAATAGGTACCAAAGGACCAAACCTTTGTCCAACCTTGTCACGTATGTATAGAAACCGCACGAGACTCATACAGCTTGCTAGCAAATCCGCTTGAAATACAAGGTCGCGTTCTGCTGCTAGACTAAGAATATCTCGAAGCAACAAGTAAATTGCTGCTGTCGTAAACGCTGTGAAGCAAATCAAGCCAAGACAAGGTCGTTAGGGTCCAAAGTTGGTAAAGTTGACCCTGGAATAGGACGTACGTGACGATCTGCTTGCATCGATCAGAGACCACGTCCGGACTGCATCATCGCGGACAATATCAAGAAGCGCGGCAGAAACATTCCCATACGGACACTGCATTAGCAGACCACGTAATAGCCAAAATCTAGAAAGCATGAGAGAGTACGGTGATGGCATCAAACATTTACAAATATTGAGTACAAGATCCACACAATGATGTTAGCGCATGGCCTACCGATCATCGACTGCGAGCTTGGAAATCAGCTCCTTTGTGACTGTTAGCGCGGCCGATCGATCTTTAGTTTCAAGAAACGATACCATTGCGTTTGTCGTGACCTGAATCACAGGAGACACCCAATCTCGATTGAAAAAACCTACAGATAAGCAAGGCAGCATAATGAGCAACCCATTGAAGTACACGGCGATTCATCTCCACGTACTTGCAACTTGGTCCCGGAATGATCGCGCTCTATTTCGCGAAGATTCGCCTTCCTTTTCAATGATTATGGATAGCTTTTCTCGAGGGCATAGCTTTCCTACCACTCGCAACAGCTCAAGTCCTCGAATGCGATTCTACCATGCACACGCACTAATTAAGTCATTTTATCATTGCATTCTTGAGTATCCGCAAGTACCTGGTGTTCATCCGAAAGGATCATGTCATGGGCGTACGCAGCCACGTAAAAAAGCCACGAGAATGGCGACGCAATGACCGGTAGCGTATTGACTTTGTGTTGGTTGTTCATCAGCAGCGCATGTACAAAACTACCGATCCCGTGACGCGACCACGCGGCAAATGTGTGTGCTTGCCCCGAAGTTTCCAAAAAATAACGAAAGTTTGTCAAGCCCCACATACTCGCCACTTGACCACTAACCCATCGCATATCTTCCATCTCAAACTCGTTTGCTTCAGCTTCTTCTTCATCCTTAGAACCAACTTCTGATTCCGTCTCTGTGTCGCTTTCGCAGGACGGCAGCAACGCACGACGGCACTCGACCAGCTCTTCTCGGAACCGAAGTGTCGCGATAATCACATAAACATCGATGCCGCAGCGTAAAATATTTGCCACCAATCGTGCCGTCACGTCGTTGGCAGTTGCATCGCTCGTAACTGCTGCAAACAAGTGCAACAAAGCAGCAACGAGCACTGCCCGTTGGTTTAAGGCTTCTTGGCCATCTTTCTCTTTTTCGATCTCGTTGTGATCACTTAAAATCTGATCACTTGACACTGTCAAATCCACCAACGGTTCAAGAAAGTAAAGGCACAAGGTGATGCCTTCGGTGGCTGAAAGCACCTCATTCTGACTCTTTGACCGCAGCTTGCTCTCCTGTGGACTACTGGAAACAAGCGCAAAAATGCGTCGCAGCACCACTGAACACGCATCTTCGAGAAACCGCCACCGTTTGCGCTGGATATCCCGTAGCGCTAAGTATATTACACATTTAGCGTCAACAAATGTCGGCCTTTTAGTACAATCAATCAGGGACATTGATCCGAGTCTCCATTTCTATGTTCATGAAAGATTTTATGCACTTGCTTACCGTCATGAAGGACTGCGAATTGAGCTCGAGTCTCTGCTTCGGATGATGCTTTGGCTTGGAAAGCTACTAATGCGTCCAATAGCTCTTCTTTGCCCATGATGGACTTCGCTCTATTACAAATGCCTTGTCGCCGCTGCCAATCACAGTCGTGCGTCGAAATCGAACTTGACCTGTCACATACGGTAGTTCTCCCACATGGCTACATGAATATCAAAGTGGCGTCACAGCGACGTTTATCACGTCGTGTTGCGAACGCTTGTATACACCCACGACTTCTCGTATACGCCTTTGCCTCGACCAGTAGCTCACACTGCGCCTATAACTAATAATGATCACCCACGCTTCCCTCTGCTGGACATGATGTTGACAAGAAGGACGTGTTGGAAAAGATTGTGTCTTGTTCGACACACTCTTTTCCAACACGTCCTTCTTGTCAACATCATGTCCAGGAGAGGAAAGCATGGGCGAACATTAGTATGACTGTGAGCGAGGCGCGCTAGACGACGATGAGAATGGCGGCCACTGATTTGTGTCGGTAACAGGCATACATTGTGCGATGCAACATGCGAAACTTGAGAATGAATAGACGAGAAGGATGGCTATCGAGTGGGCAGGAAGGATATGGAGTGAAAAGCAAGTAGAGTAATCACGAATATTAATGACAGAATCCTGTTACTATAGTGCTTGGTATTGCTCATCTAACGATGTAAAGATCGAACAGATTATGATCCCAATCACAGAAATTAATGACAACAACGCGGCACAGTCACCGCCGGCAATTAGTCACGAAAAGGCCTCGTCGGAGCCTGCTGCGTTCGTCATCCCGCCCGCTCACGTAAGGAGCGCATACTCTGAAGCGCTGGCCAAGGTCCTCAAATGTTGTATAGGAGGGATGCTAGCATGCAGAAGATAAAAGCTCCGCAGCAAGGATTGAATGATACGAGCGGATGCGCGGTGCCGACGAAAATGGGTTGTTCATTTCCACGATCGAAGATGACTTTGCCGGTAGGCCTCATCGCGGAGCTATGAGGCTTTCTGACCTCCGCGAAGAGCATGGATCACCGCAATCTTGATAAGTGGTGTTTTGGCTCAATGGCGTGATGATGGGGCATGACACCTTGTGCATGTAACGGGGCACCCTGAAGCTTGTACTGGTGACAGTACAAGCTACTTATTCTGATGACAAAATAAGGCGGTGCCTCGGAACTTCACGTGCACTCGTACGTGCAGAGGAACCTGGTAAAGCGAGTACTTGGTTAATGTAACGGGGTTGCACGAAATTATGGTACGTTGTACAAGGGGTGTTACGCACCTGAGGTTATCCCTTTGTGAAGGTGATATCGAATATCTTATTGGTTTGTAGGGGCTGACGAGTGTCAGCCATTAGGTACGGAAGATCTTTGAGTAGGATTAAGATATTCTATAGGCTTTAACAAAATAAAATCAGTTCCCATTTTGATCTGAAGGACACTTGGCTTGCGAGCCGTCTTGACCGTTGATCACTGATCACTAAGAGCTAGCGACACCTCCTTGAGGTAGCTACTCTTGAGCACTGAGTGCTGTCGATTTACTGAATCGTTAGGTCCCCCTGGAACAGGGATCTGAAGCTGTAAAGCATATTGACTCGTAAAGTCGTTAGTTCTTTGGAACTAAGTTGCTCGTAGAGCGTTAAGTTTTCCTCTGACTTAAGGGGCTGTGTAGCTCCGCTACACTTGGTAGCACTCGTAGTCAATCTACACCTGAGTCTTTAAGACTGATCCTCTGTGGGGATGGAAAACTCCACTCCCCTATCTGAGGCCCAAAAGGTCGCGCTTGATAAGCTGACCGCATCTTTGGGTCCAGAGTACGTGAAGTTCCTTGTATCACAAGTCACTGAGGTGCTTAATGCACGTGTTGAAAGCTTCATGCAGTATGAAGCGACTCTTTTAGGGCAGGTCCAAGACCAAATAGCGTCGGCTATGTCTACACGCAACGTGTCTGTACCAGACGAAGAGGCTAGGCCTCGTCCACTTAGAGTGGAAGTTAAGAACCGATCCGGCAAGGAGGTGAAAACCTCATCCTCTGGATCCGTGAGATTGAGATGGCCATGAGATCAGGTCTGATCACGCTTGACCATCAACAGGTCTCGCTGGCTATCTCGAAGCTCGATGGTAGAGCTAGAGAATGGGCCTTGACGTGTAGCACGTCGGTGGACATAGCGTTTCCCACATGAAAGTCGCTCAAGTCACAATTGGTACAGGTGTTTTCTCCACCTAACCAGGCTTACCGCGTGCGTTCACGCTTTCTTTCTACCCGCCAGGGTAAAAATGAACTATCGGACTATGTCCAAGAGCTGCGAACGCTTATGGCTGCAATGCAGTCTGACCCTCTGCCTGAAGCAGTCCATGTGACTATCTTCATGGAAGGTCTACGTACTGGCATTGCCAGAACCGAGGTTTTTCGGGTTCACCCCTCTACGTTTGAAGAGGCTGTGAGAATTGCTCTTAATGCTGAGCATAACTTCAAGTCGGCTAGACTTGGTTGGAATGGATTCAATCCTCGCTCTGTGAGAGCAAACTATTCGGGTACCACTGCCTATAATAGGCCGGAACCGATGGATCTCAGCTATGCTGAAGATGGAGGTGAAGCTGAGCTTCAAGCTGCTGAGCAGCAACACGTCGTACGACGATGCTTTACGTGCGGAAGCACTAAACACTTGCGGCCTGGTTGCCCTTTTCGTAAGCAAAACGCCAAGCTACAAGCCAAAACTCGACCCCGAGTCAGAAGTCTGGCATGGCACGGGGAAATGCCGACACCCAGTAGGCGCGGGGCGCCCTACTGGGGAAAAACTATGTTCTGTTACACCTTTAGAAGGTAAAGGGTTGAAGGGCTTAGCCCCAAAGAGTACCATACCTACAGGTATGGTGCGTGGATACAAGTCTGGCTTGTCGGTCGCCGAGGCGAAAATTAAGGACTTTGAGAAGCCTTGGTCGATATTGATCGATTCTGGAGCGTCTTGCAATTATGCTCGACGCCGTTCCCTTGAGGGAAGTCAGCGTTATGCTGAGGCGCTTACAGCGCATGAGGGTGATTCTATCACGGTTCGTTTAGCGACCGGAAGTCGCGTAACTGTGCCTAAAGTTCCATCGAACTTAGGTATAACGTTTTTAGACTTTGACAGTATTGAGCGCTGTCTTGTCCTAGATTTGGACTCGAGATATGATCTCATCCTAGGTATGGCTTGGCTTGAGCGCCATGAGCCATGGATTGATTGGCGGTCCAAGACCTTAGGCGCTACGTGCAATGTTCCTGGCGAAGTTTTGGAGAGTCATGAACCCACCTTCGCTAGGTAACAAAAACGCTACTGGCGCGAGCCTTTGACAGAAGATGTCAATGTGCTGGATATTGGAATGTCTGAGTTGTCTAACTCCAATGTTACAAACATAAGTTTCGAGCTTAGCTCGTCAAGTGAAACGGCACGTACTCCGTTGAGTGTTACTCGTTGTGATAACGAGTCACTGCATGCTGAAAGCATGGTTGGCCTAGGGCCGAGTGATCAAGGATGTGATTCCTTTAATGTGTGCATGGTGGCACGTGAAACTACACCGATTGCGGTCGGCCGTGAGAGCACCGCACTGAATGTCGGTAATGACATTTTTGACGATACGCCATTTAGTGTGGGCGGCCGTGAAGGCACCACGCTTAACGTCGGTAATGGCGTTGTTGGCGATTCGCCATAGAGTGTGGGCGTCCGTGAGGGCACCACACCTAATGTCAATAATGATATTGTTGGCGATACGCCGTGTAGTGTGGACGGCCGTGAGGGCACGACGCTTAACGCCGGTAATGGCGTTGTTGGCGATACGCCGTATAGTGTGGGCGGCCGTGAGGGCACCACACCTAATGTCAGTATTGATACTGTTGGCGATACGCCGTATAGTGTGGACGGCCGTGAGGGCACCACACCTAATGTCGGTCAAGACAAAAGCTCTCGTATAGAGCGTACTATGGTTGGTAGTAACCATGGGGACAATATTGTCCCGACCCCTAAGGGGTGTAAGGTCTCGAAGAGACGATCGAGACGCCGGGTAGCTACTTTAAGCGCCAGGCGTCCTCACAGTCACATAGTGATAATAGTAATACACTATATACACTTGTCAATGGAGTGACTGGTCGGGTTGATGGCAGTGTTTGCCTTGAAACCCTTCCATCCGTAGACGCTCTTTGTGAGCTAGACGAAATGTTTGATGGCGAGTTTAGCCAGGCCTTAAAGGCAGGAGAGTTGTCCGAGTTAGCGGTCATTAGACCTGATACTGAGTTGAATTCTTCCTCGTTAATGGATGAGTCTGTCCTAGAGGATACAAAGGCGGCACTTAGTGCACGAAGTGGATCTTCGATCCTTAAAGATCCTTTGGATCCGTTCTTTCCTGTAGTTAAGGAATTTCAAGATGTGGTGTGTCACAACCCACCTTCTGCCTTACCTCCCGATAGAGGTGTACGTCATGAGATTGACTTGGTACCTGGAACTAAATACTGTGTAACACGGCAGTGGCCTTTGCCTAAAGAACAGTGTGACGTCATTGACGAATTCTTTCGTGCTAAGCACGCGGCTGGAATGGTTCGTGAGAGTAAATCTCCCCATTCAACACCGACATTTTGTGTCAAAAAGCCAAATGGCAAGTGGCGTATTGTGCATGCTCACAATAAGCTTAATGCAGCCACTATACCGGCGCAGACGCCTATTCCTAGAAAGGATGTTCTTCAGAACAATATGGCAGGATGTACATTGTACAGTGCACTCGACTTAGTCGATGGTTAGTACCAACTGCTCATGCGAGCAAGTGATATTCCGCTAACAGCGGTGAGTACTCCGAGCGGTATGCTCTGGGAGTGGCTCGTTATGACACAAGGGCTATCTAACGCCCCGGATACATTTAAACGGTTGGTAACGCAACTATTCAGACCTCATCGAGGCTATGCACAAACGTACTTTGATGACATTTTTGTCCATAGTCGTGCAATAAATGAACGATCAGATGTGGATAACCACATCGATCATTTACGAGCGGTGCTCGGGTGTATGCGGAAGAATAAGCTGTATGCGAACGCATCGAAGTGCATCTTTGGTGCAGAAGAGATTCCCTTTCTCGGGTGCTTCATTAGGAAGCGAGGCCTTCGAGCGGATCCCGCTGAGGTAAAAGCCATAGTCGATTGGCCAGTCCCCAAGAACCAAAAGGACTAGCGTAAGTGGCTTGGCCTTGCCAATTACTTACATAATTACAGTGCGAATTACGCAGATATGGCTCGGCCATTGTCCAATCTCCTTAAGAAGGATGTGGATTGGTGTTGGAGTAACACCGTACATGATGCGTTTGAAGCCGTTCAGGAATGTCTCCTTCATGCGCCAATATTGGCTTTGCCCGATCCTGATCGGCCTTTCAGTGTCGTCTGTGACGCATCTGACTTTGCCATAGGCAGTGCTCTGTTACAAACAGATGTCGATGGACGCGAACGCGTCATCGCATTCGAGTCTCGACAGCTGAAAGCTGCCGAAAAGAACTATCCAGTTCATGACAAAGAGCTACTTGCTATGAAGTACGCTCTAGTCAAATTCAGAGTACATCTGCTTGGCTCAAAGCCGTTTGTGGTCTATACAGATCATGCGTCATTACGCACTGCGACACAGTTGCCTCATCTCTCACAGAGAATGGCTCGTTGGCTTTCCTTCCTTGCCGAATATAACTTCGAGGTAAAGTACAAGCCAGGTAAGCAAAATATTTTGGCCGATGCGCTATCGCGTCGACCTGACTATGAGCTTGCTCATGTTACGACTCTGTCGTCGTCGGTCACTGACTTAATCCGTGCGGCATATGCCAAGGATGAACAGTGTGTAGCTTTGCTACGGGCTCTTGGGAGCGATGAGTTTAAAGACTCGGACATAGAATTGTCGGCACGTTTACGTGCGAGGCTACATCGGTATTCCATCAATAATGGCCTGTTGTGCTATCGCACGGATATTGAGGATAAGCCTCGTATCGCTGTACCTCATGATGAGGGATAAAAGTATCGAATCCTCTATGAGGCACATGATACTGGTTTAAGTGGTCATCTCGGTCGTGAGAAGACCTATAGCTCGGTGAGCCAAAGTTATTGGTGGCTCAAACTATATAAGTGGGTGCACACCTATGTGCGTACGTGCGAAACGTGTCAACGGTTTAAACCCTCGGCACATGCGACGGCGCCGCTGTCTAGTTTGCCAGTACCCATTGGTTGTTGGGAGTCCATGAGCATGGATTTTGTGTTTGGCCTACCGAAAGGTTCGGAAGGCAACACTGGTATTGTGGTCTTTGTTGACCGATTAAGCAAGATGGCTCACTTAGCGGCTGTGCCGGATAGCATCGATGCTGAAGGTACAGCATAGCTGTTTATCGACCGTGTGTTTTGCCAACATGGCTTGCCGGTGGCAGTTATCTCTTATAGAGACCCCCGATTCACTGGGAAGTTTTGGAAGTCTATTTTCAAGGTGCTTGGCACTCGGTTGGACATGTCCACAGCGGATCATCCGCAGACCAACGTTCAAACTGAGCGCGTAAACCGCGTCATCAACGACATTTTGCGCAGTATTTGCGCGGATACGCCTAGGCGTTGGAGCTCAATGCTCCCTGTTGTTGAGTTTGCGATGATTAACGCTGTTCATGCCTCAGCAGGCTTTACTCCGTTCTATATAAACGGTCTCACCCACCCTCGCGTTCCGTTAACACTATCACTACGTGAATCAGGGCTTGGTGGGGGAGAGGTTGCCGATCGGCTTGCTGATATCAGCCCTGCTACTGTCCAAAAACAGGTAAGCGAGTTTCTCGCAACGCGATTAAATGTCTTAAGACATGTGCGTGACGCAATGGCTGATAGCCAAGATACCCAAAAACAACAAGCTGATGCCAAAGGCAGAAATTGTATTGAACGTTATGAGGTCGGAGACCAAGTACTACTCAATGCTAAAAATCTACCTACAAATGTAGTGTCTGCTGTCTTTAAGACGAAGTTGCGTCCACGCTTTATTGGACCGTTTACGGTCACGGCCAAGAAGGGACTTGCGTATACGCTAAACCTTCCGCGCAAATTGCGCACACATCCAGTATTCTACGTAGGCTTACTTAAGCCGTACCGGGATCCTTCCCATGTGAACTTGGAGGCGCTTGCGCCGACGACAAGGGCACTGCCCCGGATTGCTGTAGACGAATCAGCAAGTCCAACTGAGCCTCGCTCCGAGTTTGAGCTTGCTCCATCGCCTGAAGGCGGCTTTGCATCGCATCCAGCATGCACTGGGACTTACCCAAGGCCTCTTGAAGACCCTTCACTTCGAGAACCAATTTCTCGTGGGCCTCCACCGGTACACCGGCCGCCACCGACTTTGCTCGATGAGCATGGGTGTCGTCAATTTCATGTCGAGAGACTACTGAAACGACGTCGTCGTCAGGGCCAATACCAGTATCTGGTAAAGTGGCGTGGGTACCCTGAGTCTGAAAACTCATGGGAATTTGAGGTACCCCTTCGGCAAGACTGCCCATATGCTTTGGAGGCTTTTAAGCATCGTGGCCATGGTCGTCTCGAGGCCGAGGCCGTTCCCCACCACTAGTGGTGCGGGTTGGCGGGTTGCTGGCCACAGACTGACCAGCACTCGCGGCTACCTTAGTAGCCGAAGCATAGCGCGTGCGCTTGCGCAATTGGCCTCTGGCCTTAAGCTTGGCATAATCATACCGAAGCTTGCGTTCAAGACGCACGTCAGCCACACTGGCACTAGCCCTTAGAGCCTATATGTTGCTGAGGCGACGCACATAGTGCACCCAGTGAACAAAGGCATCGTCTTCTTCGCTCACTGTTTCGCCTGCGAACAAGAGAATGGGTATACCCTTGATCGGTGGAACCGGTGTACCACGCGCTTGCATGTCAAGGCGTGCCTTGTATTGACTTTGAGTCGTTAGGTGCGGCATCAGGTACCTCTCGCGAAGTGCCTGGCAGCTCACAACCTCCTCAGGAGTCTTAGGCCCATGGACAATGACCCACGTTGCCAATGTTTGGCCGGCCGCTTGACGTAGACGTTCCTCCACACTTGGTGGGGTGAACACATAGTCATGCTGGCGTTCAATGGTTGCAGCCATTTGTACATGACGCTGAGCATTTTCTTTTCTTTGAACAAGCAGTTGTTGTTGCTAATCGAGCGGGTTCGTGATGATAGTCTCATCAGACCCAGACGCTGCATACTGCGCTGGTGGCGCGCTCGCACCTCCACGTTCAGCGAACGGATTTGGGGTGTTCGAAAGTTGTGCCTCAGGCATCAGTGAGCCGGACATTGTCCCTGTATCACCGCGGACACTGGTATCGCTACCATAGTCCACCTCCTCCTCTATCCCGAGGTAGTCACACAGAGCCTTTGACTCGTTTGGTGATGAGGACATCGTGCTGGAGCGTACGTTACCGTGAGGTTCACCGTACGCGCACTGTTCTCGCTGAGAACACAAGTTCAATTGACGTTTTGGCAAACGTCAGTCTGGTGGGGGAGGGTGTAACGGGGTTGCACGAAATTATGGTACGTTGTACCAGGGGTGTTACACACCTGAGGTTATCCCTTTGTGAAGGTGATATCGAATATCTTATTGGTTTGTAGGGGCTGACGAGTGTCAGCTATTAGGTACGGAAGATCTCTGAGTAGGATTAAGATATTCTATAGGCTTTAACAAAATAAAATCAGTTCCCATTTTGATCTGAAGGACACTTGGCTTGCGAGCCGTCTTGATCGTTGATCACTGATCACTAAGAGCTAGCGACACCTCCTTGAGGTAGCTACTCTTGAGCACTGAGTGCTGTCGATTTACTGAATCGTTAGGTCCCCCTGGAACAGGGATCTGAAGCTGTAAAGCTTGTTGACTCGTAAAGTCGTTAGTTCTTTGGAACTAAGTTGCTCGTAGAGCGTTAAGTCTTCCTCTGACTTAAGGGGCTGTGTAGCTCCGCTACAGTTAAATTAAAAAGTAGAACTGCATTTATCATTGTTAATGTCTGTTAATATATCACTATTTATCCTTATCTAACTATGTCTGAATACAAATGTGCATTTCAACTATCTGCTCACCACTCATTGCGTGCGTCTGTCGTGGCGCGTCTTCGTCGGTTGATATAATGGCCTGTATCAACCAATTAGGAACTACTCGTAAGTGCTACAGAATATTTGTCCTTATGACAGTATTCTGAGAATATAACTCTTATAGTTATATTCTATTAACAATTTCTTATAAATTGTTATGTAACGATTCACCCCGTTACCTCACCCCCCTTAACCATCAGTCACTTTAGTGACTGATTGACTAAATGGATACTCGTCCCAAATCATTTGGGACAGGGTTTGCACTTGTTGGTCCGCGTCCACTTTCCAACATCTCATCGCATGGTTAACAAGCCCATGCGATGCGCGAGCAAGGCTGCTGAGAGCGCGTCTGCACGTCTCTGTGCGGACGCCGAAGCAGAAACCGCAGCAACTGATGTCTCATCGGTTGCTGAAGCGACTCAGCCTGTGTCACCTGGTGATGCAGGCGCTCGTCATGAAGACACTCATGTCTTCACAGAGTATGATCTCGGTGTCTCATACTCTCCTGATGCGGAAGACGGATCCGTATCGACGGCGATCGAAACCAAGCCGCCTGCCAAGCGTGGCATGGATGATGCTATGCGCCGCAGCATCTTTGGCTCATCTGATGAATCAGATGAACCATCGCCGAAGCGAAGGCGCTCGAGGTCGCGAGACTCGGGCGCTAATAGTGGTGTCGGTTCTCCTATTGACACCACTTCGCTACGAGGTGCCAGTCCTTCAGTCGGCATGTCGCAAAAAGAGCGGGGCCGCAGTGTGTTGCGTCTCGCTCCTGAGAAGAAGGCATGGATGCCTCCAAAGTCTGTCATGGATCACTTGTTGGCGACGACGAGTGATCGTTATCGAACACGGTTATTCGATTATTCAAGGATCCATCACCTTGACCCCAGCGCGGAAAACTATCGCGCTGAACATGAATTCTTCACCGATGCTTTCTTTAGACATCGATGGTACAGTGGGAATCACAAACGTGATGGTCCCTCACTGCTTCAGGCGTGGAACGCTTACATCCATGACCTTGAGGATGTAGGTCGTGACGCTTGGAACGACAAACTTATCAAAGCTCGTGATAAGTTTGAAAAGCGAACCCCGACAGGTGCACGCTACAAGCTGCATCGTCTGTCAAGGGAGAAAGGATTACCCTGCCTCTCTTGGGGAGACTCGTGCCCATGTTGTGTGAACAACTCTGCACGAGCACCTAAGGAGGCTTACCTCCTTACCAGCCCGTGGTGGCGCGTACGTGTCTCTACTGAGATGTACGAAGGGATTGACAACCTGAAATCCCTTTACAACCGTGCCGGGAAGACTTTCTCCGGCGGTCCTTCTGCGGCACAGGATGTGCCGCGTCGTACTGCTCAACCAGACCTAGTACGTCAACCATTAGTTGGGAGCGGGGCTCCAAAGTATCCCAGGACGGGGAATAGCCGCGCCACCGGACGAGATAACTCGTCCGACGTCCGTTCACGTCGCGGTGGTTCAACAGCTGCTCAACCAGATAGCGCTGGCCACCGCGAGAGTCCTCTAATGGAGGTGGAGGAGGAGGGAAGACTCTCTCTACACAATCGTGGGGATGCGTGTGTCCCCGAGAGCTTCTATGATCGCGTAACGCAAGGGTTACGCGGCGATCTCGAACATGAGCGGGACAGGCGTCTCCAACTGGCGGACACTGTCTTGAAGCATCGAGCTGAGTTTGCCTTTGCTCAGCTTGAAAACGAGAGATCTTTGACGTCTCTGCGTGACGAGCTAAGGGTAGCTCGTGTGGACATTGACCGGTCTCGGGCTGAGATAACTGTTCTTCAGACCCTTGTCGATGGCCACCATCGGGAGCACAAGGCTCTCTGTGAGATGCTTGAGCGCAAGGGCGTTCTTTATCAGAAGAAGCAGCGTACTGATGGTACGGCTTAAGCCGACCAACGTAAAACGTGGGATGCGTTCGCATCTTACGTGGTAACTCGATCGTGTATGCATTGCCTAGGCGGTGCAATACACGAAATGGGCCCATATACTTGGGTAAAAGTTTACTGCTACCCAAGTTAGTCACTACATGCTTTGGTAGATTAACCGTAGCAGTAGGACTAAGTCACCTTTATTAAATAAAAGAGTGTTTGCCCTTCCATTCTTGTCAGCGTTTTGCTTTTGCTTATCCACCGCTTCGGCGATGGAATCTTGCACAAAACGGACTACCGTTTCACGAACCAGTATGAACTCATCTGATGACTCGTTAGCTTCAGTGTGCTGTGAGTGCGCTGCAGAAACATCAATCTTTTCTTCAGTGAGGGATTCCGCGCTCTCACTGGCATCATCTTCTACGATATCGATGTTATCGATATCGGCATCAAACGCTACAACCTCTTCGTCAGAGCGTAAATGAGCGTGAACCAAATCGGTTTTTGCTCGCGCGAGTCCCTCCCCCCCTTAAACCAGAGTTACACTCTAGTAATGTGGGTACACGCGGATGGCGTAAGCCATCTACGTAAAACGGTGTATGTGTCGTGGACGCATGCACCGAGTTGTTGATGGCAAACTCTACCATTGGCAAAAACTCACTCCAACTTTTAAAGGAGTGTACGTATCCTCGAAGTATCTCTTCAAGGACACGATTGGCACGTTCCGTCTGACCATCTGACTTTGGATGATCAGATGTCGACATCGTCAAGCGCGTTCCGAGCGATTTGAACACGGAACGCCAGAAATCAGCAGTGAAGCGTGGATCTCTGTCCGATACGAGTTCACGGGGCAACCCATGAAGTCGGAAGATGGTGTCAATAAAGACACAAGCACATCCACTTGCTGTGATTGACTCGGGTACAGCCACAAGGTGTACCATTTTGCTGAATATGTCAACAAATACGAGAATACCCGTATTCCCGCGTGCGTCTTTGGGTAACCCGAAGCCGAAATCCATTGAGATGGATTCCCGGCACTCAGCTGGAACCGGTAGAGGCTGTAAAGGTGCACGCAGTGAAGGACTTGACTTCACTCGTTGACAGACTTCGCATGCGCGAACATACTTTCGCACAAACTGATACTGGCGGGGCCAGTAAAAGTCTCAAGTCACCGTGAGATATGTTTTCTCCTGGCCACGGTGTCCTCCTATAGGAGCATCGTGATACTCGAACATGATCCACAAACGCAAATCAGTATCATCTGGAATGACAACACGTGGTGTGTCACCAGAAACGGCTGTATAATACAGTAACCCGTTGCGAGTAGTGTATCGATCTGATGCAGATCGATGCGCAGACGACAATCGTTTCAACGATTCTCGAGATGGTTGTGAGAGATGTGTCAACAAATTCACAATCTTACCATCTTGGGCGTATGCCCGCCTCACATCATCATTCAACGTTCGTTGTGAAAGGTGCGGGCTGTTCACTGCCGTGCGTAATGACGCATGGTCAGTGTAAACAATGAAGGGTCTATCTCCTAATAGATAGACTCTGAACTTCGCGAGTGCATATTTCATGGCAAGGAGTTCCTTGTCATGCACTGGATAGTTCCGCTCAGCTGGTTGCAGCTGACGCGACTGATAGCAGACGACGCGTTCAACGCCTTCTAGGTCGTACTGCATTAATGCACAGCCGATTGCGAAATCGCTGGCATCACAGACCACATGAAAGGGCCTGTCCTGATCGGCTATTGATAGGACTGGGGATTGTATCAAGCTCTGCTTGATACTATCGAAGGAGCGCTGACATTAAGCGTTCCATAACCACCTCTCGTTTTTTTTAACAAAAGAGAGAGGTGTACAGTCATCTCGGCGTAATTGCGTGAATACTTATGCAAATACGCCGCTAGCCCAAGGAATTTTCGAAGACCTTTGACATCAACCGGCACAGGCCAGTCGGTGATCGCCTTGATCTTTTCGGGATCAGGACGTACACCGTTCTTACCAACGATGCACCTAAGAAGTGGTATTTCGCTTGCTGCAAATTAACACTTCTTGAGGTTTGCATACAACTGATGCTTTCGCTTGATTGTAAGAACCTGTCGGACGTGGTACCTGCGAACCTCCACATCCGACTTTCCATCCCTAGCCCGACTATGGATGAATACGTCATCGAAATAACTCGGCGCGAATTCTCGTACTGGTCTCAAAAGATGTGATACACATCTGTTGAACATGGCAGGGGCATTGCTAAGCCCTTGTGGCATTACTAGCCGTTCTCAGAGCATGCCGCTAGGCGTGCTAACTGCGGTATAGGGTATGTCCCGTTCTCGCATAAGAATTTGATAGAAGCCATCCATCAAATCCATGGACGAAAAGATGGTACTCTTTGACATACCATCAATGATTACGTCCTTCCTCGGTATCGGCGTCTGAGCCGGTACCGTTGCAGCATTCAACTTGTTAAATGCATGCACTATCCGCCACCCTCCTGTTGCTTTTCGCACACAGAAGGTCGGAGAGCTATGTGGGGAAGTTGATTCCCTCACATGGCCCGCAGCTTAAAGATCGGCAAAGAACTTGTCGATCGCAAGTACTTGTTCACGAGGCAGTGGCCACTGCTTCATGACAAAGTACTTCGAGCCTGATTTAAGCTCGACCTCGTGTCGAATATCTTTATCCTTCGGTAATTCGCACGGAACAGTTTCAGGGAATACATCCTTGAATTCAACCAAATCTTCACGGAGAGGATTTGTCGTGAGCGATTCCCACGATTGGGAGTCATATCGCTCAACTCGTGTATTTTCATTTAGGACACTCTCGTCCATCGATGAACTACTGAGAACTCTCTCGCTCTCAGTAAACACTGTTGCTGACCTTATGTCGGCTACACACTCGTCGTCAGCGACGAGTACGCAGATCTGCTTGACTTTGCCACTACGCAGATCACGCAAGAACCTTTTTGTGTTCGAGCGTTGGCAACTGAGTGATCTCCGAAGTCAACTTCGGAGGCGCAATCAGATCAAGTGTATAAGCGCCTACACTTGATCCCTCATTGACTAGGACATTCAACGTCTCTGTCATTTTCTAGGGACTTATTTCCTCAGGCCTCGAAGGACTTATTCCTTCGGCTTCCCGGGGACTTATTCCCTCAGGTTTCGGAGAACTTATTTCCACCGTATTTGTAATATCGGGACTTATTCCCGCGGGTTTCGGGGAACTTATTTCCGCCGTATTTGTAATATCGGGACTTATTCCCGCGGGTTTCGGGGAACTTATTTCCGCCGTATTTGTAATCTTGGGACTTATTCCCTTAACTTCCTCGAGCTGGGGTCGCGTAACCACAGCGAGATTCTCTACGAAAGACTCTTCAGTCAATTTAGGATAATCGTTTCTCTTAATTATGAGCGATCGATTGTTTATCTTCCAGATGTTCCCCGCTAGGGATACATCTTTGTCCCGGTCCACTCGACTTATTCGAGTGGTGGACCTTCGGCGCAGCTTGTGTTTCCTCACAGCCGCCGGAACTTTGCTCCGAAGTGTAACCGTTTGTTACACTAAGGTTTTGCGCAGTCGTACTAACGACCGTACCACAAGTGAGGCCATCGCACTCACTCGTAGTACATCCACACGCTTGTGGACGCTCCAAAACGTTCATCAGATGGCCATCTGATGAACAAGCGGCAGGCATCGTTACTGTTCGATATTGCCTGTTTACTCGTGGTTCGTACCTTCTGAGCCACGGTATTCCAAGGATGACATCAAATTTTTCATCCAAATACAATGCGATAAGGTCATCGTCATATTGGGTATCTTCTAGCGTACAGTGGATCTTCACTATACGCTTCATGACGGTTACGGATGCGCCTGTCGCAAGACGTACCGTCATCCTCGTAGGAGGTATGTCACATTCGCTAAACTTGAAGTGACCATCTTCTAGCGATTGGCGTCGCACAAAATTTTTAGAAGCCCCACAATCGACTAGAGCTCGAAGGGACAACTTATTCGTCACTTCGAGTTTCAAGGCAATGAGTGAGATTTCATTGCCTAGAGCAGTAACGCACAACGTTTTGTGTTGGGAGCAACCTTCATCAAGAGGCCTACAAATTCTCTTGACGTTGCTGGACCAGTAGGGTGCTCCGCACCTACTGATCCTGTCCGTTTCTGACGGTCCATCCCGTTGTTGCGTCTTTGCACCAACAGCGGACCCTCGTCCCTTCCCCTTTCTCATGGGTGGACGGTCACTACGCCCAGTGTTGCGAGACACTGGATGAGGGGCACTGCACTCGTAAGCGTAGTGTCCTGTCTTCTTACATCTGTTGCAGTTCTGCAACTTCTTGTAGTCTGTAGAGCGAGTCTTCTCGCTCTCTACATAACAGAGTTCCATTGGCTCTGGACCTCCGCTGTCATATCGTCTCGGTTGACGATATGATGTCGAGCTGGCGCGAGCCTGTCTCAGACTGAAGTCTTCCTGCTCCGCAATTGAAATGGCTTGTTCTAGCGAATCTAGTTCAAGCCGGAACAGGTGAGTCTTGACGGGACCATCCGCAAGACCCTGCATGAACACCGAAACCAACGTGTGTTCATCCACCGGATTGGAACTTATACAACTCGTAAGATGTCGTATATGTTGCGCGTAAGCGTGCACATCACGCTTACCCTGTTTGAGCTTCAAGAGTTCGGTTCGAGCCCTGAACTCAGCTCTAGGCGGTTCAAACGTTTGTCTGAGCCGCGACTTGAAGACTTCCAACGACCCAAACGCATATGGGTCGTGCAACTTGAGCCCCAGTGCCCAAGTCTTGGCACGTCCTGCCAGATTTGACTGGGCAAATGCAACTTGCATATCTCCATCATCGATGCGACGCGCCCTTATGGCGTCATCCAATTCGACGAACCATCTCAAGAGGGAGTCTTCTTCGACCCCCCTATACTTTGAGATGTCAATCTTCAAAGTCTCGGGTCGACGCGAGTGCATCGACCCACCAGCAGCAGCCTGCTGCTGTCTCAGCAGTTCAAACTGTTGAGCACCCTGTTCTCTCAACAACTCTGCTTGTTGAGAACCTTGTTGGTGAAGCAAGGCTACTTTCTCGCGTTCAGCGTCAAGTTCATTTTGAATGAACTTGGCGATAGTAGCATGTTGGGCATCTCTATTGAGAGCCTCTAGCATGACGCTAACAGCATGGATGCCCATGGTCGAACCCATCCGTTTAACCGCATCCTATTCGACATTGCTCATTTGGGAGTAGCCGTCACGCGTAGCGTGAAAGCTTTGGTCATCTTCATCATCCAACATATTCATGTTAGATGTGAACGTGGTCCTTGGACGGACTACGAAGTGCTACCAGGTGTCACGGGGCACACTAAAGCTTGTACTGGTGACAGTACAAGCTACTTATTCTGATGACAGAATAAGTTGGTGCCTCGGAACTTCACGTACACTCGTACGTGCAGAGGAAGACGGTAAGAAGAAGCGAGTACTCGATTAAAGTGGAAAGTAGAACTGCATTTATCATTGTTAATGTCTGTTAATAAATCACTATTTATCCTCATCTAACTATGTCTGAATACAAATGTGCATATCAACTATCTGCTCACCACTCATTGCGTGCGTCTGTTGTGGCGCGTCTTCGTTGATTGATATAATGGCCTACATCAACCAATTAGGAACTACTCGTAAGTGCTACAGAATATTTGTCCTTATGACAATATTCTGAGAATATAACTCTTATAGTTATATTCTATTAACAATTTCTTATAAATTGTTATGTAACGATTCACCCCGTTACAGCAACGCGCTAAACAACTTCCGCAACCGACTCTTTAGCTGCCACTATACCAGCCGAGACGATGCCTCAGGTACCGCAGGACCACCACAGCAAGTCCCCGCCCTGATGCAGTATCGCACACCGGATGGGAGGCAGCTCAAGCTCGCGATCCGTATGTTCGACGTGACCGAGGTCTGTGTTGGGCTGATTTTTAACATTTTATGACTGGGGTGAGACGTCTTGGCGTCTAATAGAAATGACGCAAATTTCATGCGGGTTACTATGGAGCAAAAATATTAATACCGACGTGCTCGAACATTACCTCACTGGGACCGGAGAGCTTTATCTCAACAAGCAGGTTGATTTGTGGTGTAATGTTTTGCAGACACTGCAGTGCAGTCTTTAACGCATGCTTGATCCGTTCAAACGACTATCATAGCAGCGCAAGCCATACATCTCTTCACGATAGCGAAAACTATCCAGTGGCTATGGCTGGAGTACTATCTACGCCTTGTGGCTGTCAGTGAAATCGTGTTGGAAGAAGGTTTGTGTTTGTACGCACTGCGTCGTTGCATAACGGGTGACAGACGATGGGTCGCAAGATGCAAAGAGTCGCTTGAAGGTGCGAGTGAGATTTGCACAAGTGGGCGCACTAGTCAGCGTGAGCACGATGGTAATACACAGACTGCAAAACAAACATATCCGTGCACTCGTCAATAACACGCATAGATGCAAAATCAGCAGGTAATGAGCCCAAATAAGGGCGACAAGTTCGCGAACTCCGTCTTACGCGCTGCGGCAGCATCGATGGCGAGGCGCAGCAAAACGCAACGTGCCGCGCAGACACCGCCAGCTGGGTCAAGCGACCACAGCAGCGAAGAAATGCGGCCGGAGCTTGATCTGATGATGGAGCAACAGGCGGCAATGGTGTCAAGGCTCGAAGAGCTAGAGCAAAGAAGGCTCGAGCTGCCACGAATAGCAGGTAACACGTTCGAGCCAGTCGACACGACGAGGTCAAGAGCAACTGTCCCGGTGTTAAGACCAACGGCAACGTTCCGATCACCGTCCATGCGGATGACGCACGTACGTCCTATGGAGGTCGATGACCTACACGACATGTTAGGTACGGAGTCCCGAGTACGCGACGCGAGCGTAAGAACAGAACGTCGAGCGCTGCGACAATAGTAGCAGCAACACTACCAGGGATTCGTCGCAGCACGCGAGGGATTGCGAGCAGAAGCAGACTATTAAGGCATGCAGCTGATAGCGGTTGCAGAAGCGCACGAGGTGCGACGAGCGGAGGAGCGTGCCACGTTAGAAAAACCGCAAGGACAACTGCAGCAATCTGGAATCCAACTGCAGAGTGAAGCCGAACTTCACAGACGACAGCAGAAGGCACTGTCAGCGCAAGTAGAAGCGAAGCGGCGAGAGCTCGCGCACTTTGAAGAGCGACTGAGACAAGAACGAGAGGATCTGGCAGTGCAGAACGCGCGGCAGGCTCAAGCAGTCCATGAGAGAGAGCATAGTCTCCTCCGACGAAAGTAGGAGGTCGCGAACGAAAAGGATCTCCAGCTTCAGAGACGAGCGGCGATCAGCGAACAAGTGAAAGCTGCAAAAGACGCGCACAGCGCTCGCGAGGCAGCACTCACTGAAGAAGCCCGACGAGTGTCAGCTGTGCTACGAGCTCGGGAAGAGAGGATCAACGATCAAGCACGATGCGTCGGCGAACAGCAGGCAAACGCTGGGCGAGCATGGCAGCAGGTGCATTTCAACGCGGCTGAGGTCGAAAATCGCGAATGTGGTGGAGTGGCGGTCGCTTTTTTTTATGAGGCGATCCCGGCTCTCCACTGGTGCCCAGACGACCGAATATCGGAAGGAGAACTCCGTTTTCGTGTCTTGTAATTCTTTGCTCACCTTGTGTACCCGTCTGTAGGGTGGTCTGCACTCATCTCGGTGGACTTGTGTCGATAGAAAGCTCGACCGTGTTTGAAATGGGTTGGAGTAATCGGGCGGAAATCTTCGCGCGATCACGGGGTACTTGTAGAATGCTTGATATACGTCACCCAGATCTCCACAAAATTGCCTTATCCACCGTGTGGGTGCTTGATGCGCGAGCCTTCTGACCACTTGAGCCGTCTCGCGATCTTGCGTCTTGTCCTTTTCGTTCTTGCTGCGTCCGATCGGAGTTGGGGGGGGGGGTGAGAATTCTTGATCCCCAGCCGATGATCTGGGGATGTCACTTGGTCTTGGTATGCGTGACTTTCTTTACGTCGGGAGGCCAATATTCCAGCCCGGAAGAGAAGTCGACGCGTGTACTTAGAAGCAAATATTATTCTGTTCAATGTCAACCAACCAAAAGCAAAGACTGTGACAATGTTTGCCTACATGCTAGGATGTTCTGCCACGTGTCCTCTATCTTTCAGTGATTGATCTTCGCATGTGTGGTCCACTTCAGACAGATAGCCGATATCTTCGGTCGCCATTCTCCCCGAGTGCGATCTCTTCGATCGATCGACAATCTCCTCGACCGATCGCTGATCGTCGATCTTCTTGTCCGATCGCTGATCGTCGATCTCCTCGGCTGATCGCGTTCGTCGATACCCTTGGCCGATCGTTTATCGTCGATCACCTTGGCCGATCTCTGATCGTCGATCTCCTCGATAGTCGATCTCCTTGATCAATTTGTCTTCTTGATCAATCTCGATCTCTTCGACCGGTTGTCGATCGCCTTCCAGGATCTTGATCTCTGCCGATCTGTCAGCCATATCCCCGGCCTTGAACATCTTATACTTCCTCACTCTCGGTACTTTGGCTTGATCTTGGTAACTTGACATTCGATCCCATTGTCGTGACATTATTTGTTGCGGTAGTGCGGTATTCGCTCTCGGTATCGTGATAGTCGATCTCGATACTGTAATATTCGATCTCAGTATAGCGCCTTTTATCAGCCAGTCAATCCCTCTCAATGGTTTGTCGCCGTTGGAGATCACTCCCTTTATCGATCACTTTTCTTCAAAAATCGCTCCACCACAGCCGTCCCTTGCGCAGATAATTGGCATACAGCGCTGGTGTATCAGTGCACTTCGCCTGTTGTCTGTTCCACTCTTAAATTCTACTTAGACCCGTCGTCACAAGCATGAAAGGTTTAATCGACCAGTCGATTTCCCTCCCGGTCCCGTCTGACGCACCAAGTTCTACACCGCCAGCAACGACCCTACTGCGTTCTTCTGCGACTTTTTGAAGTGGCCGGATGAAATTCCTCCCTGCGGTCGATCGACGCACCTTGCGGTCATACATTTTGAATATCTATTTAATGACCTCTTCGATTGCGTCGAGGCCCGCCAGGATATCCTGGACGATTACGCTGCAATACAAGATCAATTAAAGGGCTTAAGAACTATGTGGTGATCGCTTGGAACAGCAGCTGCACGATGTTCGCAAATTTGCAGACCGATCAGGCAATACGTCAACCAGCGGTATCCTGATATGCGTGACAAGTTGGAAGACGCCGAGCAGAAGGTTGCAGAATTCCAAGACGAGTTGGATGATCGAGAAGAACGCCTGGAAGAAATTACGATCTTGAAATCAGCTCTCTTGAAGCTCAAAACGGCCCGCCATGCAGAGCAAGAGAAGCATCGGCGTCAACTGGCTGCATTGTCAGACAAGTTGGACTTAGTGATTGCGTCTTCCCAGGACGCTAATGCTCAAGCAAAACTACAGATCGAAGATGCACAAGCTCACTTTTCCGCCCGCCAGTCCACGATCATGCGGGAGTTAGCGATGGCCCAGCGAGACAGGGGTGCGATCAAGGTCGAACGCGATCGCTTTGCAGTCCGGATTTCCGGTCTGATGGTCCAACGCGATCGGCTCAACCGAAATCTTGCCGATCGGGACGTCGACTGTAGCCAGTTAGTGAAAAAGCTGGACGATTTAAAGGCTGAACGTGATCAAGCGCTTCAGTCGAAATACTTCCTGTTCACTCGCATGGCTGAACTGGTCGCCAGCGCCTCTTCGAATGATTCGCCTGTGTCTGCTGTACCCCTTAACAGAATTGTTCACTTCGACGCAAGCGGTCGCCCCCTGCCTCCAAGTCCGAAAAGCCTAAAACCAAGCGTTATCGTCGTGCCAAATCGTCGCCGGGTAAATCGATGCTGTCTGAACCATCGGTTTCCCGACCGCTATCGTCGGAGCAGTCGGAGGCGAGCGATAGTGCAGAGTCTCCACCTCGATCGGCTTCCCCTAACCCGTTTGGTTCTCGATCTTTGTCGTCCGAGGGATCGGAGTTTGTCGACCACAATAAATCTTCTTCTGCGGAGACTGTGATTCACTTTTGGCGGCGCTATCGTCATCTCACCCTGCCGTCCGACGTAGAGCTACGTAGCCTTTCAGGAAACCGTCGCCGATCAACATCGATGTTCCCAGTCCAGAACCCCAATCTTCTAATACCGCCAAGTGAGTATCCATGACGTAATTGTTTGGAGAGCCTTCTAGTAACTGACGGTGCTCACCCTTTCGGGTCATCCTCGTGGCCCCTGCAATTCACTGTTATCTCCAGCAAAAATTGCGGCGCTCACTGACACCCACGTACCTCGCGATCGCTGGTCCTACCATCTGGTCATCCACACCAAGATCTAGCAGCTCTACAATCAGCAACCGTGGGATGCGTACGATCAGATCGTAAACCCGATCACGCTCAATTTTCCCGGGTATTTTCAGAAACTGTATGAAGCGTGTCAGGTTTTCGCGGAGAGCCATCGTCAAGCTTTGTGGAAGTCGACACACTTCCTGTATACTTCCGCTGCGCAGCGCAAATCGGACCCAGAGTTGGCTGCCTTTGCTCAAGAAAGAAGGCAGCGACGATCTTTTGCTGGTTCGCGATGGAAGAGGGTGTTTCAGGTGGTTTTGCAGCGAATGACCAGCGGGCTTTCCGATCTTGACATCTTGTTGGATCTAGTGTATTTTCACTTTCCCCGTCATGACGAATCCAGAGTGTAGTATCCCGTTTTGTATGTAAGGCAAGCCAATTTACCCGACCTGATTACCGCCCCATCGTTCAATCATGCTGCAGAGCGTTGGAGGCACCAATTTGGTGGCCGAATCGCCTCTCACCCTGGGTCGTCTCTCCCTCGCTTGGTTGGTAAGTTCTTTGACTGTGAATAAGTCTTACGTCAGTTTCTATAACGCGATCTTTCAAAACATCCTTTTTTATGTCCATTCGCGCGCTCGCAAAATTTACAATTCTTCCTTCTGTTGTTTTGTGATTGCACCAATTGTCTGCGATCGTCGTACTCAATTTACATTGATTATATTCCATCTCCATATGCCACCCCTTTGCACCCATAACTCTTCCTTTTGCACAAGCACTACCCTTGCATAAGCCCATCCAACCAAGCTCTCTTATCGTCGCTATTCTTTATCTTCTTCTTTTTGCAATTGCATTATCTCAAAACGATTCCTGCTCACCCGATCGCGGTCAAACTCTTCTGTCATAGCTCCACGATTTAGATCAGCTTCATCGATCCAGGTCGGGTCGCTGTACTCCTTCCATTACACTTTTTACTGTTTGAGTATAAGTCCATATCTCGTCCTTCGTCCCGATCAAACATCGATGATCTTGTCCACTTCAAACTCATTCTCGTCAAGGTCACCCTCCCCGCTGTCGTCCGGCAGTAACGCTTCGTCAAAAACAAACCGAATAGCCTGGTCCACATTCAGATCACCTGTTGGGCGTTCTGGAATCGTTTGAACTACCTTCAACTTAGACAAGTGGACTATTGAAAATAGCCGGTACGGCGTGTCTGCAATTTCCAACTTTACGGCGCGCTCGCCGCACTTCTCGGCCACTCGAAAAGGTCCATGCCACATGAGCTAACTTTCGATCATATCCATCATTGACCCGGTTTCGATACAGCCACTGCGAACCGCGATCGATAATCAATGAATCTCGTTTTTCATTGTGCCGATCGGCTCGACCTCTGATAGCAGCCTTCAATCGTCCATTTACCAGCGCCCGAGCACGTTGGTTTACGGCGTCGTATACCATATCTCCATCCTCGGGCATCTCGATCCCGGGGCTAGGTGATTCCCAACGGTAAGGTAGCTTCTAAGATTGATTGTAGGTCCCTTTCTTAAATTAAGTAGAATGGTGTATCTCCTCGATTACGATCTTGGGCTGTGTTGATCGCATAGGTCAATCGCTCCGCATATTCGTTTTAGTCCTTTTGATTCTCATCCATGGCATACATCTTAATTGATTTTAGTCAGCGTTTGCACCATGCGTTCGGCCGTACCATTAGCTTGCGTTCTATACGCCATAGTGGCCCGTTGTTTTTGTCCTGCGATTCGCTTGAATGACCGGAAGCAATCAGACATAAATCCTGGCCCGCGATCGTGGATTATCGCGTCACTCGCACCGGATCGTCGGAACACACACTCCTCGTAGTTTTCTGGAATTGTCTGGGAAGATCTGAACGAGCTTGCCTTTGCGATCACATATCCCGTGAGCATATCGAACCACAGCAGCAGGTCATTGTTTCCTTTAAACGATCTTGGCAACGAGGGGATGAGGTCCATATCTATAATCTAAAATGGTTATTGTCGATTGCACATTACCAGGCGATACACTTTGATCCCTCGGTCGTCCCTTTCCTGTTTCACATAATATGCACTCTCCCACATACCGCCATACACTTCGGTACAACCCACGCCACTAAAAGTTCACTCTGATTTGATGATAGGTACGACCATCTCCTTGGTGACCACCCTCCAAACTCTTGTGGTAATGATGCAAGAAATCTCGCTGTAATCGTTCTGGAACCCCCAACCGAGCCATTTAAGTGCAATCTTCAGCTTTGTTGGCTGATCTCGGACAAAAAACAGCAGTTCCACTTCATAGTTCTGTGCGATCAGGACACATACCTTCGCTTCAGCGGCTGATAGTTTGGATATATCTCCAACCAGATATGTCTTCAGTCCAGATGTCCAACCTTTTTTTTCTTGTGCTTGTTTGATACGACCGATCTTTATCTGCTGCAACACCTCTTCTTGAAACATCCTGGGCTGACAACGTCTTCTCCGGGCTAGTCGAGTTATACCCGTTACTTTGACCAGACAATCGACTTGTTCGGGTAGTGGTAATCCATTTAACCGATTGAGAGTGACCAAGTCTTGACGCTCTTGATCGCACCCAATGGCTTCATCTTTCTCTTGCCATAGAGCCTCACTCTCTAGTCGATCTGCACTCTGGTTTCAGTCCCTCTTCATGTGCAGAAACTCGTGAGTTGGCCATGATTTTTATTTATATCCATAGCCCTATAATTCGGCAGCTTTAATCCCGGCGCTTTACAGTCGATTTCTCCTCGCATTTAATGAATCATAAAATTCGAATCTTCACAGATGATTACCCGTTATCTTGCCCGATCGGCAAGCAAATCTAAGCTTAAGAGCAGCCCACGAAATTCCGCTTCATTCACGGTTAAGTCAGGGTTAAACTCGGAGGCCTCAGCCACAATCGTCCATTCTGGCAGTTTTCATATAATCACGCTGTATGCTTCACCTTTTCTTTTCACCCTGGCTGATCCATCGAAACTGGCAACTAGAATAATTTCTTTCACCCCCACTGTAGGTGGTGGCATGCTGATCGTCTTCCTTGCCTATGTCTCAGGACGATCGCAATCAATACTTTATCTATTTCTTCCCGAGTTGTTATACTTGCCGCCAGCATGCCGAGTATTCATCTTCTCCCTTCTCCGATCGCCTAATTATCAACGTCCAGTTCGATAAAAAAACAGCCCTTCTTCCGTTTCATATCTTCCGTTGAGGCCTGACGATTGTAGTAACTACGCTAATGTCGAACGTCGCGTAAGCACCGTAATCTCCCAAGATACCAGCATATCATAACAGATGTCTAACAATCGGAGGAGAGCCAACACCTCTTTCTCCACCATTCCGTAGTTATACTCGTTGGATATTAGCGTACGACTCGATCAGGTGACAAGCCAATTCACGGCATCATATTCTTGAAGCAACGCAGCTGATGCAGCCCACTTTATAGCATATACTACAATCGCAGGCGGTCGATCGGGATCAAAATGTTTTAAAATAGGAGTAGTGGCTATCTTAGCCTTTAACAACGTGAATGCGATCAATGCTTTCTCCCATCGATTTCTGCCCTCAGAATCGTGGTCGCCCCCTTTAATCGGGTACCGATCGACATCGAGTTCCGGTTTTGGGTATAGATCGTGATCGTCCCCTGCAATTGGGTGCCGATCGACATCAATTTCCGGTTTTGGGTACAGATCGTGATCGCTTACACTATTCTCTTCATGTGTAGCCTCCAGCATCATGGTGGAGATGGGTTTTGGAGCTTCACTGACACGATTGATCTCATGAAAATTTGCTTCCTGCAATACGTACAACACGGCAGCGTAAATGGCGAAGTCTTCATTGAATCTACTGCGATAGTTAAGACTTTCAATAATGACTGCATCGCTCGAGTGTCCGAGGGAACGGCATATTTACCAGCGATTCCAGATCGTTCGATTCGGCTTCCAAATCTGCAAGCGAGATTTGATGCCCTAGGTATCCCACCTTGAGACGTCCCCAAAACTTTTAGCTAGACTGATGGACAAATTCCACTTAACGCACACCTCCAACAATCTCTCCACCTTTTCACACAGAGCCTATCACGACGTAGCTGGTTTTAAGATGTCATCAATATAAAATCTTCGACCCTACACTGACGGCTTTGGATCCATGTCTGGCTCACTGTCGGCGAATGCACCAATCAACTTCGGCGATCCGGCCGTGGTAGATTCGGATCTTATGCCAATTTTTAGATAACCATGCTGAGCGTTATCGATCAGACGCTGGTATATCTGCGGAGCATTTTTTAACCAGAAAGGCATCCGTAACCACTCACACAAACGGGATGGAGATATAAAAGCGGAAATCGCTTTTGCCCTTTCGGTCATTTCCACTACCCAAAAATGACTCGCCATATCCAGTAAACAATACCACATGGCTTTATCCATGTCTTGCAGCAGTTCACTGATCAGTGGCATCGAATACACCATCAACCTAGTTAGCTAATTCACCCGCCTGTAATTAATACACAGCCTTATATCTTCTCCATTTTTCTTGATGATCACCACTATGGGTGAAGCCCACGGTGATGTAGGTGGTCGAATAATCTTAACCAACAACATTCCCTTAATTAAGTCAGCGAGTTTTTCTCGAATTTAGGTGCCACCGGTCGGACCCTTAGTGCGATCAAAGAGGCTCCTCCCACATCAATGTCACAAATTGCTCTACGCGCTGCAAGAGGCACAGCGTTACCCTTTTCAATAAGTAGATGCCGGCTCTAATAAATCATTTGGCGCAACTTCTCTTGATTTTGATTCTTGGGGGGCCGGGATCGCCTACTTGAAGGTCATCAATCGTTATTTCCTGTGAAGGAATCATGAAGAGCTGTCATGTGCTGTTCCTCATATTACGCAAATAACTTTCCGCCGTCATGGTAATAACTTTGTGCTAACGTTGACTCATCTCTCGTCGTTTCCTTGTCGATCCTGTTATTGCTCACATTTCAATCCGTCGATCGGCCTGATCTTGTAACTTACAACCTTCCTTTTTAATTTTGTCAAGTTGATAGCTGGACTGATTATGGGTCAGATCAGTTCCTTCGTACCTATTACCCCCACTTTTTCTCGAGTCGTATTTCATCGGCATTGGTAGATCTCCAACCCGACCGTCCTATTTCCTGGCTCCGATCGCATCTATCACCATTAGAATCTCATCGTATTCTCGTCTCCTGCTGGTGATTCGATCTTCACTAATCCGTCACCCTCAACCAGTCCATCGGCCTGTTCTTAAAATTCACCTTCTTTAATTGGGATCGTCTATGCAACGGATCAGCTGCCTCGTGTCTGATCTCTTCCGTCGCAATCACCCTCTCATCATCCATTTCTTCTTTGGACTGATCACGTCCTCTGTTAGCATCGACCGTCCCCTTAATTGTGTAGATCGCCGAAGATAGTTCTGTTGATCGTTGAACTATCATCGTCGTGTGGCTTCCATCCATGATTTAGTCTTGACTCTCATTTCCGTTGATCATTCCTTAGTCCGCTTGCAACAAAATCTTTCCTAAGATCTCTGTTGCTTGGCCGGATAAAATTTGAGTGGGAACTTCATATACAGGATGGTCCACCAATGACCTTGCATACTTTTCTACTGTCTTTTCCTCTCGTTTTCTTTGTCGCTTTGAACGCTAGCGTTTACCATTCTGCATACTGTCTTGATCCGATCGATCCATACCCTGGTGATCTAGGTACCAAGTCCGATGTCATCCACAAGGCTAACGAAGCACCATAATTTAAACTTTCTCACGATCGCTGAGGTTAGTTAGCTGCAGATACTTGATCCGGCCTGGCCCATTAGTGACCATCGGCACCCGTGCCACTCCCCGCCTCACACAAAGGTTAGCCTCAGGTGGGCCAACCCCAACACGGACATCAGTCGATTTGCCAACTGGTATGACCACATGTTGATCATTCAGGTTGATCGCCTGTATAATCGATCGGTAAGGCGGGTTTCGCCCTGCTAGACCAATCCGCACCTCGTCCGGTAGACATAATGTCCCGTCAGCTAAGTCCAAACGGATACCCGCTGAACCCATGAAATCCATACCCAATATAATTTCCTGGCCCACTTGATCGCCCACCAAAACATCGAAATGTTAAACTAACGATCCGTCCAGAGTAATCTTAATCTTCATCCGCCCCGTCGTCATTTATGTATTCTCTCCAATTCCGACACACTCTTGCGTTCGCAAGCTGTCGATCACACATCCTTCCTTAGGAGCAAAGGTAGTATTGAGGATCGACACTTCAGTGCCAGAGTCGAACAGCATCGTGTCTTTCTCATTGTTGATCTTGCCAATCGCATCAGCTTGCTTGAACCATATTCGGGGGGGGGGTACTTCCTATACTCGCGCAATTCCCCTTATGCGAGGTCGAGCTTCATCCTCACAGGCGATCGAGCGTAATCATTCACTCTTTTCAAACTTGATTTTGGCGAGACCAATGTAGAATCGTCATGTAAATTAGCGATCGGGCAGACCCGATCGAGAACTTCTTGATATCTTTGCGGACCTTCAACAAACGCATACATGCAGATCCTAGGACGCTCGGCTCGTGCCAGATTCCAACCAGGCGAGCATTCTAGTTTAGCATCTCCTCTGACTTGGGTGGAAACTTTACAGCTTGTTTCGTTGGCACGTACCATTTTTGAATCAAGTTAAAGAATTTCTTCATTGGAAACTTGCCAATTTAATGTATCTCCCCGCAGGCTGCACACACAACGAAACATTTGTTCGAGGGATGACCCTTGCGAGCACACTTCTGGTATGTCAGCCACTTCCAACACCCTCGATCATCGTGTCTGGTAGACACACAATGGGTACACGCCTTCGATCGTCCACTGCGATTGCGCCCTTCTCCTTCACCAGTGTCCTTCTGCCGGGTACGCTGATTCTTGTTCGGTTGATCTTGATCGGGTGTAGTCGTTGCACAAACACGACGACGATCCAATTCGTCTTCGGATCCAGTCCACTCCAATTACGATCCGCCTTTTTCAACCTTCTCTCGGATCGCTGGCACTGCCCTAGCCGTCTTGGACGCCATTGTATTCAAAGGTGCGATCGCTCGCTGTTGGAATTTGTTCGATCCCATCGACCCCTTCATTGACGATTCTACATTTGTTGACACGCACGGAGATTTTTTTCGTCTCCTCAATATCTATCAATCGCAGTAGGGTCAGTTGTTTCGCCAAGTAGCGATACTTAAGCGTAGCAATCAAATGATCCACATGTTCGCAGTGCGTGGCGGCCGTAGTCGCTTTCTCTTCTTTAATCGCGATCTTGGCATTCTTAGCTGCGACATTAAAACGATGCAAGTATTTTACCGGGGTTTAATCGGATCGCTTCCGCGAGAGGTAAAACTGCCTGGCCACTGACACACCTTGTACTCTATACTGTACCATTAAATAATCCAGCAATCGCTTCCAGTTGCATTGTGTGGATTGGTTTAGTTGGTTGTATCAGTTTCGAGCGGGTCCCGTCAACAGGTCGCCGAACACCAAGGACTTCTCTTCATCCGGTGCTTGATCGCGAAAAAATGCCGACTTGACCTTGCTACTCCAGCTTCGATCTCGATCTTCGTCTCAATCTTTTCCACTGAATTCCTTCAGCTCCGTGATTGCTGACACTCGAATGCGCTGGGGAACTGCATCAACCTTCTTCAACGTCTTTGTTGTGGCCACCATCGCACGTTGCCGGTCACCTTGGCCCGATTCGTCAATATTAGCATCTTCTGGATTGAGGAAATCCGATCGACTGATATGCGATCGCACCGATTCTATCTCGACATCCGGTGTATATGACTCGCGAATTTTTGCAGGCTTGATCCTTTGACTTGGGTAGATCGCTTGATACACCAGTTCCCGCAGATTTTGGTTTAAGCATTCCATGGCTTCAGTGAGGTAGCTCTGCAGGTTACCTTGCATCGGTGGCGTCATTTGTCCATTTGCGCCTATGATCGTCGATCGCGATTCCACCTTAATCCTCTTAACCCGATCACGCAGATGTGCTACTGAACTTGGGCTCAGAGACATCCTCTAAATTTAGAACGAATCTTTCGATTCTATCTCGGATTCCGCCGATACGTACTGCGACGATCCAGTATGGTTTCCCCTCGGGACGTCAGCGATCGCGTATACATCTTCTCTCTGTGGTTTCGCACCTCCCCTTAAGGTTTTTTTTTCAATCAATTTGTCATACAGTGATTGACACGCGTGGACCACTTGATCTTGATCTTACTTTATCAGCTTCTGCTCATCGAACACCCCAGCGACGTATTTAACGTCTTGTAGTAGCTTGATGATTGCGTTATACCATCCAGCGGGTTCGTTGCCGCTTTCGGTGGGGATATCGGACCTTGAATTTTTATGATCTGTTTGGGCTTCAGTATATCGAGCACTGAATCGTTTAATAGCAGATTCGTGAGCGCCTATCAGTGATATCTCTGCGCCAATCAATCCAACTGCCAGCCTTCCATCTTCAAATCCAGAGCATTATCCGCGAACTTATCGGTCGCTCGATTGATTTTGCGCTGCGATCGTGACGATCCGATCTGGACTCGTCTTTCTTCACTCGATCTGTCTTCCCAATCTTCTTCTTCGACATTGCCTGAGCAGTCCTGTGTAGTTTTTGTTCATTTTTCGCTGAAGGGTTTTCACTCAGCGGATCGAGTTTTGCAGCACGATCCGCGGTGGTCCCCGAAGGAAACCAAGGAGGGGGTTTAGCTCCATCTTCCAGATCGTAAGTTCGATCTTTCTCTTTGTTTTTCTTGTCATCAGAGCCCCTCCTAAAACTATGACGTCCTGGAAATCTTATGCGTCCTTGGCCATCCCTCTGCCTCGTACGCTTCCATTCCAGGTTCAATCTTGACCTTCTCATCTTCACTCAGGGAATCACGGTTAAATCCCGAGTCACCAGAAAATCCGGAAACGCGCATTATTGTGGTGGAGTGGCGATCGCTTATTTTATGAGGCGATCCCGGCTCTCCACTGGTGCCCAGACGACCGAATATCGGAAGGAGAACTCCGTTTTCGTGTCTTGTTATTCTTTCCTCACCTTGTGAACCCGTCTGTAGGGTGGTCTGCACTCTTCTCGGTGGACTTGTGTCGATAGAAAGCTTGACCGTGTTGAAATGGGTTGGAGTGATCGGGCGGAAATCTTCGTGCGATCACGGGCTACGTGTGGGGTGTTTAGTATATGTGGTGGAGTGACGATCGCTCATTTTCTGAGACGATCTCGACTTTCCACTGGCTCCCAGACGACCGACTAACGGAGGGGGTACACCGATTTCGTGTTCTGTATGCTCTTGCTCAGCTTGTGTACCTGTCGGTTTGGCGGGTTGCGCTCTTCTTGGTGGACTTGAGCTGAATCTAACTTGATTTTCTTGGGATAGGTGTTGATCAGGTGGAAATACTTCACCCGGTAAGCGCAGGTGCGGATCGCGTGGAAATTCTCCACTCGATTGCTTGTAACTTGGGCGCTCTCCCAGAGTCGCCTTTGCCAGGGGTGATGCTTGCTACGCGAGCCTTCTGACCACTTGAGCCGTCTCGCGATCTTTAATCTGAACCGTAAGGTTCACTGCGTGTTATCGCAGTTGAGGAGGGGGTGAGAATTGACCTTCCGCCTGGCCAAACAATCTAAGGGCGAAGTTCACTTCAGACGTGGGTGACTCTATTCAAAGGGAGGCCAAAGATACTGCCCGGAAGAAGTCGACGCGGGTCTTTTGCTGCAAATTCAATTATGTTTAATGACGACCAAACAAACCGAAAACTTATGAATTTGCCTATCTGTTTGCTAGTTCGGCTGTCAATGTCATTTGCCTCTCACATCCTGTGGTCCACAGCAGATAATCCATAGTGGATCGCCCCATACCGGATCTTACAGTTCCTGATCGTAGGGTACCGGATCGCGGTATGCGATCCACGGCGGGTACGTAATCTCCCTCGATCATCATGAAACACTCCGCTTTACCTTAACCCCTTCGTGACCGTTAAGTGGGTTACTCTGCATAATTTCCACAGTCATTTTTTTTTCTGTCACTCAGCCGTGTGACACCATCATCCGTGTTAACCGGCCCATCTCCGTACGCGCTCCACCAATCAAACTGGTTTTCGTACTTAAGGCGGAACGCGCGATCCACACTACCGTCACTCTTCCTTCGCGCTTCGCCACAATCGTCCCCTGCACCGACCCTCGATATACAGTATCGATGGACGGTGCCTCCACAACGCCCATGGCTCCTGCATCACCTGCACCTCCCACATTGGAGGCCGATAGCCCGATTCCGCCTTCTACTCCGCCGCCGGGTCCACCCGTTAGAAGGTCAGTTGTGTTGCCGTCGTCTCGAATGAGCGCTGCATCCTTTTTGAATTGTGATACTTTGACTGCGGGGATCGCAGCGCTCTACGGTCAACTGGATCTTCATGCCGCGGTTGTTGCCGACTACCACTCGTTGGAAGTGTTATGTCGGGACCAGAATCTGCAGATCGACCGACTGCAAACGCAGTTGCAATCGTACGTCAAGATTGCCCCGCGCTTGGCAACCTATGTCTAACAGCGTTATCTCGGCCTCTGTACGGATCGCCAAGACAGATCCGAGCGTTTGCACGGGTTTTAGACGGAGCTGGCGCGGCGCTTGGGTCAAAATCACGTGGTCCGAGAACTCAAGACGGCTCTCTCAGAAGCCGAAAAGACGTCTAAACAAGTTGAGGATCTGCGCACTCGTGAATCGTGCGTCGCGTAACAGCAAGTGGAAGCGATAACTTCGCGCTTGGCTGCTGCGGAACAGAATTCGGGCGGCGATCTCCAAGCTGCGACAGCCAAGATATCCAAGTACAAGAATCTCTTCCACAGAGTTGACAAGAAGCTTGACACGACCAGACTGGCGTTGGAAGACATGTCGAAGACCCATCAAGACTGCCTCCGTGAACAAGAGCTTGTAGAAGCGGAGCTGCAACGGCTGCAACCGGACCTCGTGGACTGGAACTCCCACGTGGATCGTCTGCGTATTCAAGCATCGAACTGAAAACAGCATTATCTCTTGGCCACTCGCGATCGAGACACGATCCGGACTCATCTGGCTCAATTGGCTTCTGGATCACTCCGCCTTCCCTCAAATGTACCGTCCATGGCCTCCGCTCCTGCAGAAACCGGCAAGCAATCTATGTACACGGATCCCGGTGTCCCGATCAAGCGTCCGCGCACTGCGAAGCTGACGCAGGCCGGAACAGAATTGGTGGATACCTCGAAGGCCAAGTCAGCCAGTGAGTCCGCGATCTACTGGAACAGGGCGATCTGCCAAATCTTCCGGATCTAATGGAAAAACACGCGTCTCTACGCGACCCTCCAGATCAACTTGCTCGGACGGGTCCACAGCTACGTCAGGATTAGCACAGACTTCAACAACTCAAGGAACCGCAGGTATAAAACGATCCCCCTCCCAAACAGGAAATAAACGGACCCAGAAGCTTCCGGTCAGCGTCCCATCGCTCTCCGATACAGAGGAGTTTAATTTTTCTGAAGAACATATTCTGGCCGCCTTGTCTGGATCGCGCTCTTCGTTGCGGCGCCGTGGATCGTTGAGCAATGTTCCACCTTCTGACGGATCGGCACCTGCCTCAATTTCAGTGGCCTCCCCCCGCCCCAAGTCTGGGTCGTCTGCACTTCTAAATGAATCAGCACCACCTGCCAAACCCCGAGTCTTGAAGGTGAATATCTGTGGCGAAGCATCAAACGACTCCGACGGATCGGTCAGCATGATCGGCTGTCCGCAAGACGCCGAGAATGCCATGCTTCCGCCCGCGGAATGCGACCGTTTAGCTCCGACCCGGGTACCTCGCGCTGAGTGGTTCCCGGAAACCGCGATCGGGTACCCTGGTCTCACTCCACGTACACCCGTGGTCGGTCCGTCGTCTCATCCTGACCTCCGTGGCGGGGATGGACTTGGATACCTTGTTCAAGCACCTGACACGGCCGGCAGAGTACATCTTCTTAGCATCCACCGCGTCTCGATCTATAGCTGCTCCGCCTAAATCTGAGTGGATTCCACGGCTGGTTACTTCGGTTCAAGTGTTATCGTTGTAGCAGCAAGAGCCTTGGACCTAATGCAACAGCCAAGGAAGACCGGTTTCGTTTCACGCGATTGAATGGTTCGCAGAGTTGGCATCCGCGTACCGAGAATTCGAGACCCAGAATCGACAGGCTTTGTGGGAAGCAACCCACGCCATTTTTTTGCCGGCCAAGCAGCGCGATAGGGATCCGGAGTTGACGCGGATTTACCAGCAACGCAAACAGCGGCGATCGCGATGCGGATTCCGATGGAAAACGGTATTGCGTCTGATCGTTCAGGGGATGATCGACGGACACTGCAATTTGAATCTGATCTTATGTCCGTTCATGATGCATCACCCGTCACCGGTCGAGATGCGCCCATGGTACCCGGTTTTGTGCGATTCTCAGAAAAACATTCCCAACCTGATCTCCGCGTTGACAAGTTTGGATACAGCTGAACCCTGGCGCAACCAGTTTCGATCCTGCGTTGAGGATCATCCCTGGTCGTCGATCGCTCGCTTGTCGGGTAAATATTTTTGTAAATATTTCATAGCGATCTGACAGTCTGTTTTGATCGGTCAATGCACATCCATCTTTTTCTTCCTTGTTATTTATCACATGACTTCATCTCATTTGCCTTTTCTAATTTCTCACTCCGATCGGGTTTGATTCCCTGAATCGCCACACACAACCCCTCTTTTTGTTCCCATCTGCAACCTTTTTGCAGGCAGCTTCCGATTCGACACATCATTTATTCAACCACCGCTGCTTCGTGTGCTTGCAACACCTCGAAGCGATTCTTGCTGACTCGATCACGATCGAAGTCTTGCAGCAAGGCCCCACAGTGCAAGTCGAACTCACCTATCCAAGTCGGATTGACCGATCCCTTCCATTGCACCAAATACTGGCGCTGCACTCTGCCAAAACGGTTCCGTCTACCAGATCGCACATCCAATATCTTCTCGACTTCAAATGCATCTTCATCCAATGTGCGTTCCCAGCTATCTTCCGGCAGTAGGGATTATCATCCCAATCCTTCTTATCCTTATCTGTAACGTACATCTTCAACGCCCTCGTCAAGGTCTGCACCATTCTTTCTGCTGTTCAATCGCCTGGGGTTGGTGTGCCATAGTATCACGCTGTTTCTACCCCGCGATCCGGTTGAACGCTCGAAAAAAAGTCGGACATGAATCCAGGTTCTCGATAATGGCGGATAGCTTCACTGGCCAAAGCTTCGGAACACACAGTCTTTGTAACTTTCGGCGATCAATTGAGCAGTTCTTAAGAGACACTCAACTTGGCAATTACATACCCTAAGAACAAATTTACCTACATCAACAATTCAGTGTTTCCCATGAAAGATCACGGCAATGATGGAATGTGATCCATAGCGATTATCTGAAGCGGATAGGTAATTTGGACATTCCCCGGCAATTCGCCGCGCAGGACAGGTTAACCTTTTCCCGTCGTGCAACAAACACACCCTCCCACATAACGCCGGACACTACGATAGAGTCCTCTCCAGTGGAACTTGGACTGGATTTGTTGGTATTTTCTACTGAAACGTTGATTTCCACCTTTAAAACTTGCGTGATAATGATGCAGGAAATTTTGCTACCGTAGTTCCGGTACCACCAAACGAATTAATTCCACGCGGCTATCTGGATCTTCCGTCCATTGCAGGCAGAAAAACAGTAGTTCGCTTTCGTCAACTTCATAATCGAGCGCGATCCAAGCACATGACTTTGCTTCTTCAATACTCAACTTCTTTATGTCTCCGATCAAGAATTCCTTCAGGATGGCAATCTAACTCTCTTCTTCTTGTGCTTGCTCGATCCCCTCGATTCTGATCCTCTAAATGACTTCCTCTTGCAGTACTTCAGGCGATTGTTGTCTCCTTACGGCTGATACAGCAACGGCAGATAGTTTCACGACCCGATCGACACTTTTGGGTGTCAATAACTCGTCCAACCGGTTCAATTAATGTAAATTCTGACAATCTTGATCGGATACAGTCATCGTACATTTCTCTTGTTGTAAAGCGTTGCTTGCCAGTCGACCGGCGCTCTGATTCCAGCCCTTTTTCATGTGTAAAAATATATGGATCGGCCACGATCGGAGTTTTTCCATAGCTTTGTGACGTAGCAGCTGTAATCCGGGCGCCTTGCGGTCAATTTATCCGCGCATCTGCCGGATCACTAAGTTAAAATTGCCGCAAATATTGATGCGCCCCCGCGTCTGATCGGCCAGGAGATCGATCCCTAGTAGCAGGCCACGATATTCGGCTTCGTTTACTGTCAGGTCTGTTGCGTATTCGGCTGCGAAATTCACGATCTTCCATTTCGGGAGTGTCCACACTATTGCATTATACGCTTCGCCTTTTCGTTTGGTTCGGGACAATCCATTTAAACTGACTACCAAAAGGCTTTCACCCTCTTCCAGCGTTGGTGGTGGTATACTTATGGTATATTTCGGCTGTTTCCTCGGGGCGATCGCGATCAACCTCTCGTCAACACCTTCGCGCGGGGTAATGCTGGTGGCAAGCGTACCAAGTATTTTATCTTCTCCCTTTTCATACTTCTTGATCTCCAGCGTCAAATTTAATAGCAACGCCGTCCATCTCCCCAGCCTCCCATTAATGCCTGAAGATTGTACCAGCCAGGCCAACGTTGAAAGACGTGTGAGTACCTTGATCTCTCGTGCAACTAACATTGTGTAGCCGATATCTAGGATGCGCAAACAGAGCTAAAACTTCTTTCTCCACAATTTAATAGTTAATCTCGTTAGGTTTTAGCGTTCTGCTAGTGAACGTTACAGGCCAGTATGCTCCATCGTGTCCTGTAGCAAAGCTGCAGATACTGCCCATTTGCTAGTATAGACTACGATCACTGGAGGGCGATCCGGATCAAAATGTTCGAAAATTGGAGTCTTAGCGATCTTATCCTTCAACGTAGTGAATAAAATCATCGCCTTCTCCCATCGACTTCTGTCTGTGCAGGTAGGATCACCCCCAGCAACACCGAAAAACGCTGGGTCTCCCCCTGTAACACTGTTACGGTTCGAATCGCCCCCAGCAACACCGAAAAACGCTGGGTCTCCCCCTGTAACACTGTTACGGTTCAAATCGCCCCCAGCAGCACCGGAAAACGCTGGATCGCCCCCTGTAACATTGTTACGGTATGGATCGTGATCACCAAGACACTTCCTGTCGTCAGCTCTCTTTCCATTCCGTGTTGACGATTCCGCCTTATCCATTCGTCGAATCACGTGGAAGTCGGCTTCGCGTAATTCGTACAGCCTGATGCATATATCGCAAAGTCTTCAGTGAAAAGGCTACAATATTCTAAACTCCCTATGAACGACTGCATCGACTGCAGCGTTCGAGAAAACGTAATGTTGACCAGCGATCCGAGATCCTTCGGGTGGGCTTCCAATTCAGCGAGTGGTACTTGATGACCGATATAGTCCACCTTGCGTCGTCCCCAGAAAATGTTGGTCAGGCTGATCGACTAATTCCACTTATCGCATGCACGTAGCAATCTATCCACTCTTTCGTACAATTCGGCCCACGATGTAGCTGAAATTAGTATGTCATCGATGTACGATCTTCGACCTAGCACAGATAGTGTCCGACTGGTGTCCGGCTCTCCTTCTGTGGCACGTCGATCTGTTTGGACTATTCCGTAGTGGAGGGGCCTGGATCAGCACCTATATTCATATATCCATACAATGCATTGTCGACCAGGCGTTGGTAAATCTGTGGAGCGTTTTTCGACCTAAACGGCATCCGTAGCCATTCATACAAGCCTGACGGCGTAATGAATGTTGAAATCCTTCTAGCTCGTTCTGTCATCTCCACCACCCAAAATACGCTTGCCGTGTCAAGTGAGCAGTACCACATCGATTTGTCCATGTCTTGTAAAAGTTCATTGATCAGTGGCATTGGGTACACCAGCAGCCTTGTCAACTGATATACCCGTCGATGGTCGTTGCACAATCGATTGTCCTTGCCATTCTTTTTGATGATAACGACGATCGGCGAGGCCCAAGGTGATGTGGAAGGTCGAATAATCTTGGCCGAGAGCAGTCCTTTGATTTAATCCTTTTTTTTTGCGAGCCTTGGGTGCTACTGGCCCTACTCTTTGCGCGATCGGAATTGCTCCTCCCACGTCAATATCGCATATCGCCCCTCGTGCGGCTGGAGAGAGTGCGTTTCCTTTACCAAGAAGAAGGTGCTTGTTACTCTAGATCAGTTGTCGTAATTGTTCTTGGTCATCAGTCAGCGGTACATCTGGATCGCCTCTCTATGTATCGTCAATCGCAACTTCGGCAGTGGGCGTAACAATGTCGAGTAGTACCGCCATGTGAAGATCCACATTCTCAGCGTACAACTCCCCACTTTCATTACTACAGGTAGCGACGTCGAATTCCCTCGCGATCCGGCCATTACTCGGATCAGGCTCATCCTCGATCGTCACACCTGGTGAAGATCCGGCCTCTTTCCTCGACTGATCCACTACGCATTCGTTCGTCGTAAGTTCGTGAACCGTAAGAACCACGGGTCTGACACTTGTTGATCGGTGATTCATTTGTCGATCGTCGATCGTGTCATGCGATCTTTCATGCGATCTATCAAAATCCCTGTACTTTTCGTCGCGACATCTGCCATTGGGCCCCCTAGTGATCGAACGCTTCCGCTCATCTCCTCGATTGTGCTAACGAAACGTGGCAGTGGGTCCACACGTGGAATCACTTTCTCGTCTACGATCGGGCTGACCTTTGATACATTATTCCCCGTAGGCCGACTTGAAAATTGCTTTGGCGTAGGGTAGTTCGGGTGATCCACAAGCGGTCCCGCGTATGCGGTCGGCACTTATTCCTCTCTTTCAGTCGTAGCTTTAAAGGCTAGTGTCTGCCACTCGTTGTACCGTCGCGATCCAAACGAGACGTAGCCTGATTATCGAGGTACCATGTCCGCAGCCATAATTCAGCCCTAAGCCGGTCCGTGGCCAAGAATTTTTTCTTTGTCGCCGAGGTTTGTCAGCTGCAAATACTTGGTCCGACCTCTGACAGTGGTTACGGTGGGTATCCAAGTAGGATCGCGCCTCACCCAGAGTTTTGCAATAGACTGGACGTTGCCGATCCTTATCTCCACCGATCTACCGACCGGCAGCACCAAGTGCTGTTCTAAGGTCACGATCGGCTGCGTGGATGATCCGTACAGAAGTATGCGTCCTTCTTGATGAATCCTCACTTCACCTGGCAACACCAGCGTCCCGTCAGCCAAATTCAGACGTGCACTGCGGGCACTATGAAGTCCATACCCAGGATTACCTCATGACCGACTTGATCGTCCACCTGCACGTCAAAAGAGAATACTAGCAATTCATTTAGGGTGATCTTGAGTTTGGTACGTCCTTCGACCATGTACGTGTTTTCACCTATCCCCACACTCTCTTGTTTCTGATTCTCGTCAACGACCCACCCTACCTTACGAGCAAAGGCGGTGTCCACGATCGAGATTTCAGCTCCTAGGTCCAATGGCATTGTGGCCTTTTCGTTGTTAACCTTCACAAAACCACTTTTACTTGCTTACACCATTTTCCTGTTTCATGGTATTTCCAGTATCTCTTTGACTAGCCCGGCGCTAGGACAAGCTCCATCTTGGTGGGCGATCGGGCGTACTCATCATGTCTTCTAACACTAGAAATATAAAGCAGACCGTTTTGAAAAATCACTTGTATTTTGCCGATTATTCTGCTTGTCCTCGCTTCCGTCGACCCCCTTCCTTTGCACAAATGCTTATACGCAGAGCCTAGAATGCTCGGCTCGAACCAGATTCCAACCTGGCGAGGGTCCTAATTTACAACTTCTCGGCTTTTTCCTGCAACATCCCTGAATGCTTGGTAGGCACATACCACTGACGGACCATGTTATAAATTTGTTCCAATGGGTACTTTCCTTCCTTGTGGACGTCCTTCCATACGGAACACACGTAGTAGCAATTCCGCAGGATGCCCTTTACGTCCACACTTCTCAAACGTTAGTCTTTTCCAACATCCGCGATCGTCACGTCTCTTCGACTTACAGTGCGTACACACTATTTGAGGCATTCCGCGATCGTAGTGGCGATCGCGATCGACTTGCTCACTTCTAATGAGTGGGTCTCCCGGGTTATGAGCGCGATCCGCAGCGGTAGCTATGTACACATTGTGTCGATTCGGCTTCTGAGCGCGATCCGTAGCCGTGGCCGTATACCCGTTGCGTCGATCCGAGTCGGAGTCCCATCTGCAAGAGTCTCTGTCGGACCCACTACTCTCGTTATTTACATGGATTGATCTCACAGCTCGCGCTGGTTTTGCTAGAGCTTGGGCCGCCGGTGGCGCAACACACTATCAAAATTTGCTCGACTCCATAGAGGCATGAGCTTCTCGAACTTCCATGTTCTCACTTTCTTGCAGCGTTTCTTCCAGATCACTAGCATCTCCAATACGTTGCATCGTTAGCATTTTAGCCAGATCTTGATCATCCAGGGTAACAATGTAATGATTTACATGTTCCTTGCGAGTAACAGGCGATCCAATTCGTATCGGATTCTTCACTCGGATCGCGGCCACGTTCAGACGGTCTAAGTAGTCCACTGGAGTCTCGTTTGATCGCTTACGCGCATGGTAATAGAGTCTCCCAACATAAACACTATTTTAACCTCCGTCTTTTGCCATGAAGCCTTCCAAGAGTGCCTTCCACGAAGTCCTCGTTGAGCGGCTAAGCTGGTTATACCAGTCACGCACTGGTCCCGTAGGAAGATCGCTGAACACTACGCACTTCTCCACTTCTAGCGCTTGATCGCGTAGAAACACCGACTTCACCTTACTGATCCAATTTCTGGCCCGTTCTCAGTTTTCTCTCGGCCGAACAATTCTTTCAATTCGGCCATGACAGACATTCGAATCCTTAGGGTACCGAATTCACCACTCTCTGCCGCTCCTGCCGTCGCCACCTGCGGTATTCTCTTGCATCCTTGCTCCAGATGCTCATGAACATAGTCACGCAATCCGTAAGGACGCCATCCAACCGACTCCATGTCAATGTCCGACATTTGGATCTCCGGTTTGGGATGATGATCAACTGATTTCCCAGCGTTCCTGTGAGCTTGTCCTAGCTCGTATTTCTTCATGGCAGCTCGAAAATAAGAATTCACTTGATCTGATTCCACCATGTTCATAAACTGCGGTGCCGATGGCTTTTCCGCTTGCGCTTCTGCTGCATTCCGTTCCAATGTCTTCCGCAGCAGATCCGCGCCCTTTGGTGCTAGCGACATCCGTTGGATCTCGAACGAATCGTTCGAGTCCTTTAACGATTCCGCTGAAGCGTATCGATACGATACAGTGTGTTCACCCTCGGGAGAACCGTTTATCGGCGTGAAAACTTGATCTATCGTAATCCGTGGCGTGATCCGTTGATCCGAGGTGCCGATCGGCGGGGTCGGGTTGTCTCCTGAGTCACGCATTCCTAGAAGCGGACCTAACGTCTTATACAGCGACTGTCCGGCAGCGATCGTTTGATCGTGGTTGCGTTCTCGTAGAGTTCGTTCGCTGAACGTTCCCTCCGTGAACCCCGCCTCCGTTAGCAGATTGATTAGACGCCAAAGCGCCTCCGACACGTTTATGGTTGGTATGGGCGCTGTTATCGGTCCGCGTAGCGATCCGGTCACCTTCGTCTTGATCGTTTTTGAGTACTGGATCGCTTGACAGAAGCTTCTTTAGCTCCTTCAGGTGGTACTACCTGCTGAGATCGTCGAATTGCCAATGTATAAACTTCACTTCGCAATCCACTGACTTTAAGCCATGATCCAATGTCTCCGTCTTGACCTGGCATCTGGCTGGCTTGTTCTTGTAAACATCCCTATATTGTTTCGCTTCCGCCAACTCCTTAAAGTCTTCCGAACATCTTGTTTCTCTCTTCATCACCTCTGAAGGTTCATCTAAAATAAACGAAAGTCGTTTGGGGATTCCCCTCGGACTTTCATCCTGCGGCTCGTGCTTTTCAGTGCTATCCGCGGTGGCCCCCGGAGGGGCTTCAGGAGGGAGTTAGAGTTTTTCTTCCAGATCGTGAAATCGATCTTCCTCTTTCATTTTCTCGTCATCAAAGCCCCTCACTAAACTTTGACGATCTGGAGATCCTTCATCTTCGTGTGTCTGCGACGATCTCTCTTTCGCTGTCGCTTCTATCTCAGGGTCAGCCTTGATCTTCACTTCTTCACTCAGAAACTCACGGTAAAATCCCGAGTCACCAGAAGATCCGGGCCCGTGCACCATTGTGGTGGAGTGGTGATAGCTCATTTTCTGAGACGATCCCGACTCTCCACTGGCTCCCAGACGACCGACTAACGGAGGGGGTACAACGATTTCATGTTCTGTATGCTCTTGCTCAGCTTGTGTACCTGTCGGTTTGGCGGGTTGCGCTCTTCTTAGCTGAAGCTAACTTGATTGTCTTGGGATAGGTGTTGATCAGGTGGAAATACTTCACCCGGTAAGCGCAGGTGCGGATCGCGTGGAAATTCTCCACTCGATTGCTTGTAACTTGGGCGCTCTCCCAGAGTCGCCTTTGCCAGGGGTGATGCTTGCTACGCGAGCCTTCTGACCACTTGAGCCGTCTCGCGATCTTGCGTCTTGTCCTTTTTGTTCTTGATGCGTCCGATCGGAGTTGGGGGGGGGTGAGAATTCTTGATCCCCAGCCGATGATCTGGGGATGTCACTTGGTCTTGGTATGCGTGACTTTCTTTACGTCGGGAGGCCAATATTCCAGCCCGGAAGAGAAGTCGACGCGTGTACTTAGAAGCAAATATTATTCTGTTCAATGTCAACCAACCAAAAGCAAAGACTGTGACAATGTTTGCCTACATGCTAGGATGTTCTGCCACGTGTCCTCTATCTTTCGGTGATTGATCTTCGCATGTGTGGTCCACTTCAGACAGATAGCCGATATCTTCGGTCGCCATTCTCCCCGAGTGCGATCTCTTCGATCGATCGACAATCTCCTCGACCGATCGCTGATCGTCGATCTTCTTGTCCGATCGCTGATCGTCGATCTCCTCGGCTGATCGCGTTCGTCGATACCCTTGCCGATCGTTTATCGTCGATCACCTTGGCCGATCTCCTCGATAGTCGATCTCCTTGATCAATTTGTCTTCTTGATCAATCTCGATCTCTTCGACCGGTTGTCGATCGCCTTCCAGGATCTTGATCTCTGCCGATCTGTCAGCCATATCCCCGGCCTTGAACATCTTATACTTCCTCACTCTCGGTACTTTGGCTTGATCTTGGTAACTTGACATTCGATCCCATTGTCGTGATATTATTTGTTGCGGTATTGTGGTATTCGCTCTCGGTATCGTGATAGTCGATCTCGATACTGTAATATTCGATCTCAGTATAGCGCCTTTTATCAGCCAGTCAATCCCTCTCAATGGTTTGTCGCCGTTGGAGATCACTCCCTTTATCGATCACTTTTCTTCGAAAATCGCTCCCCCACACGTACGTGAAGCCGAAGATCGGGGCTTAGCGCGAGTGACGAGGAAAGTAGATGCACGTACAGCGGTAGCGACTTTGGGTGAAGCATCGAGGCAGAAGAATCTGCAGCTGCCAACGGCGTGCACAGCGATCGCACAGACCGCCGTGACATCGGAGATCCATCACGCGAAAGACTCGAAGCTGAACATACGTGTGTTCACTGGCAAAGAGTTGCACAAGGGCCTGGGTGCGAAATTCAAGCTATGGGGCCGTGTGTTACAAGAAGATCTCGAGATGGCGCAAGAGGCGTGCATTCACGCTTGGCCCGAGACGTACAAGATCTCTAGACTCGTCTCGTACTTGCGTGCCGAAGCGGAAGAGTTCTTTTACGGCTTGAGAGATGAGTGGTGTTCGATGGAGAAGACGCTCGCCTACGCGATGAAAGAGATAGAGAGCGCATTTTCTCGGACTTTTTATAGCGCGAAAGTGGCTGATTTCTTCGGCCGGAGCAAGCCAGCGACCGAGTCGTAGAACAGCCACTATCTGTAATCAATATCTGTCAGGAACGCGACAGGAGCATCGGCACCGCTCGTTCCCGATGGTCTCGTAATGCACGCGAGGTTAGGGATGCGGTCCATGCTCGCGAGCCAGTATGATTGGAAGAGGTCGGACTTCGTAGTGCATGCGTTGAAAAATGCGCTCTGGGCACAGAATTACGAGGATAAGGATAAGCATGCGCCAAGGCAAGCGAAAACTTCTGTAGCGGCGGCCGTGTCGGCAAATGATACCACAGACACGAGGATCTGAAGCATCTGCAGTGTCGTCGGCCACATCGCTTGTACCGTCCGACGAAAGCGAAGAACTAAACCGACGACGGCGAAGTGCTAAGGGTGTTCAATGGGCTGGTGTCCGGAAGCCTTACCAACGAAGACTGGATCGTCGATTTCGGCGCTAGAAAACAGGTCGTTGTCACCACAAGACACGTCAGCAACATCGAGACGCTTGCTGCCGAGTCGAACAAGCAACTGCGTCGAGTACTTAAGTCCAGAGAAGGTGACGAGCTCGAGGCACTTGCACGTGAGAATGAACGAGAGCGCGGCCGCGAAGAGCCAACATGAGGTGACGCGAGCAAGTTTAGAGCCAGCACTAGGTCAGCGTCCATGTCAACGCGTCCGACGTCGAAGACGCAAAACGAAAGTAAATGACGGAAGGAACTTGCCTGCAACAAAGTCGGAGAATCAGCAAAAGACTGCACGCCGTCGAATAGGCCAGTACGTGATCGCGACGCGAGTTTCATACAAGCTGATGCGGCTTCCGCCAAATCGAAACGTCACGCGCACGCAAAACAAGGTCAACAGTACAATCCAACCGAGCAGTGCGCACCGACGAGACACAAGACGATGTGTCGAACTACGAGAGCGAGGTCGAGGTGCTACCGAGAAATTCAGCACAAGCACCTAAGAATTTAGTTAAGCAGCGTAAATCTGACGACGCAAACGCGTCGGTACCCAGCAAAGCATCGAAGCAACGAGCGCACACTAAACTCGCAGCGTCAGTGCTCGCGTTGCTAGCGATGACGACGTTAGTGATAGGTGAGGAGTATGCGGCGTTACCCGACCCAAAGTCGTATCGAGCGGCGATCAAATTGCCTGATTCGCACCTGTGGAAAGTGGCGTGCGCAGAAGCGATTGCATCACTTGAGGCAAATTACACGTGGGAATTCACCGCAAATCAGATACACATGCACCTACTGCATTCAAAGATAGTAATGCGAAAGAAAAAGGACGGCAACGAAGCCATCGAGCGCTACAAGGCGTGGCTTGTCGTCGGCGGCGATGAACAAGTACTGGGTGGTGACTGCAACCTCAAGCTCTCGGCCGTCCTCGACATTTACAGCGGGAAGGTGATCATGGCAGTTGCTCACATGTGGGGTGTCCGCGCAAGGCACTATGACGTACCATCGGCTTACTTTAAGTCCTCTACAGAAGATAACGTTAAGATCCATCTTAGAGTACCAAAGGGCATGCAACTAACCGGTATAGAGCTCGCGCGTGTCGGCGTGCAGAACAGCGGAGATGTGTGCTTGCGCAATATCAAGTTGATTACGGCTTTCAGCAAGCCGGTCGGTTGTAAAAACAACAAATCACAAGAAGTAAGCAGACATCGGGATACGAGCAGTCGATGAACGACTCATGCGCACACTTCAAATCAGCAAATGAAGGTACAGTGAAAGTGGGAACGTACGTGGACGACTTGTTAGCGGCTGCGACGAGCTAAAAGCTGCTAGAAGACTTCGGCACTGCGATGAAGTCTTTCAGCTTAAGTGCTGCGACCCGCTAAACACTTCCTAGGAATGCGGATCAGCTACACAGCCGATGCCGGGTACTCCATAGATCAGGACTGACCGTTGTTGAATTGCTCCACAATCACGGCCGAGAATCGGCCTACGCTGTTCGAGCGCCGATCGCCGACGACTCGTCGCTTTAGTCGGAGAGCACGAGCGCACGACCGCTGCCTCCCACAGGATCGGGCAGCGCGGAACGACCGACCGTGCAGTGGTTCCAGTCTCTCGTGATCAGTCTTCTCTGAATTAAACGATGCAGACGACCTGGCATCGCGCATGCGGTACACAGAGTGACACGTCAAAGCCACGCACCAACGGACCACGACCTACACGAATTCGAGGACGAATTTTGCGTGCCTTTCCGGGACAGCGAGCTTAAAGCCGACGACGGGAGGCGATGTGACGATGAACAACACGCGCGTAAAGACAGGAGAAACTGCGACGACGAACGGCGTGCGATTTTCGTGCTTTACGGATGCGGATTAAGCTGCTGACAAAGTGACACGCAAGTCGATCAATTGCGCGATTGTGCTCGTGGGTGGCATGCCTGTGTCGTGGCAAGTGAAGCAGCAATCGGCCGCGGTGCAGTACACTGTCGAGGACGAATTCGTAGAGGCCGCTGTGGGTGTCAAGGAGCTCATTGGGGGGCGCAAACTTTTGGAAGAGATTGGCGTGCAGGTAGAGCTGCCAATGAAGGCGCTTGTCTACAATTAGGCTGCAATCAAGCAACTGGCGAACGAGGCGACATCAAGCGCGCAAAGTATGTTAATGTCAAAGCAAGTTCGTGCGAGATGTAGTTGAGAAGGGAATGGTGAGTGCAGAGTACGTACCAACAGACGCGATGTTGGCCGGCGAGCTCACGAAGAGCTTGGCGGCTCCGCGGATGCTGACTCTTTGAGAGAAGATCGGTATGGTGTAACAACTACGCAGCGGGAGAAGTGTTGGAAGAAGTAGAGTGTTTGTACGCACTGCGTCGTTGCATAACAAGTGACAGAAGATGGGTCGCAGGATGCGAAGAATCGCTCGAAGGTGCGAGTTCGATTTGCACAAGTGGGCGCACTAGTTAGCGTGAGAACGATTGTGATACACAATTTGCAAAACAACCACATCCGCGCACTTGTCTCTTACACGCATACTGATGCAAAGTCAACACATCGCGGGTGGCGCGGAAAAGCAAGTGCTAGACAACATCGTCAGGTGTGCGTTACCCGAACTTTAGAAGATACTCATGTCTAATTATGACACGCAACGCGTGGACTACGTTAAGCACGCGGAGGATCTAGTCTACTTTGCCCAAGTTATTGGGAAAAAAGCTATATCAGGGCGTCCCTTCGCTAAGGAGGCTGTGTCAAATGCGATGATTCCAATATGCTCAAGGACACGCGCACTTACTACGGATGAGGCAATTGCGGCACCTAAATGCTTGCTGTCATAGTAAAGGGAATGGCGGTAAAAACGGCACTCTTCGCAGCAGGCGTGACGATTATGGTGCTTTCCGTTAAAAAAGCAAAAAAAAAGTTATTACGAGCCGTCAGCTAAGACCTGGCGATAGAGATTGGTTACGACAGTGGAACTAGTGCTAAAAACTGGATACTCGACAGTGGAGCTAGTCTCCGTCTCTTCAAAGTTCCCGCTCTAATGCAGAACGCACGAGATTTAAAAAAAGTGATTCTTTTGCTGGTGTTGAAACAATAACGCTAAAGTCGGTTGGTAACAAGGTGCTGACGGTGCTGTTGGAGGGAAAGAAAAAGACTCTGCCATTGAAAGAGGGATTTCCTGAGCCCGAGCTAAAAGCAACACAATTTCATACTGCAAGATAGGCTGCAAGGATATTGGCCTTATCTACGATGGGGCGACTCATAATTTGGCACGACGCAGAATCGGCGAAGTAGCGCTTGAAGTGTTTATGAAATTAAACGTTCTTAACGTGAGGAATCAAAACCTTAAAGCGATATCAATACTCCAAGAGACGAGGCAATTGCTATTTTAATGTGGCAAGATTCATCGGATGAGGCGGACGGTGAGTGAATATCGGTCTCCCCTCTACAGTTAAACGAGCGATATGGACATCTCGCTTACGACAACATTAAAGGAACGGCTAAGGACCCAGTTTAACGGGGCCGCCTGTGTATGGGTTACCACAAACCTTCACGTACACGAGTACGTGTAGAGGAAGCTAGTCTACTCAAACAGCTAGTTTAAGTAAAGGGCAAAATGAGAGCTGTATTTAATGAGTCAAGCTATCTATACAACTTCAGTCTTTATCTAACTAGATTATACTACATTGTCGTATGATGACAACCTGCTCACCACTCATTACGCGCGTCTAGCAGCGATTGGTGGTAATCTATGGTTGACATGTCATTTATCTACCAATCTCTAAGCAGCGCATGAATATTATTCTACAAGGGGATAAAATTCCTTCAATATTATCCATCTCGGATAAACTTGGTAGGAAATTGTCACGCTAGACAATTTCCATATTGACACCGTTTGGTGTCAATATCAGGTAACGGGCTATTCCGTTACACCTAGCGTCCGGCATCAAGCTCACGGACGACAAGCGCCTGACTTGTTTATTATGCGCGCAGAAAAAACAGACGAAAAATGTTATTTTGAAGGGAGGGACTGACGCTATTTCGCTCATCGATCAAATTAATGGAGTGAATTGCTTAGATTTTAAAGGTTCGATGAAGCCGTAGGACTGGCTCTACAATTATCTTGTTAACTTCGTATGTCACAAATCGGACTCTTGTAGCGTTATTCTGTCACTTACTGAGGACAAATATACAAAGAAGTTTGAGCGTTTCTGGCCTTTTCAAGAGCCGGTATAACTATCGTATAATGTGCTGTGTACGGACAAGATTGGTGAGTACGCCAGTGTTAACCAATTCTTCAAGTCTACAGGGTTTGCGCAGCATGTCATCGAGGCAGAATCAGGCATCGAACGGAAATGCGGAGCGCATGCACAGGACAGTTGTAACGGGTCACCCTGAAGCTTGTACTGGTGACAGTACAAGCTACTTATTCTGATAACAGAATAAGGCGGTGCCTCGTAACTTCACGTACACTCGTACGTGCAGAGGAAGACGGTAAGAAGAAGCGAGTACTTGGTTAGAGTAAAAAGTAGAACTGTATTTATCATTGTTAATGTCTGCAATAAATCACTATTTATCTTCATCTAACTATGTCTAAATACAAATGTGTAAATCAGTTATCTGCTCACCACTCATTGCGTGCGTCTGTCGTGGCGCGTCTTCGTTGGTTGATATAATGGCCTATATCAACCAATTAGGAACTACTTGGAAGTGCTACATAATATTGTCCTTATGACAATATTCTGAGAATATAACTCTTATAGTTATATTCAATTAACAATATTTTAAAAATTGTTATGTAACGATTCACCCCGTTACATCATCCCCCCCTTAACCATCAGTCACTTTAGTGACTGATTGACTTAATGGATATTCGTCCCAAATCATTTGGGACGGGGTTTGCACTTGTTGGTCCGCGTCCACTTTCCAACATCTCATCGCATGGTAAACAAGCCCATGCGATGCGCGAGCAAGGCCGCCGAGAGCGCGTCTGCACGTCTCTGTGCGGACGCCGAAGCAGAAACTACAGCAACTGATGTCCCATCGGTTGCTGAATCGACTCAGCCTGTATCACCTGGTGATGCAGGCGCTGGTCATGAAGACACTCGTGTCTTCACACGGTACGAGCTCGGTGTCTCGTACTCTCCTGATGCGGAAGACGGATCCGTATCGACGGCAATTGAATCCAAGCCGCCTGCCAAGCGTGGCATGGACGATGCTTTGCGTCGCAGCATCTTTGGTTCATCTGATGAGTCAGATGAACCATCGCCACGAAGGCGCTCGAGGTCGCGAGACTCGGGCGCTAATAGTGGTGTCGTTTCTCCAATGGACACCACTTCACAGCGAGGTGCCAGTACTTCTGTCGGCACGTCGCAGGAAGAGCGGGATCGCAATGTGTTGCGTCTCGCTCCAGAAAAGAAGGCATGGATGCCTCCAAAATCTGTCATGGATCACTTGTTGGCGACGACGAGTGATCGTTATCGAACACGGTTATTCGATTATTCAAGGATTCATCACCTTGACCCCAGCGCGAAAGACTATCGCGCTGAACATGAGTTCTTCATCGATGCTTTCTTCAGACATCGATGGTACAGTGGGAATCACAAACGTGATGGTCCCTCACTACTTCAGGCGTGGAACGCCTACATCCATAATCTCGAGGATGTAGGTCGTGACGCTTGGAACGACAAACTTATCAAAGCTCGTGATAAGTTTGAAAAGCGAACCCCGACAGGTGCACGCTACAAGCTGCATCGTCTGTCAAGGGAGAAAGGATTACCCTGCCTCTCTTGGGGAGACTCGTGCCCATGTTGTGTGAACAACTCTGCACGAGCACCTAAGGAGGCTTACCTCCCTACCAGCCCGTGGTGGCGCGTACGTGTCTCTACTGAGATGTACGAAGGGATTGACAACCTGAAATCCCTTTACGACCGTGCCGGGAAGACTTTCTCCGGCGGTCCTTCTGCGGCACAGGATGTGTCGCGTCGTACAGCTCGACCAGACCCAGTACGTCAACCATCAATTGGGAGCGGGGCTCCCAAGAATCCCAGGACGGGGGATAGCCGCGCCACCGGACGAGATAACTCGTCCGACGTCCGTTCACGTCGCGGTGGTTCAACAGCTGCTCAACTAGATAGCGCTGGCCACCGCGAGAGTCCTCTAATGGAGGTGGAGGAGGAGGAAAGACGCTCTCCACACGATCATGTGGATCGGTGTGTTCCCGAGAGCTTCTTCGATCGCGTAACGCAAGGGTTACGCGACGATCTCGAGCATGAGCGGAATAGGCGTCTCCAGATGGTGGACACTGCCTCGAAGCATCGAGCTGAGTTTGCCTTTGCTCAGCTTGAGAACGAGAGATCTCTGACATCTCTTCGTGACGAGCTAAGGGTAGCTCGTGGGATTGTTGATCGGTCTCGGGCTGAGATAACTGCTCTTCAGACCCTTGTTGATGCCCACCATCGGGAGCACAAGGCTCTCTGCGAGATGCTTGAGCGCAAGGGCGTTCTTCATCGGAAGAAGCAGCGTACTGATGGTACGGCTTAAGCCGACCAACGTAAAACGTGGGATGCGTTCGCATCTTACGTGGTAACTCGATCGTGTATGCATTGCCTAGGCGGTGCAATACACGAAATGGGCCAATGTACTTGGGTAGTAGTTTACTGCTACCCAAGTTAGTCACTACATGCTTTGGTAGATTAACCGTAGACAGTAGGACTAAGTCACCTTTATTAAATAAAAGAGTGTTTGCCCTTCCATTCTTGTCAGCGTTTTGCTTTTGCTTATCCACCGCTTCGGCGATGGAGTCTTGCACAAAACGGACTACCGTTTCACGAGCCAGTATGAACTCATCTGATGACTCGTTAGCTTCAGTGTGCTGTGAGCGCACTGCAGCGACAACAACCTTTTCTTCAGTGAGGGCTTCCGCACTCTCACTGGGATCATTGTCTTCAGTGAGGGCTTCCGCACTCTCACTGGCATCATCTTCTTCGATATCGATGTTATCGATATCGGCATCAAACGCAATGACTTCTTCGTCAGAGCGTGATGAGCGTGAACCAAATCGGTTTTTGCTCGCGCGAGTCCCTCCCCCCTTAAACCAGAGTTACACTCTAGTAAGGTGGGTACACGCGGATGGCGCAAGCCATTCACGTAAAACGGTGTATGTGTCGTGGACGCATGCACCGAGTTGTTGATGGCAAACTCTACCATCGGCAAAAACTCACTCCAACTCTTAAAGGAGTGTACGTATCCTCGAAGTATCTCTTCAAGGACACGATTGGCACGTTCCGTCTGACCATCTGACTCTGGATGATCAGATGTTGACATCTTCAAGCGCGTTCCGAGTGATTTGAACACGGAACGCCAGAAATCAGCAGTGAATCGTGGATCTCTGTCTGTTGAAGTAGAACGACTCGTGATGTTGAAGGAACGCGACCCATGATGTGAAAGGGCGCGACTAGTGATAAAGGTAAGCGACTATCGTAACGGACGAGTAATGACACGAAACCTACGCAGAAGAAACTGAAAGTAACGGACACAGAGATAACTAGGATCAAAGGCTGCAATACATTTAGTTCTCAATTTACCATCCAAGTCTCAAGCAGCAAACAACAGGTTATGAGCCCAAGCGACAACGACTCGACTCCTCACCAGCAAACCCCGGTACGCGACGTCGCCAGGACGGACACTCACGCACAAAACGTGGTTGCTGACCCGTCCGGGATGCGCGAGGAGACGCGATCGGCTTTGGACGCGTCCGAAGCCCAAGAGAGCGCGAGTCGTATTTCTGATGCGAGCTCTGAGCGGATGGACCGGCTTGAAGGACTCCTCGAAGGGATGGCACAGCAACAAGCTCAGTTTATGGCAAACCAGATGAAGATGCAAGACCAGATGAGTCGCCGTGCCGATGCTGCTCCCACGCATCCTGCCGAGCACTTGTTCAATGGTTCAAGCGCGTTCACCGACTTCATCAGAGCGCGGGACCGTCGGATGAGGAGGGGCTCACTAGATGAGCCCATGCAGAATGCCATGCCGCCTGTAACGCCATGCATGCCGCCGCCTAATCAGCCGCCGCAGCAAGTAAACCAGAATCAGCCACCGAGATCGTCGCCGAATTTTACGCCGCGTGAAGATTATGGGTTAAAGATACCTAAGCCTCGGGACCTGGACTGGCCCGGCTTTGCCAAGTTTACGGGTAAGGAGACATACCCAGGCGTGGGTGCCGACTTCAAGGCGTGGGGTATGCGTTTCCTACAACGACTCGGTGCAGCCCAGCTGATGAGCGGAGGTGATTGGCCAGAAGAGTTTAAGGTCCTCGCGCTGAGTGGTAAGCTGGATGGAGCGGCACTCAGCTATTACGAGAAGATGCTGCCGGTGTGGTCGTCGGTGTCGAACACACTCGAACACGTCCTGAACAGCATGCTGTTGCTGTACATGACGCCGATTCCATCTACTAAAGGAATTGAGCTAATGATAAGCGAGAAGGATCAAAACAAGACATGGCCCGAGCACTACCAGTACCTTGTGTACGTGGCAGAACGGTCGGGTAACTCGGAGCAGAGTGTGCTAGAATGCTTATGCAAGTCGGCACCATCGCACATTCAAACCGCGATGTTAACTCGGATGAATGCTCAACGACCTGATTACCTTGTACAAGCTGCTGAGCTTGTTGCGTTCGCGATTGATTTTGAAATTAGCATGAAGAAGACGAATAGCGGAGGAGGCCGAGACCGAGCTGTTCGATCAAGCCGCGCGCTAGTAGTTCGCTACCCCGGCGGTGGACGAAGCGACCAAGGAGGGCGCGAAAGGAGATACGTTGCACGGGTTGAAAGTGCCGATTCTCGCAAATGTTATGGCTGTGGCGAGGCTGGTCATATTAAGGCCAACTGTCCAAAAAAAGGCGACGCCAATTCGGTTTCGAGCCGGGTTGCGTTAGCCATTGGTACCGGTACGACAGCTGACTCTGACTCGTGGATCCTGGACAGCGGTTCGAGCGTGCACCTTGTGAAAGATGCGATGATGTTGAAGAACGTGAAGGATTGCGATCATTCATGTCGCGCGGCAAACAACACGATGGTCCGAGTGACCAAAGTGGGAACGGCCGAGCTGAAGACGGTGGTCAATGGAAAAGAGGTTATCGTGGACCTCACCGAGGTCTACTACGCTGAAAACCTTGCTGACAACATCATCAGCTATGGTTTATTGGAGGAACGTGGTGTATTCCTCATGCGAGAAGGCGGCCAAAGTTATGTGGTGCGCCAAGAGGACAACAGAAAGATATTCGAAGTCTTCCGCCGCAACAATGTCCTGACTATTGACGTCATGGGTGAGAGCACAACGGATGCACAAGTACGAGTGGTCAACTTAGCCGTGCAAGAAGGTTTCGACGAAATAGATGAAGCAGTCACGGATACAACACTGCTGGAATTGCACCAAAGACTGGGCCATCTTTCCTACGATACTATCGTACGCATGGCCGACTCGGCAGGTTCAGGTATCCGGTTGACCGACCGAACGAGGCCAAATTGTTTGACTTGCGCACAGGGCAAACAGAGCAAGAACAACCAGCCCAAGAAGGACACAGGAAGGAATGCACCGATCGACAAGCTCGGGGGTGTTATCGGTAGCGACATCAAAGGACCAATGACTCCGAAGGACCGTCGTGGAAATCGATACCTTATCAACTTCGTCGACTACTCAACGAATTACGTACGCGTTTTCGTCGCCAAGAACAAGATTGAGGCGACAAAGAATTTTGAGCATTTTCTACTCTATTTTGAGAAGAGATTCAACTGCCGCATTCATGTGTTGCGCACGGACGGTGGAAAGGAGTACGTTAACGTCGACCCGTTCTGCAGGTCAGCTGGAGTAAGGCGTCAAATCAGCGAGGCCGATAATCAAGCATCAAATGGAAAAGCTGAGCGAATGCACAGAACTATCCTAAACATGGCAAGATGTATGCTGTTTGCGAGTGGCCTACCATTATTTTTTTGGGGTGACGCCGTCGAGTATGCAGCTTACGTATTAAATCGGAGCTCGTGCAGTGCTAACCCGAAGCGGATGTCACCGCTAGAGATGTTGACAGGCAAGATATCTAATCTGGCGGACATGGTGACTTTCGGCAGCCCATGCTCAGCGTTCAGGGACCCCGGAAAGAAATCGTGGAAGACGAGATCCCAGGTTGGCATGGTCATCGGCAAGAACGATGAGACTAAAGGTTTCAGGGTGTACCTGCCAAAGGAGAGGACTGTTATTACAACGCAGCACATCCGCAATGTCGAGACACTTAACAGTGAGCAGAACGTCCAGCTACAGGCACAGCTTGAGCGAGAAGACCCTATGCTGCGGCGCGATGTGTCAGATCTCGACGATGCCGCGAAGCGGAAGGAGCCCCACGCAGTAATTTTGCTTCCATCGAAACGGGCGTCAGCAAAGACGAAACATGACTCTGCCGAGTCAACAAAGGACGCAGTCAAGTCAAAGAGAAAATTTTCTGAAGAAGAGAAGGAACCCGATGTGAGCAAGAATTACACGGACCTACAAGAAGCGGAAAGCGGGGACGAACTACTACCCGCGGAAGAGCAAACGCGAACTAGGATGCAAACCCGAAATATGGGTGACAAGCACGTACCAGTGAGTCGAGTGAAAGCGATCAGTCTCAAAGATCCAAAAAACTATCGCGAGGCGATGAAAGACCCTCGAGTCAAGCAGTGGGAAGAGGCTATGTGTACGGAGATTGAAGCGTTAGAGCACAACGATACCTGGGAGGTTATTCAAAAACCACGCGATTCCAAGTTGCTGCACAGTAAATGGGTCTACAAGCTAAAAGTGCACGCAGACGGTTCTATCGAACGATTCAAGGCAAGGCTTGTGGCGCGCGGAGACGAACAAGTGTATGGTGTGGATTACACCTACACCTTCTCAGCTGTGATGGAGATGATATCTGGCAAGGTGATACTTGCTGTGTCAAGGATATGGGGGGTACCTGCACGACACGGCGATGTGCCGAGCGCTTATGTTAAAGCGGAAAAAGAAGATGACTTGGAAATTCTACTCCATATTCCACAGGGAATGAATATAGATTCCAAGTTGCTACGAAAACATGGCGTGAAAGACCAGAGGCAGCTCGCACTAAGACTCAAGAAAGGTCTATATGGCCTGAAACAGTCGGGCCGGCTGTGGAACATGATGCTTCACGACATCTTAATGTCGCTGAATTTCAGTCAGTGTTATACAGACAGTTGTCTCTACATAAAGACTGAGACCGACGGTAAAACGCTCGTGGGGATCTACGTGGACGATGTTCTGGTGACTGGGACGGACGTAAAGAAGGTCGACAACTTCTTCAACGACATGCAAGTCATTGAGCTGAAGGATCTCGGCGTGGTAACCAAGTTTCTTGGAATCGCGTTCAATTACAGCGCCAAGACCGGATGGGCACTAGATCAAGAAAGCACAATCGACGAGATGCTCGACAAATTTGGACTTAAAGATTCGGCAGCGGTCAGAGTACCAATAAGTGGAGAAGACGGATACGAAGAAATAACCCTGCTACCGTCTGGTGGCAGTGGCTCGCCACAGAGACCGACTGTACAGACGTTTCAGTCGCTGGTGGGCAGTCTGCTGTGGATCGCCCGATGCACACGCCCAGACATTGCGTTTGCTGTACACCGAGTGACGCGGCGTTCGCACGCGCCAACTGAAGGCGATTGGCGTTTGGCAAAGAAGATAGCCAAGTATCTGAAGGGCACAAAGGGACTCAAGTTCATAATGCACGAAAAAAAAGGACGCAATCAAGGACGATGGCGTGCTGGTCGAAGCTTACAGTGACGCAGACTACGCCGCAGATAAAACTGACCGGAAGTCAGTCAGCGGTGGTGTGCTGATGGTGGCCGGAATGGTGGTGGGATGGCTATGCAAGAAGCAGAAGTGTGTCGCCTTATCAACGATGGAAGCCGAGTTTGTGGCGGCTTCACAAACCGCTGCTGAAATGATGGGTATCATTGAACTGCTTAAGGAGATTGGCGTGTCGGTTCAGCCTGATTCAACGTTACATGTTGACAATCAAGCAGCCATCGCTCAAATCAAGGGCGAGGACACGTCTGGTCGAGCAAAGCACATTGATGTGCGATTGAAGTTCGTAAAGGATTTGGAAACAAAAGAAGATGCTAAAGGTGCAGTACTGCGAATCCAAGGGTATGCGCGCGGACATACTGACCAAGACCCTCCCAGCGCCGCGACTTAGTCAGCTTCGCGGACTTGTGATGCTTTCAGGGTAAGTATGACCACTCGGGAAGGAGTGTTGAAGTAGAACGACTCGTGATGTTGAAGGAACGCGACCCATGATGTGAAAGGGCGCGACTAGTGATAAAGGTAAGCGACTATCGTAACGGACGAGTAATGACACGAAACCTACGCAGAAGAAACTGAAAGTAACGGACACAGAGATAACTAGGATCAAAGGCTGCAATACATTTAGTTCTCAATTTACCATCCAAGTCTCAAGCAGCAAACAACACTGTCTGATACGAGTTCACGGGGCAACCCATGAAGTCGGAAGATGGTGTCAATAAAGACACAAGCACAGCCACTTGCCGTGATTGTCTCTGGTACAGCCACAAGGTGTACCATTTTGCTGAATCTGTCAACAAATACGAGAATACCCGTATTCCCGCGTGCGTCTTTGGGTAACCCGAAGACGAAATTCATTGAGATGGATTCCCAGCACTCAGCCGGAACCGGTAGAGGCTGTAAAGGTGCACGCAGTGAAGGACTTGACTTCACTCGTTGGCAGACTTCGCATGCGCGAACATACTTTCGCACAAACTGATACTGGCGGGGCCAGTAAAAGTCTCGACTTACCGTGAGATATGTTTTCTCTCGGCCACGATGTCCTCCTATAGGAGCATCGTGATACTCGAACATGATCCGCAAACGCAGATCAGTATCATCTGGAATGACAACACGTGGTGTGTCACCAGAAACGGCTGTATAGTACAGTAAACCGTTACGAGTAGTGTATCGATCTGATGCAGATCGATACGCAGACGACAATCGTTTCAACGATTCTCGAGATGGTTGTGAGAGATGTGTCAACAAATTCACAATCTTACCATCTTGGGCGTATGCCCGCCTCACATCATCATACAACGTTGTAGATGGAACTGAGGACGTCATAACCGCAACAGTGACTGTCTCACTGTTGGGTTTCGCGACTGTTTCAAAGTCGGGACGACGTGAGAGTGCATCAGCGACGACATTAAGTCGTCCTGGTTTGTACTCGACCGTAAAGTTGTATTCTGCAAAGAATGACAACCACCGCGCCATTCGTTGTGAAAGGTGCGGGCTGTTCACTGCCGTGCGTAAGGACGCATGGTCAGTGTAAACAACGAAGGGTCTATCTCCTAATAGATAGACTCTGAACTTCGCGAGTGCATACTTCATGGCAAGGAGTTCCTTGTCATGCACTGGATAGTTCCGCTCAGCTGGTTGCAGCTGACGCGACTGATAGCAGACGACGCGTTCAACGCCTTCAAGGTCGTACTGCATTAATGCACAGCCGATTGCGAAATCGCTGGCATCACAGACCACATGAAATGGCCTGTCCTGATCGGCTATTGCTAGGACTGGGGATTGTATCAAGCTCTGCTTGATACTATCGAAGGAGCGTTGACATTCAGCGTTCCATAACCACCTCTCGTTCTTTTTCAACAAACGAGAGAGGTGTACAGTCATCTCGGCGTAATTGCGTGAATACTTATGCAAATACGCCGCTAGCCCAAGGAATTTTCGAAGACCTTTGACATCGACCGGCACGGGCCAGTCGGTGATCGCCTTGATCTTTTCGGGATCAGGACGTACACCGTTCTTACCAACGATGCACCCAAGAAGTGGTATTTCGCTTGCTGCAAATATACACTTCTTGAGGTTTGCATACAATTGATGCTTTCGCATGATTGTAAGAACTTGTCGGACGTGGTACTTGTGAACCTCAACGTCCGACTTTCCATCCATAGCTCGACTATGGATGAATACGTCATCGAAATAACTCGGCGCGAATTCTCGTACTGGCCTCAACAGATGTGATACACACCTGTTGAACGTGGCAGGGGCATTACTGAGCCCTTGTGGCATTACTAGCCATTCCCAGAGCATGCCGCTAGGCGTGCTAACTGCGGTATAGGGTATATCCCGTTCCCGCATTAGGATTTGATAGAAGCCATCCATCAAATCCATGGACGAAAAGATGGTACTCTTTGACATACCATCAATGATTACGTCCTTCCTCGGTATCGGCGTCTGAGCCGGTACCGTTGCAGCGTTCAATTTGTTAAACGCGTGCACTATCCGCCACCCTCCTGTTGCTTTTCGCACACAGAAGGTCGGAGAGCTATGTGGGGAAGTTGATTCCCTCACATGGCCCGCTGCTAAACGATCGGCAAAGAACTTGTCGATCGCAAGTACTTGTTCACGAGGCAGTGGCCACTGCTTCATGACACAGTACTTCGAGCCAGGTTTAAGCTCGACTTCGTGTCGAATACCTTTATCCTTCGGTAATTCGCACGGAACAGTTTCAGGGAATACATCCTTGAATTCAACCAAATCTTCATAGAGAGGATTTTCCTTGAGCGATTCCCATGATTGGGACTCATATCGCTCAATTCGTGTCTTTTCATCTAGGGCACTCTCGTCCATAGATGAACTACTGAGAACTCTCTCGTTCTCAGTAAACACTGTTGCTGACCTTATGTCGGTTACATACTCGTCTTCAGCGACGAGTATGCAGATCTGCTTGACTTTGCCACTACGCAGATCACGCAAGAATCTTTTATGTTCGAGCGTTGGCAACTGAGTGATCTCCGAAGTTAACTTCGGAGGCGCAATCAGATCAAGTGTATAAGCGCCTACACATGATCCGTTATTGACTATGACATTCAATGTCTCTGTCATTTCCTGGGGACTTATTCCCTCAGGCTTCGAAGGACTTATTCCTTCGTCTTCCCGGGGACTTATTCCCGCGGGTTTCGGGGAACTTATTTCCGCCGTATTTGTAATCTTGGGACTTATTCCCTTTACTTCCTCTAGCTGGGGTTGCGCAACCACAGCGAGATCCTCTACGAAAGACTCTCCAGTCGATCTAGGATTATCGTTTCGCTTAACCTGAGCGATCGATTGTTTCTCTTCTAGATGTTCCCCTCTAGGGATACATCTTTGTCCCAGTCCACCCGACTTATTCGAGTGGTGGACCTTCGGCGCAGCCTGTGTTTCCTCACAGCCGCCGGAACTTTGCTCCGAAGTGTAACCGTTTGGTACACTAAGGTTTTGTGCAGTCGTACTAACGACCGTACCACAAGTGAGGCCATCGCACTCACTCGTAGTACATCCACGCGCTTGTGGACGCTCCAAAACGTTCATCAGATGGCCATCTGATGAACAAGCGGCAGGCATCGTTACTGTCCGATGTTGCCAGTTTACTCGTGGTTCGTACCTTCTGAGCCACGGTATTCCAAGGATGACATCAAATTTGTCATCCAAATCCAATACGATAAAGTCATCGTCATATTGGGTATCTTCTAGCGTATAGTGAATCTTCACTATACGCTTCATGACGGTTACGGATGCGCCTGTCGCAAGACGTACCGTCATCCTCGTAGGAGGTGTGTCACATTCACTGAATTTAAAGTGACCATCTTCTAGCGATTGGCGTCGCACAAAATTGTTAGACGCCCCACAATCGACTAGAGCTCGAAGGGACAACTTATTCGTCACTTCGAGTTTCAAGGTAATGAGTGAGATCTCATTACCTAGAGCAGCAACGCACAATGTCTGTGTGTTGGGAGCAACCTTCATCAAGAGGCCTACAAATTCTCTTGACGTTGCTGGATCAGTAGGGTGCTCCGCACCTACTGATCCTGTCCGTTTCTGACGGTCCATCCCGTTGTTGCGTCTTTGCACCAACAGCGGACCCTCGTCCCTTCCCCTTTCTCATGGGTGGACGGTCACTACGCCCAGTGTTGCGAGACACTGGATGAGGGGCACTGCACTCGTAAGCGTAGTGTCCTGTCTTCTTACATCTGTTGCAGTTCTGCAACTTCTTGTAGTCTGTAGAGCGAGTCTTCTCGCTCTCTACATAACAGAGTTCCATTGGCTCTGGACCTCCGCTGTCATATCGTCTCGGTTGACGATATGATGTCGAGCTGGCGCGAGCCTGTCTCAGACTGAAGTCTTCCTGCTCCGCAATTGAAATGGCTTGTTCTAGCGAATCTAGTTCAAGCCGGAACAGGTGAGTCTTGACGGGACCATCCGCAAGACCCTGCATGAACACCGAAACCAACGTGTGTTCATCCACCGGATTGGAACTTATACAACTCGTAAGATGTCGTATATGTTGCGCGTAAGCGTGCACATCACGCTTACCCTGTTTGAGCTTCAAGAGTTCGGTTCGAGCCCTGAACTCAGCTCTAGGCGGTTCAAACGTTTGTCTGAGCCGCGACTTGAAGACTTCCAACGACCCAAACGCATATGGGTCGTGCAACTTGAGCCCCAGTGCCCAAGTCTTGGCACGTCCTGCCAGATTTGACTGGGCAAATGCAACTTGCATATCCCCGTCGTCGATGCGACGCGCCCTTATGGCGTCATCCAATTCGACGAACCATCTCAAGAGGGAGTCTTCTTCGACCCCCCTATACTTTGAGATGTCAATCTTCAAAGTCTCGGGTCGACGCGAGTGCATCGACCCACCAGCAGCAGCCTGCTGCTGTCTCAACAGTTCAAACTGTTGAGCACCTTGTTCTCTCAACAACTCTGCTTGTTGAGAACCTTGTTGGTGAAGGAAGGCTACTTTCTCGCGTTTAGCGTCAAGTTCATTTTGAATGAACTTGGCGATAGTAGCATGTTGGGCATCTCTATTGAGAGCCTCTAGCATGACGCTAACAGCATGGATGCCCATGGTCGAACCTATTCGTTCAACCGCATCCCATTCGACATCGCTCAAATTGGAGTAGCCGTCACGCGTAGCGTGAAAGCTTTGGTCATCTTCATCATCCAACATATTCATGTTAGATGTGAACGTGGTCCTTGGACGGACTACGAAGTGCTACCAGGTGTAACGGGGCACCCTGAAGCTTGTACTGGTGACAGTACAAGCTACTTATTCTGATGACAGAATAAGGCGGTGCCTCGTAACTTCATGTACACTCGTACGTGCAGAGGAAGACGGTAAGAAGAAGCGAGTACTTGGTTAGAGTAAAAAGTAGAACTGTATTTAGTATAGTTAATGTCTGCAATAAATCACTATTTATCTTCATCTAACTATGTCTAAATACAAATGTGTAAATCAGTTATCTGCTCACCACTCATTGCGTGCGTCTGTCGTGGCGCGTCTTCGTTGGTTGATATAATGGCCTATATCAACCAATTAGGAACTACTTGGAAGTGCTACAGAATATTGTCCTTATGACAATATTCTGAGAATATAACTCTTATAGTTATATTCTATTAACAATTTCTTATAAATTGTTATGTAACGATTCACCCCGTTACAACAGTGATAAACTTGGCGTGCAGTATTTTTTTGCAGTCGTTTTCCTGTGTCATTTGGGGGAACGCCGTCAAGTATGATGCGTACATACTCAACCGCAGCCCATTGCGTAAAAATCTAAAATGTGTCGCGGATGGAGGTCCTCACCAAGCACGCTCCCGACCTTCGTAATATCGTCGCTTTTGGATCGATCTGTGCGTATTACCGGGACCACGGTAGGAGCTCACTGGCGCAAAGAGCGCAAATTAGAATTATTATCGGTCATAGTAATGGGAAGAAGGGGTTAACGGTGTTCGTACAGTTAGGAAATAAGGTCGCGTTCACATAGCACGTGCGTATATTAAAACTATCGGCAATTTGCAAAACGGCCAGCCTCAACGTGCACTTAAGTTTAAAGATCAGGCAACCGTGGCCGACGCATCAAGCACATTTACCACTTTCCTATCGTTATCCATTTATTTAACGCTGCTGCATAGGATAATTCATCTACACGGAAATTTTAAGCTGAAAGGAAGCAATCTAGGTCATGGTCGCGCGCAGCACCCAGGATGCGTAGTGCGATGAAGCGCGCAAAGAGATTAGAAGATAAAGAGGATCCATTCTAAGATGGAGATGTGCAACACAAAAGTGCAGTAGTGCATGTGTGTGAGCGTGACTACTAGATCTATGGGGAAGCGATGCGAAGCGCGAAAGAAATGGCGGGCAGATGTCAATACAGGAAGAACTACAAGCTCCTCAAGAAAACGGCGTGTGGCGCAAAAATCGACACGCCTACTTTAAGCAGCACATGACACGAAAAGGGTTTAAAAGGTCGAAGACTAATGCTGACTGCCACTTCGAGCGTTTGAAGGCAAGACTTGTGAAAATTGGCAACGAACAGGTTTTTAAGGTTTACTACCCACTCACCTTCGTGGCCGTCATGGATGTGTTGACGGCGAAGGTATTTTGGCACTTGCGGCAATCTGAGGAGTGCCGGCGAAAAACGGAGACATCGCCATCTAATTCAAAGCTAAAAAGACATCACACATTGAAATCATCTTGCATGTTTCCCTGGCGATGGAGGTCATGATTCGAGTTGAGCCTGCTAAATGTAATTAATCGTTGAAAATAATCGTAAAGGTTGATAATGCTCGAGATTATTACCATAAAAGGTTGCATATAGAAACACTCACCGATTAGCTGATATGGGTCATCATATCAGCCAGCTCTAGCGGTTCAATCAACGACGGACGCGCGCAATGAGTGGTGAGCAAGACTACAGCATACATTTTCGTAGATAAATATAATTAAGTTAGATCTACAACATATGTACATGTAATCAGGACTTGATTATATTTTGTACGGGTTTATTTTTACCAGCAACTAGTCAGTTCCTAGCCGCTTTACATTCCTCTGAAGCGTTACAGAGGTAGCAAGGTACCAGTCGCACTGCTTTCAGTAAGATTAGGTCCACATTGGTTGTCCAGTGTGTTGCTCCGGTGACCCATTATAAGTCAGTGAGGACAGGCTCAAAATACGCTGCGCCCGCGCACAAGGATGATGATGTGCATCAGCTGCGTAAAAGCCTGAATGACCTCAAGCAGACCACTCATCTTTGTAGCTAGCTCTTAAATTCTCGATTTCCTAACGCTGTTTTCAGCCAGTGTCTTTCAATCGTCTGTCTCTACTGGGAGATCTAAGATGACCAGCTATTTGTGGGTGTGTACGTAGACGACCTGCTGGACACCAAAACCAAAACAGCTGCTGTCGACCGTTTTTATATCCATCTTGAAATCCTGTTTATCGAGGACCTAGGCATCGTCAGCAGTTTTCTCGAGATGCGCGTGGCGATACACGTCGGATCGAAATCCATCGACGAGCTGTTTTGCGAGCATGGACTTGACAGCGCCGAATTGACTTGAGCCCCGATGTAGGCGGAATACTATGAAGTGCAGCCAACAGACTGCGTGCTTTTAGGTGCGAGTGAGGAATACGGGGCCCGAGCATCCAAAATTTTTAACATTTGTCGGCAATTTAATCTGAGTGGCGAGCTGCACGCGGCTGGGAATCGCGTTCGCCGTGCATAAGGCAATGAGCCATTCCCATTAGCAACGACTGCACGAACTCAAAGTTGTTATATGGATGTCGCGTTACCTGAAAGGTACACACGAATTTAAGCTGCGCATGGAGCCGACAAAGATATCCGGTGGCTAGCCGCAGCTTGGGTCCAACTCGGACGTCGACTTCGCCGCTGAAAATCAGACAGGAAGTCCTTGACCTGAGATATCATCCGGCTGAAATGGAAGCCGACAATCTGGACAGCGAAGAAGCAGGTCGGGGTCGCGCTTTACACGATTGAGGCGGAATTTGTGGCCGCGTCGGAGCAAGCGCACGAGCTGCTTGGCATCAGGGAAATGCCGTGCGAAATCGGCAATCTGCCTTTGCTCCCAATTTCACTCCACGTAGACAACCAAACAGCGTTAAAGAAGTTGTCTGGTAAGGTATCTTCGTTGAAGTCGAAGTACATCGACGTGCGCTTGAACTTCGTCTGCGACTATGCCCGACGTGGTGTAGTCGCGGCCCAGTACGCGTAATTAGAGCTGCATTCGGCGGACATGTTGACGAAGACCCTAGAGACGGCAAACCTTTCAAAATCGTATAAGTTGCTGCGACTGGTATAAATATGCGGAAGTTGCGGCCAAAGAGGAGTGTTGGAAAGAGTGTGTCGAACAAGAGTGTCGTCGTAAGTACGATTGTGGGCGAGGCGCGCTAGACGACAATGGGAATGGCGGCTGCTGACTGTGTGTTGGGAATGGGCATACTCGTGCGATGCGATACTTGAGAATGTGTAACGAGAATGATATTAATGGGGCAAGCAGAATGGATGGCGAAGAAATAGTAGGTAGAGAAAATACGAAAAGTTATGACATCCTTCTTTTTGTAGTGGAGCTACTTAGCGCTCGTTAACAGAGGAAGTCTTATACTCAAAGAGTCTCTTAGTTTTGACAAACTAACATCGACGTACAGTCGTTCAAGTGTACAAGCTTCACAATTCCGGTTATAAAGGGATTACGATTCACAGAATTACACACTAACTAGTCACTACTAGTTAAACAAGAGTAAACGTCTTGACAAGGCTCACACTCTTACAACACACTATGCCTTGATCAGCCACTAGCGTCTAACGATTTAAAAGGTGGATTAAACTTTATTCATTCTGTAATAACGGCATTAAAACCCTTTAACCTTGTCTGACTGACTTCTACATTGCGGTCCTATGACAGAAGTCTTCTCCCTACCGGATGAGGTGCGGTATTCTCGTTTTAAGCACATGGTACCAATACCGTACCACTCAGATCCACCGATCTTTACTTGGTGTGGACACACAATATAACCAGTTTAATTAACCGCCGTGGAATCCCGTTACACCTTTACCTCAGTGCTTTGTATTGCTTGTCTGGCGATATGAATATCGAACAGGACGCTTCGAAAGCTCAGAGCTTTTTCTTATCGTCCACCATCTACTCCATGTCCTTCCTTGACTGATACTGTGGGGTTGTTGCTCTATTTTCTTGATTCGAAAGGCGTATCGAACTGACATATTTTCACGTAATAGACGCGCGGTCTCAATTGGGCTCCACATACGAATGCTTGTCTCGAAATCAAGAAAGATATTTAAGGGATACGACCGTGGAACAGTTTGCCAACTCGTTAATTAGGACTGCCAGGCTGTCAGTTGTGGCACTGAGACAGGACTCTCGCAACGCAGTGGAACGTAACTCCTGAGTCGCTGCACTACTACACACAGCAACACATGAAGATCAAAAACACGAACAACAGTGTCGTGATATGGCAACTGTCTGCTTTCTTGCTGGCGCGTACATTTATTTGCTGATGCACAATAACAATCGCTAAACTCAACCTTGCTTGTCCATAGAGCTGGTAAAAGCATACCAAACAATTCACTCCAGCCTACGATGGGTTAATCCGCACGTGCAGAGTGATGTGACCGCCCTCTGACGATCGAGGAATCCAGAGCAACAACGAACCACCTCCTGAACCAGGCAGACCTAGGAGACCAGGACGCCAACGATCCAAATACATAGTCTTGTCTTCCAGCTCTGGAAAAGTGGCATCCCAAACAACGATGTCACCTGCACCAACGTCAACCTCGCCGTACTCTTCTCCGCCTGAATGAATGACGACTGTCACGTCCTTCGTGTCAACGCTCTCGAAAACGAGATGAATAACACCGTCACCCGCATGCGTATACGATCCGTAGCTACCTATAAATGCCTCGTCCATCAGTGTCATCCCCAGTGCGTCGTACAGCGTGCCATCGTCGATTTCGCCCAAGTATGCGGTTGGTCCACAGACTGGCTGTACAAGTTGTGAAGTAAGGTATGCGATCCCACTTGGGTCGACACAGGACAGCACAACGAGACCCATGTTGGCCACCTCCAACGCATATTCATCCTCCGCGACGTCCTTGCCGTTGTCGGTCTTACCCTTTTCAATAAGCTGGTCGACAATCACCCCAAATGTCCTTCGAATCAAATCGCGTGTTTCGTACGCCATCGCCATAGTTTTGGCGGCCAAAAGTTCGCCCATGCAATTGTTCGTGATCACAGGGATATCGTTCAGCACGATCGGGGTCTCATACACCTTCACACGAAGGTCGGCGACAGAAGTACTTACGTTCCGGTACCTGAGAACAGCGCGGGTGACACGATCAGTAAGACGCTTGAGGTTCCAACCGCAGCTTGTGTTCTTGGCAACGAGGTCTTCCAGTTCGTCCACCGTCGTCCGTGACTTGTTCGCTACACCAGTGCCAGTGAGTAGTTTCATCACATTCTCTGCACTCGAAATGATTGTGTCGCCGTTGGTGATCGCTTGCTTCACGATACCTTCCACGATGACGAGCACGTAGGACATAAATTTGAAAGTTTTGGGGACTTCTATACCGAGACACGTGCATATTGCTACGGGCAGATCATACACAACAAGATCAGTCTGGTAGGCAGCAGTCAGTATCTCTGCTGTATCGCCTACAGGCCCGGTAGTTTGTCGATATCGTAAGTAGTAAATCAGGCCTCTGATCACATTGACCATGTTGAGTACGCACAAAGCGGCCCACCTTGTGGTTTTATAAATAGCCTTCAGAGTGCCAAGCAAGTTTCCGGTAGCTAGGTTGATTGCCACAGTGACAGCAGCGCCAATTTTTTGCATTACCGCGAGGGCACAGTCATCATTTTGGGGAATACACTCCAGACCACACTTAACCGGGAAGGCCATCGGACACTGCACAACGCATTCGGTATCGTCCTTGTCATAGCCTAACGGGCAAATATTGTTGCTGTCAAAATTAACCGACTTACGGTAGCACGCTGTGTCACCAGCTTTGCCGATGGCGGGACCCACCCAGTTACGAATAGTTGTGCCGTATGTGTTGTTTCCCACACCCGAAGGGTCCGTAAGCAGCAGGTTCTTTGCCGTTTTTCTCGTCCAAATTACACCAAGTTGATCCACTCCGTTATCAGCGCGTCCGTAGAGCCCACTGAACACAAATCCTTCAGGAGGTGTCGCAGTACCCCTATTATCCGTCTTAGTTCCTCCAGCAAGCGTATTGTTAGCGCTGGTTGTGAAACAAACATAAAACACGGCCGTATGCTTAGACTTCTTGGCCCAATGCACTTCCACTGACGTGATGACCTCATCTGGACCGAGAGCAAGCGTCTTCTCAGTACCACCATGATCACCGTGGTTCAGTGTTAATTCAGCGGGCGCGGAAATTTGCACCGTTACAGCGTCAAGCCGCAAGTTTGCTCGAATAGTGATCGCACTAACAGTCTGGCCAAACTTGATCTTCTGGATGTCCGAGAAGGCATTGCCGTGAGGACCACCAAAAAGCTGGCTGAGTGCAATGTCGTCGTCTGCCGAAACTGGAGTGGAGACGGTCTCGTTCATCAATGCAATACTTGACCAGACGGCACCAATAAGGTCCATTTCGTCACCGTACCGACCAAAAAATCCGGCAAGTTGATAGCCTTTAGGCGCTGTCACTGACCCCTTTTCAGTAGTCTGCGATCCCCCAGACAATACGTTCCCTTTGCTCGTACCCAAGCTAAGGAAAAAGATACGAGTGTGACCACTCTTTTGACCCCAGTGGGCCTCCATAGATGTAATGTATTCCCCTGGTTCAAGCACCATGGTGTGTTCCTTACCATTGCGCCCTCCATGAGTGAAAGTCATTTCCTTCGGTGCAGACACTTGGACCGTGAGGCCGTCAACACGCTTACCGGCACGAATTGTAACGGAAGTAATGGTCATCCCAGACGTAACAGCAAGGTGATCCGAGAACTGTTCCCCGTGAGGACCACCAAATGAATCGCTCAGCTGAACGGCTTGCTCATTGACCTTGGCTTTCACTTCTGACAAGCTTCCAGCTATGTCGACAGGACTTACTGTGCCTGGTAAATCTTCAGCTGGTATTGAAACGGGGACTGGCACAGGAGCGGGCTTAACAAGTTCGATGAAGGCCCATACTGCTCCCAGCGCATCAATCTCTTTACCGTCCTTGCCGAAAAAACCGGCTAGCTGAAAGCCTTCGGGTGCTGTTACCGTGAGCTTATCATCTGTCACTGAGCCCCCAGACAACGCTCTACCTGCGCTCGTAAGGAAGCTCACGTAAAATATTCGCGTGTGGCCATCTTTTTTTCCCCTGTGGACTTCCATCGAGTTAACGTACTCGTCCTTACCTAGGACCAGTTCCTGTCGGTTTCCTCCAGTTCCGCCATGGGTAAAAGTAAGTGTCTTGGGTGCTGATATACTCAGTGAGATACCATCAAGACGCTTGTTAGCATAAATCGAAATGGCTTTGACAGTTTGTCCTGAATTGACCAAATTCTTGTCTGAGAAGTCTCTTCCATGAGGTCCACCAAAACTTTCGCTCAGTACAATGGAGTCTTTCACAGCCATTACCGGGCCTAACGGAGCAACGCTTTCTACTGGAGGAACCGCTGTATCAGCAGAAGATGAACCAGCCATAGCATTCGCTTCAGGCATCGCAACGGATGACACTCCCGAGCCTTCCGCTGACCTTGCATCAGACGCTTCCATCGACTCGGCTAATGATGAGCTCGCGTCTCCAGCTACAGAGTTCTCTTCCGATGTCGCTGCTGATGTCTCATCCAATGTAAATCCCGAGCCTTCAGTTGACGTTACATCGAGCGCTTCCGTCGACTCTGCTTGTGATGAGCTGGTATCTTTAGCTGCGAGCGCCACTGCGCCCAACGCCGCTACAGACGTCTCATCGAAAGACACTTTTGAGCCTTCAGTTGATGTTGCATCGGGCGCTTCCGTCGAATCGGCTAATGATGATCGAATATCTCCAGCTGCTGAGCCCTCTTCTGATGCTGCTACTAAATCTTCTACAAATACTGGTGCCGAATGTTCAGTCAATCCCACCGCTGTGGCGTCCAAGGATACTTGCTTCGAACCGGTGGTAGAAGAAGACGCAGCGTCTCCCGCTGCCATAACTTCGCCAGAAGCTGTAGATGGGTCAAAGCCGACTGCTGACAAATCTTCTTGAACAGTCTGCAGACTTGTAACTTCCATGTCGTCCGTAGATCCGGCAACACCACCGTCAGTAGACTTTTCTGGATCCACAGACCCCCACAAAGGTTCGCCAGCAGACTCTGCAAGATCCACAGACCCCGACGAAGAGTCACTAGTAGACTCTGTTGGAACCAGAGACCCAGACAATGGTCCATCGGTAGACTCCTCTGTAGATGTCTCCAAAGACCGGGTACTCGACACGCCACTTTTCGTCGCAACCAACGACTCAAGAGCCGAGATAGCAGGACTCATCACAGCGCGAGCCTCTTCTACTGAGGCGTCTGCCGAGATACGGGACCAAACCACTCCTAACATGTCAATTTCGTCGCCACCTCGACCGAAAAAGCCACCAAGTTGGAACCCCTCTGGCGCAGTGATTGTTTGCATGTCAGTCGTCTTAGACCCGGCCGCGACCACATTCTCGGCACTCGTTACAAAACTGAGGTAGAAAATCCGTGTGCGACCATTTCTCTCGCCCCAATGCGCTTCCATCGACGTAATATGCTCTTGATCGCCAAGCTTGAGCACATGTTCCTCCCCGCCACTTCCTCCGTGAATAAACGTCGTGGCCCTCGGGCCCAGTATTTCCAATGAAACCCCATCCACCTGTTTGTTTGCTCGAATCGTAACTGAGCCAATAATTTGTCCCGCACTTACTGAAGCCTCATCGGAGAATTCGGTCCCGTGGCGTCCACCAAGACCCTCACTCAATCGGACAGAGTCGTCGGACGCTGACTGAACAACCACTAGGAACAGATATAGAAAGGCTCGGAGTACGTGTGGCCTTCTGCTCATTGCATCGACGTTTGCAAACTGACGTTCGGGGCTGAATAGTACGATCCTCAGTCTCGCAGCCATTGTAACGGCTGTTGAAAAGTGTAGAGGTGCGGTCGGTGCTTGTCTGATTGAAATACTCTATCGAAGGATAAGATCAGCCAATAGGCCGCCACAAACGACGTAAAGATGCATGGACGCTCTTTGGGTTCGAATTGTCGATGGTAAAGTCTACCGTGACGTTTACGGCAAAAATACAGACTTGACGACGTGGATGTCGTACGTTTGCCAGCAGGATGAGATTGTAGGATGAGAGGGGTGAACGCTCCAATCACGTCTTCCCGCTGCTGCTCTTGCGTGCGTAACATGATGTGTAAAGAAGATTGGCAGCAGTTGAAGGACATGCTGCGCCTGAATTGTCGAATTCGCAGCGGAATTTATTGGACCGACCGGAAGTTCAGACGGGGTAGGACGAATGGCAATACGCGGCATTTTGTCAAACAAGCAAAGAGTATGGAGCCATAGTAAGGACCTTACAGCTATATGAATCTGGACGGTCCCGCCAACATCCTCAACACTTCTTTAGCGCGTGTGCGAGCAGACGCATCGTCAGCATGCCGGTGCACCAAAGGCTCTCCTCGTGCACCAGTTTCAGGAGGATTGGAAAGCGGTTGAACGGTACGTGGAAGCGAATATGGCACACTCTTGCGACGATCTGTCAAAGCTATGCGCACACTGAAACGACGCGGTCTATCAGGCAGCCACGAAAGACATCACAAACACCACGACCAGTGGTTGGGATACACGCATCTGCCAACCTCGCACAATCGCGATTCGTGAGCATCGACAAGTGTCTTCTAATGTTAGGGGTGCTCGTTGTACCAGCGAGATTTTAACGATTACCTCAAAGTGTGGCTGCAGCGGGAGTCGCTTTATCAAAACTGTTGCGATATTGTAGAGCCGGTATTGCAGGCACCCTTCGCAATCTGTATTAAGTAATTTGCTTGGGTGACGTGACGAAGTATCAGTGCCCCAGGAAGGGACACTTTAGATACATTCACATGTTTTGCACAAAAGCACTAACACTTTTCGGCTTTTTTATGCTTTGCCCATTCTACGCTGTGCCGGCTATATATCCGTAGCAACACAGATCTTGTAGATCAGGTATGTATTCTCAATTAACTGATGAAAAAGTTCCATTAAAAGACGCAAGCAACACTAGGTCGACCTTAGACACTGTAATTTACATCAAAACGTTTTTTTTGTAGGTGCAGTGCTTACATTAAGTATTCTTAGCGATTAACCTCTGCCCTTTTCGGCAAGGCCCACACATACCCGACCGGATGGCCACAACTTACCGGATTCTTTGAAAATTAGCCATTTTAAGGCTCCCGACTACTCGATGTCGGGGAAGGAAAGGGGTCATGCTTCTTTTTCTACTAGAGGCCCAGCTCAGCGATACCGGGGTCCCCGGGTGATGCAACCGAAACTTATGTTTCACACATTATCAACGACCTTTTGTTAGTCGTAAGGGCGATCAAATCGGCAATCATTGAACTAAAACTGCGTTACTTACCCGAAGGATCAGGGGGAACCCTTTTCAGGACCTTTTTTACAAATCTCTTCGTGTGGTATCCGCTCTACTAAATCAAATGAAGCTTTAACGTACGGGTCAGGCGACGGCTTTATATCTGCCTTTGAACAATACAGCCCAATCATGGTGAACATGATCGCTCCAAGCACCCTAAAATTATCGCCACAACACAAATTCACCGGCAGTCAGTTCTCGTACCTAAATTTTTCTTAGGCACATCCACAAATTTGGACTAGTTGTATAACTTGGCGCCAGCCAATAAGATTGTAAACATTCAGAACGCGACACCAGCGTAGGTCTGCACAACAACATCAACAATAACAAAAAGTGAATACCATCAATAGCAATAAATACAATAGTAAGCTTTTTAGCCTGTTAGTCACTCAGTCATCAGCCACATCCATAGAGCACTAATTATCTCTCTAGTATATATTCGGCATGTCTCCACTCACTGCAATAGACATTCCCCCCGTTAACGTTTCTTGTATACCTGACTAAAGTAACATCGCTGAAGTGGGTCCAGCAATGCCCAAAAATCACAAACAAAAGCCCTTAATCAGCGGCACATTTGACGTGATTTCAAACAGTCTCAATTTATCTACAGCGTCCGTCTACACGTCCCTGGTTCTATAGTCGCGTCTTTCACTCCTTCTTCATCCGGATCGTTGACTCCATTGGCTTTGGGTCGTAATGCTACATTGTGGTATGTTTTGGATCGACGTCTGATAATCGATGGATGATCTATGGACATGGCGGGATGAAACATCGAGAGAAGAGCAGAAACAGGAGCAAAACTAAAGAAGTTTTCGTGACACTTTTGACGTTTCGGCATCCACATGTAGCAATTGCTAAGAATGATAAAGTACGATCCCTGAGAAGGATATCAACAAATCGAGACTGCAGCCCGTTCAAATAGCAGAGTTTCCGACTTATCATTGAAACAATATTCTTGAAATCATTTAAAAAAGGCCTATTCTTAGCCTTTTTGGCATGTTTTGAATAAGGTTGATGGATAGCCTAATCGTAACACAGCTTTCTAGTCGAATATCTATGTTTATAATTTTCCCTAGGAACTTTGCTTTGACGCCAACAATTCGACAATATGTTTAAAGGATCTCATAGTTTGTACCGAAATTGCTGGATCGTAGCGCTTACTAGAAACAAAAAAAATTTGTGTGCACAGCGACCAATCCTGTGTAAACAAATAATTATGGACTTAATTGATCGCAATGAGGCATGTGGTGCACATACGATAAAGGGCAAGCTCAGGAGCTCGTCGTTAGTAAAAGTAATTTAGCTTTGAAAAGTGAAACACAAATTTAATTCCTTTCGTTACTATTCCGGGTGGTAGACGGCTAGGAATAAGTTGTGCCCTAAGAGGTTACATATTTATGGTAAGCTACTCGTTGATGTTAATTGATATAATACATGAAGGATTAACAGAATCGGAACAGAAAATTTTCTGCTCGTTAGCACTGTTAGCGACAAAGTGGCCTATATTTTTGTCTTTGATAAACGACAGATATTGATGAATGAGAACGCATGATCCTAAACCTGAAGAGAAGAACGACCCAAAATTCGAAGATCGGCTCTGAGGCTCGCCCTGTAATATAATTCATTTATTTTGAGAACTGAATCAAGTTGCAACGCACTATTCAACAGCAGCAATCGTTATAGTAGGAGCATAATGTTATTTAATTCTTAATTAACACAGTAGTATAATTATCCGACGCGATCGGCATTTGCTTATGAGCGTCCAGCATTTTCTGATGTGATCGCGTTTAGTTTTGATCAATTTAAAGCCAATCACGTGCTTTCATTATAATATTGACCTAGTCAAAGAAAATTATCGGATGTGCTTATATATCCATTAGGGGGGACGGGCTAGATCGCACTGATTACGTTCAAAGTATACCTAGCCGCGTTATTTAAATCACAGACAGATACGCGTGATTCAAAATACCTGGCTCATTTAACTTGCGCACAGCCATTATCGATCTAACTTTTTGGGTCGAAATAATGCATTTTATCTGAGAGGAGGGGAGAGGCTGCATCGTACGTAGTACGATGTGTTATTTGCAACTCGGGTTCGTTGTAGACAGACCCGAGCAGACGAAATCAAACAAAGAAATACACTACGAATGCTTAAAAATTCTAGCATTCACCTTGCGCATATTCACTTGTAGATTTACTCTTCAGGCTTGCAAAGATACCAACTTTCGAATCCGCATATATTATAAAGGTGATCTAGTACGTGGAGGATTTGATAAATAATTTGGAATGACGATCGGTGCATCTGCATCACATAACGACACAATGAAACATCAATACTAATTCGTTCAGTGTTGTTGCTCTACTGCTCGCATACGTATTTACAAGGTTAATGTTCGTGAAGAAAACAGCAAGCTTACCGCTTTCAATTTTTAATTTTTGGAGGGTGATACCAGGTCAAACGTAGTGCAAGATGTGGTACAACAGTATGATATGTCGAGTACAGAACGAAAACAATTTGTGATAGGTTTGGCATTGTATGCGAATTTATAATTTACAGCTTATACGTAGTTTAGGTTTACTCTCTTCAAATGCGATTATAAGTGATTGTGGACAAGCTAAATGTGCATAGTTGGGAAAGAGTACATCTTCTGTCATAGCAATTATAGACGGTGCAATCGCGTAAGGCAAAAACTCTATAATCATGGAATGGACTGTGCCATCCAAACTTTTCGAGTACTGTCTGCTCATAAAAAGTTCCAGTAAAGCTCATGTCCAAACTTGGCTATACACCAGCCCTGGTTTTGTGCTCTCTAAGTCGTCCCCGCACCGCAGATTGTCATTTTATAAATGCATAGGCTAGATAGTTACGCGCTTCTTTTAAAGCATCCAAGTCTTAAGTAATATAAGTCCACGCGTCCAAATAGGTAAGTGGTGCCTATCTCTCCATCCGACCATCTGCTTGAATTTTGGAGCCGTGTTCTCTTAAATGATAGTGTAAGCTCTCTTCTCGACTAACAGCGTACCTAATTAACCCTTACAGCTGTATTCGAAACGCTTCATGGGTATTCTAGACTTCTTGGATGTATCCTAATTAAGTTTAAAATGAATGGGATTCTACAGTATATTCTACAGAATCTTGCAAATCTAGACACCTGTAATACTCCACGCATTCAAGTGGAAACATCTCGATTCTTAAATGTATTCAAAGTGCATGTTTAAAACATTGTGCTTTGTGCGCAATTGGTGTGTCATTTGAATGACGAAGCGCGAAAATAATCTTATGATTACTATCTACGTCCATGTCGCGTGCTCCCATAATAATGGCTTTTAGGTTTTTCACATTTGTATTTATTGGTGTTGACAGGTATCACAATCAGGGCAAAGACATGTACATGTCCAGTGCACCCTCACTAGATGTTATGAAGTTGTTTTAGAATCTTATTTACGATAATTAGTTGTTTAATCAGTTGAAGCAACAAAAGAGCTGAGGCAGGTG